TGCCACTGTGGCGGTAGAGAGAGCTATCCACCAAATGAATCAAATCCAGTCTGGGGAACCTTGGCACATTGACCTGCGTGAAGTATGTTTGGAATTTCTCGGGTTGCAGTGCCAATATTCCCAAGACTACACATGATTCGTCTTGTTGATGGTGCCATCTACCACAATGCTTGTCAATGACTGGCTGCATTAGGAAAACAAAACTCAACTTCAATCTTGGACCAAGACAACCCATACTGTAACTGAAGACTCAACACGAGGGACCCGCCCCTTCCCCCAAAACATAATTGAAATCGCAAGGCTTTATTTTAAAGTCAAGGTGGAAAATAAAAGTTTAACATCCATGCATAATGCTGAATATGTATAGCACTTGTATAATGCATTTAGTTCAGAAAGTACAGGGTAACTGAGTAAAAACACACAGAGTTGCCATTGGACTGAAAACAGTCGACTCTCTTAAACAGAAACTCAGCTGAACTAGCCAAAATGTTTGTTATATCAGAATTCTGTATTAACCCTAACCCTGCCAGACGCATCACAGTGCATCAGGTGGAAAAGTCTGGTGCACTTTGATTGAAAATGATACCAACACCAGTGCATAAAGCAGCCACTTCTGAGACACTGAGAGCTAGTCCCATGGAACAATGCCAGAGTTGTATCCTGCTGCGTTGGGGGACCACACAGACTCTGAGGCAGTTTGGCCTCGAGACTTTTGGCCTGATGGATCTTGCTACACTGGGCAGGCTTGTCATTTCGACAAGTGTTGCATGTTGCTGCGTTTGGCAGGGTTTCAAGCCAAAATACCCTGGAGGGTTAGGGTTAAGTGGAGTGCCAGTCCCATTCATTGTGCACATAATTAGTGTACGGTTAGGACCAAGGCTTTATGTTTGCTGTAACCAGAATTTTAGTTGACTGTAGATAATAAATGCATTGCGGCCATCTCAGAGCGCATCTTTTGTTACGTTAATTCAGTAACAATACACAAAAGTTGACTAATGCATATCCCAGCATAACACACGTATTGCCCTCTAAGACAGATGTTACACATAAGGACTGTTAGGATGCTAGATTTAACAATAATTGCAGATAAGTAAGATTTGAGGCTTTGCATAGTGGAGATACTAATGAATGAAAGATTTGCGGAAACACCACGTGCGAATAATTTTCTCAACTAAGAGAATGGTTTGAAAAGAACCAGAGGTATTAACTCGACGTTTCGTTCAGTATGCTCTGACCATCTTCAGGAGATTGCAGATACACGTATAACATTTTGCTTGCATACCCAGTGTTGTCCGAGTTCTTGTGAGGTAAATTCCCAAGCTTACTCGGGTGGGGCTCAAACTCACGACCTCCGGCTTACTAGTACAGACGTCTTTAAATATCACTTGACCACCGAGCTCGCTAGGATCAGCTGGCTGGTTTGAATCGGATATGTTGAGATACATCCTGCAAACAGATTGGATACCCACCGCTACATCAGATTCAGCCAGCTGACCCAGGCAAGCTCGGTGGTCGAGTGGTAAGATGTCTGCACTATTAAGGAGGAGGTCAGGGGTTCAAGTCTCACCTGAGTTAGCTAGGGATTTTTGTTCTCAAAAGCCCTCAGACAACACTTGGTATAAAGTGTCGGTGAAGGGCAAAACCCTATGTTGAATTTACATCTTCCTGACTCAAATCCATAATATATATATTCCTGTGGTCTTGGTGAAGACGTTCTTAGCGGGGTATTCACGATAGAGGGTACAGCATTTGTACTGCGTAGCAGCATGCATGTTTCTCTTTCACGAACCATAATGAACACCATGCAAAGAACGGCCTGATAGCGTGCGTGTTAATAAGGGCGCCCACTTCGGTGAATCGCTGCACGGTCCACTAATCTGTGCGCGCTGAAAAATCCCACTGCTAAGGACGTCTTGGAACCAAAATTAATGTCCCTGCAGTCACGAAGTGTCACATTGAAGTAGCAAGGGAATTTTGTTTCTGAAATAAGTCTTTGAAAACGGTATTTTATTGTTATGCTGTTATGAGCTGCTCACTGCATTCTGACTCAAAATTGTTGTTGTTGTGAAAAGCTTGCCGAGTAAGGAAAAGAAATATTAAAAAAAAATACTTTCAGCCGTTACATTATTTCTACAATGCTATTTAAAATTAAATTTTCACTCACAATTGAAAATGCCCTAAAACTGAATTCTGTACAGTACATCATCTTAACATCTACGGTCAATGTACATCGTACATGTATTTCCTTCGGATCAATATTCCTTTTGCTTTATCAGCAAAATCACACTTCAGTGTTCCTGCCTTTCAAAATCAGAAGACGATTGCACCCCAACTTTGCTATGATCCCTAATTTATATGAATTTGAACAACTTTAAGTGTAATGCAATCTTAGCCAGTCACTATGTTAACTTACAAATATAACATGGTTTGAGGGTGAATAGTTGACAATATAACATGGTTTGAGGGTGGATAGTTGACATGAGGTGTTGGACATTAACAAACTAGTTCCTCAGGCATAACCAATACTGAGAGGAGCTAATATCAACTATCCACCTGAAAAAAAACCTTTGTTTTATTTACTTACTATACCTCATGCATTTTCAGTGACATTATTTTGTAATTTCATGAGCCTGGTCGAGAAAATACATTTTATCTGCTTTAAAGTTAAAATGTACTTGTCCATGCATGAGTGCCTTTAATTTTATGCATAGCGTGTGACCAGTTACATTTGGCTCTGGCTCATGAATATGTATGAGGTTTTAGTAATAAGAACTGTACAATGGCAGAAGTTGCCGCTTCTTTGTGATGTCACACGACACTGCAGGCATAAAAGGTTGAATTTACACTTCAAGCTACATTATACATGTATATTTAGGTTTTTCCCGAGCAGTTTAAAAGGGTCACCCATTTTTGGTTAATTTTTCAAGTTGTTCAAAGCAACAAAAGTGCTCAAAAGTCTTTTGGTGGATAACAAAGTATCACGTTTAAAGCTACAGTCCATCGTTTGCAGCTGTCCAAAAAGTAACTGATGTAATTTTTGTTGAAAAGCATACTAGGTTGAAAGATAGTAAGGGGTCTAAACTCCCTGTGAAATTATTCTTTCTGGCAAGCTGTCATTTTGAAGAAATCAACGAAAAAAGGCAATTTCCAATGATGCGTCTACAGACGCATTCTTGGAAATTTTCGTTTTTAATTCATCAAAGTACACGCAAGCGTTGACACGATGCACATGTGCGTGCGGTTGCTATAATTCGTCGGTTCAGTGCGTGACATCGCGTAGCTGCAATCGGCTGAATGAGAACATGTCCCGGACGCTGAATTCGGGAGCAATTCAGAACATGACTCAGCAACTTTTTATCTGAAATTGAGATCCTAGAATATTGTTTTCTTGGAATCTAAAGCATTCAACGACCTAAACCTTTATCAGGTTTAGCTGTTTAACACCCTTCTTTAGATTTTGAGCACTTTTGTTGCTTCAAACAAACATAGTGCACAAATTACAAATGATGTACATGTACTCTACCCTGAAGTTTTAGCTCAGTAGACACTATACATTTTGAGCAAGAAGAGAAAATGTGTGTGCAATTTTTGGGGTCTTGTAACTGAATTTCATGTCTAACACATTTCTTAAAATGTGGGCTATGTTTTAAAAAGACCTTCAATGTTACTTTTCTTCCAAACTATACCATATCAGGCGGAGTATTTCCCCAGGGTAATTGGTACCATTCCTATCTTTACTTTGAGCTCTGTTTCTGTCATTAAATCGGTAGGTACTTGTACTTTTCCAGGTACTTTAAACTGTAAATGATCATACGTTGCTTTAAATAAGAGCACTTGAAAGTGGTTCTGCATTGATAGTGTACATGATATATCTGGAAAACGGCATAAACATGAAAGAAAGCACTTTGAATAAAGAGAGGCATGAAAATAATAAATCATCAATAGATCAACAAACAGGAAGCCCCGAAATCATACTACTTCATTTAACCCTAACTCCCTAGGCATTTTTGCTAGGATGCAACCTCAATCCTGCAAAATCCTCCAACTGCCTCCATGTAAAAATTGCATACAGCCTCAATCCTCCAAAATCCTCCATTATTTCTTGACTGTGGTCCTCGGAGGGGTGACCACTGCCTCAATCCTGCAAAAGCCTCCAGCAATCACTGTCAATATGTTGAAGCAGAGTAGTATAATCTAGGCCTAAATTTATGCACGGCTGAGTTTTAACAACACAAGGTCCGGCCTAAGACCTTGACACAGTGCATCCTCCAAAATCAGCCACACATTTTTGCCATAATACCGGTAGCCTCAATCCTGCAAAATCCTCCATTTTGTAAAGAAGATTTGGGAAGGTTAGGGTCAATAGATACTGTAGGATGTAGTCCTTAACACAACCTCTGTTTATATTGAAGTTGATTTTCATTTGAAAGCACTTCTAGCATCATTATTGAGAATTTGTTTACTTTTGTTGCTCCAAATAGGTTAATCAACATTTAAATTTTCACAAAAGTTGTAAAAAAGTTGGAATTTTTTTCAAATCAAATGAAATTAAGAGGAATGGAGAAAATTAATATACAAAAATACAAGACTTTTTTAGAAAGACAAAGGAGAGTCCTTGATGTGCACCTTAGTTTAAGAAAAAAGAAATGTATGTAATTGTATACAATGTTTACGATAGAGGACAGACACACAAAGGGAGAACAAAAGATCCTTGGGTCTTTGTTGAAAACAAAGAGCGTTGGGTCTTTGTTGAAAACGGTCCTCGATCGTACGGTTTTGTGCTTAGTCTATGGGAGAGTGTTATATTACAGGGACAAAGGGAAACACAAAGCATTGTCCTTGGGCGTATAGAAATTCACGACTGTGTGTATATAAGTGTGTGAATTTTGAAAGAAAATACTACAGACTTAGTTTAATAAACATGGATTGATCGGCCCCCTAAAAAGTTAAATTTAAAAATTAACCCATTTGCACACAATATTGCCCAATGAATTCATTAGCCCATTTAGTTCTCAGGCGGTTTTGGGGGGTACCTGGAATAACATACAGGGTGGTTTTGGGGCAGTACAGGGAGTAACAGGCAGGGAAATTTGGGGTGGTACAGGGAGTAACAGGCAGGGCGACAAGAACGACTGCATTAAAAGAAGTGCCTCAAATTAAATATCATAGATGTCAGATCATGTCACAGGGAAAAAAAAGGACCCCAAATTTATAGAAAGTGTTTAGACCAAGGTATTTTTAGGGCCACAAAAACTCACTAAAGAGATTTCTTGTCATATGTGGTGACTGCAAACTTTCTTTTACAACATAAATGGTACACAAATGTACCTGTGACGGGATAATCTTGTTGTGGGGCAAAAACCTAATTTAATCTTGTTGTGAATACAATAGCATGCTGAATCTACTGTATGATACGTGCGCTTTTCAGACCATGGTACTCTCGAGTTCTTGACTGCGTGACCGGGCACGGACTTGCTCCGGGACGCTGCTGAAGCTGGACGAGTAGCCGATCTCCTGACGCAGCTTCCTCCCTAAGGCTCTTCCCAAAGATCCCTGAGAAGGAGGAAAATAATTAGATGTGGTTTGATCAGTCACAGACAGTCGGAAATTTATTCCACTTCCCCTGCCATAATCTATACACAGGCTAGTCACCGAACGTCAGATCATATTTTTGTGGGCATTGTGACAGTCAAATTCCGTCAACAGACAAAAGCAGGTGACTGGTAGGCACAGCTGGCTTATCAATCTCCTACAGTCAAAGCAAAGCTGTATCAAGTTATGTAAACAGTCACAGCCAGAACTGTTAGTTGCGGGATGGTTACATGTGCATAATGCCAAAATTCCCTGCAAACCTGTGAAAATATGCTAACTTTAAACACGAAACGAACATGATGTAAAACACTGGCCCAAGAAGTCCTGAAAGGCACTAATTGTGTCTGATTGTGGTAATGTCTGAAAAAATAAAGTACAGGACCTTCTCCCTACTCATTAAGATTAAATAAAAAGGTTAACTTCTAATGGACTTGTTATGGACTGGTGAAGACTTGTGATTGACTTGCTAGGACTTGTGAGGACTTGTGAGGACTTGTGAGGACCTGTAAGCAATTGTTAGGACCTCTGAGGACATGTGAGGACTTGTGATGAACTTGTGATCAACTTGTGATGGACCAGCAATGGAAGCGTGATGGATTTGCAAGAACTTGTGATGGACTTGTTAGGATTAATGAGGACCCGATAACTTATTGGGACTGGTGATGACTTGTAATGGACTTGTGAGGACCTGTGAGGACCTGTGAGGAATTGTGAGGACCTGTGAGGACATGTGAGGACTTGTGATCAACTTGGGATGGACCAGCAATGGAACTGTGATGGATTTGCGAGACCTTGTGATGGACTTGTGAGGACTTGTGAGGACCTGTGAGGAATTGTGAGGAATTGTGAGTACCTGTGAGGACATGTGAGGACTTGTGATCAACTTGGGATGGACCAGCAATGGAACTGTGATGGATTTGCGAGAACTTGTGATGGACTTGTTAGGACTAGTGAGGACCAAGAACTTATTTGGACTGGTGATGTGAGAACTTGTGAGGACTTGTGAGGACCTGTGAGGAATTGTGAGGAATTGTGAGGACCTGTGAGGACATGTGAGGACTTGTGATCAACTTGGGATGGACCAGCAATGGAACTGTGATGGATTTGCGAGAACTTGTGATGGACTTGTTAGGACTAGTGAGGACCTGAGAACTTATTGGGACTGGTGATGACTTGTAATGGACTTGTGAGAACTTGTGAGGACTTGCGAGGACCTGTGAGGAATTGAGAGGACCTTTGAGGACAAGTGAGGACTTGTGATGAGCTTGTGTGGACTTGTGATCACCTTGTGATGGACCAGCAATGCAATTGTGATGGATTTGCGAGAACTTGTGATGGACGTGTTAGGATTAGTGAGGACCTGAGCACGTATTGGGACTGGTGATGACTTGTAATGGAATTGTGAGGACTTGTGCAGACTTGTGATCAACATGTGATGGACCGGCAATGGAACTGTGATGGATTTGCGAGAACTTGTTATGGACTTGTTAGGACTTGTGAGGACCTGAGAGCTTATTTGGACTGGTGATGACTTGTAATGGACTTGTGAGAACATTTGATGGACTTGCGAGGACCTGTAATGGATTTATGAGGACTTGTGGACATGTGAGGACCTGTTGGGACCTGTGAGGACCTGTGAGGACTTGTTGAGAATTGTGAGGACATGCAATGGACTTGTGATGGATTTGCAAGAACTTGTGATTGACCTGTAAGGACATGTGAGGACCTGTGAGGACTTCTTGTGTCTTGTGAGGACTTGTAGTGAAATTGTGAGGACTTGTGAGGACAATACTGGACCTACCCTGAATGTTGGTTTCGATCGGCCTTTGTCATCATGTGGACTGGTGTAGGATCTCTGGAAGGACCTGCCCAGTGTACCTCCACCACTGCTCCGTCTCGAACGTGTGTCTACAACGCCACTGAATACATCTTGAGTTGCTCTAAAGTGCCACAACACAAAATATTACAGTCTGAATATTCATTGTTACATTAAACTGTTTAAAGTTTTGTGTTCATGGATGCTAGAAAACCCTATAAAAACAAGACTGTTCTTCTAGTCTGGTTTCCTGACCATACTTCAGACAGACAGGAGCAATTTATAGATGTTGGGGAATTGTCAGGGGTCAGGAAACTAGACTAGCTGGCTTGTACCAGTTCTGATTGCAAAACAAAATGTTGACTAACTAAATTTGGTAAATTGGGGACTGTATTTGAAAAAAAAATTCCAAAGATGGTTGGCCGGCCATCGTTGGAAATTGATACAAAAATTCACTTTTCTTGAAAATGACAGCACACCAGGCGCCATGATTTCACAGGATGCTTGAGACTATTATGCACTTACAGTCAAGTAAGGTATTTCATAATAATTTTGTAGTTTTGTTTTTTGATCTTTGCAAATGTTGTATATAAACTTTAAATCTGTTTTCAGTGACAGCACATGTAAATGCTACACTGTAAGTTCAAGTTAAAGTAAGATCAAGTTCACGTAAGTTCAAATTTTACAATTTATTGCTGTCTAAAGTTGAAATTGTGAATTCCACATAAATAGAAGGATGCATAAGTAGTTCAGAACACAAAGAATATTCCTTGTACTCTTTGAAAAAATAACTATCCTCACCTTGCGGGAAGAAGAATGGAGTTCAGCTCTGTAGTTAAATGTCGTCTGATGATGGTTTTACTCGAAGGAATCCCCAAGGCATTAGCCATTGCATCCGAATCAAATGAGGGTTCCAGCACCATCAGAGCACCATGCACGCCACTGTCAAGAAGATTGTCTGCATACTCCTGAAAAAAGCAAATTTGTTGGTCAGGGATGAAACCAATTTGTTCTAGGTCTGTACACTTTTAATATTATTCTAATTTAGATTTGTTAATATATACCGGAAATATTCAAAATACCCGATTCAATTTTTATATGCGAAGCCTTAAGTGTGTGCAGATTGTACCAGTGAGATAGAATGTGGTGAAATTTTTTTTTTTTTGTCAAAAAAACTGGGTTATTTTGCTAAAATTAAAGATTTGAGGTAGTCATTCTAGCATCTTGTTTTCATAAGCAAAACAGCAAGTGTTATTGTAAAGGTTTTCATGTTTAAGGCAGAGAGAAAAGATAATATTTTATACAAAATTACTCACAAAACTTAAGATTACCATGATTCAGTATTTTTTTATCAAGTGTATGAATTTCAATTCAGATAAATAACGTCCGTAACGTTATAATGGAACTTCTGAACAATACAAACATTATGTATCCATAACATCAAAGCAACTTTTTGAAAAAAATTCATCGGTGTTTTTATAGAGTGAAGCTATACATACCACAACATAGTTATCATTAAATTCTTGCAAGAAACTTCACTGACTTTTATCAATGCCTACTGAAAATCAAATACCTTAATGTCTTAAAACGTAACGTCTGTTTCCCGATAAGTTTTTTGTTTAATACACTTTGGGTCTGACCAAAGAGTTATGGATGATTGAGTTGGGGAATTTTGGGGAAATCCAATTTCTGAAGTAACCAGCAGTGCTACACCAACAAAATTCAAAGCAAGTCTGGTACCAAGACTCGTATGTTCCTATATTCTTACCTTGAGGTCAATAGTGCGAGACCATCTGATGAGTCTTTGGCTGGTCCAGACTACCAGGTCACAATCCATGTCTTCACACTGTGTGCGCCTCTCAACAAGCACCTTATTTTATCACACAAAATGAAAGTTTCGAATTAAGAATGTATAAAGACACCTGGGGTGCGTTTCACTCACATGAATGTGTTTGCGTTCATTAGCAAGACAAATGCGAACGTGCCAAACCCCAATGAAACGATAATATCATCAAACATGTCAAAAACAATTGTCAAAATGGCGGTACCCTGTGTGTCAATCCTACAAACTTGGACAGCATGCATGCTTTTTAATAACATGTATTTTCATGAGTGACATGATCTGCAACAGTTTGATGCAACATTCATAAATACCTAAGACAGTTTACCCATTCCTATTAGCTGAGAGCCCATCACGTGGCCGATCTTAAATGGTTGATAAAACACCAGCTGGCTGGTCTTAAAAAACTTTTCCAGTGTCAAAGGAAATGTGGACTCCTATGAAATGTGGTGCCTTTTACTGTTTTATTGGTTGAACGTTCACAGGCTTCACTTAGGCATGCACAATACTACCAGTGAGTCCACATTTTACAGTCCTCAATTCACGCTACACCGGTACAGCTGCGTTCTGCGCCACATTGTGCAGTACGTGTCCACCCACTAATCTCCATATAAGGAGTTGTTATTACTACTCGCGAGAGGCACATAACATAGCTAGAGGGGTGTTTAAAAAACATGAGGTAAAACTGTTGAACAAAATCATTGGAAATGTTTTTTTTTTACTTGTTTGGACTCTTTGACTGAAAAGGTATTTATGAATGGGAATAAATATGTACTTGGCCGGTATTAAACAAGTACGTTTAAACTGGCCGAGGGCCTGGTCGCCAATAATATCCCTCGGCTTTTTTTTATTTTGTTTTTGATTTAAACAGAATTTGCGCGGGGAAAAATACGAAAGACAACCACAAATAGTTGCAGCAATGACATATATGAGATGATGTAAAGTCTAACTTTCTTAAAAGCATATAGTATATTTCTTAGTGGGGAAAAAAATTATAGTAAAACTTTTTGGAATGACATTGTCAATTTTTAAAAAGTCAGAAAACTGAATGAAAGGTCTGAAAGATGCATATCTTTTTCAACTGATGTCTTTTTTATGCTGATTCAAAGGTATGATTTCAGCGAAAAAGTCTGAAAATCTCTATCTAACGTCCTAGCCATTACTTTGTGATAAAGAACTGAATACAATGAGTGTTGTGCACACTTATATGCTGAGCTAGTCGTAGTATTTTGTAGCTTTAGGTGAGGTTTAGGCTAAACAAATTTAGTTTGGGAAAAACTTACCCCTTTGTCGAACTGGATTCTTCTTAACAACTCGATGCCGTGAAGCAAACTGACATGATGGAATTTTCTGGTGATCCCGAGATGTTTCTCCAGATCTTTCCTGGTCAGACTGTTGAGAACCCTTCCGTCGATCCTCTCGGACTCAAACTGTAACGAGTACTGACCCAAGCCCAGGTCGTTTAGCCAGGTCCGCGCCACCCATCGGTGGTCCAGGTCACCGGCCTTGGGGTATATGCTGGTCAATATCAAAATATATCACATTCAAATCATCAATATTTGTAATTATAACACACCTCTGGTTCTTTATCCTGGTTGGCTGAAACACGGTCATGTGTGGTTCACTAATATAGGCTAGTGCATGCAATTTGCGTTGGCGTGAACTAGACGCGCGTCAAGACATAGCGCGCGTAATTTCTGAAATATATAGTGCCTGATCGGGCACTATACTCATAATGTTTTACAGGTTACAATTCACATAGGGATGTATGTGAATCGTTTTCGTTTTGCTGAAAGAACACTTACCGTTTTGTGATCCGTGGACAGAACTTTAAAACAGTGTTTGTGTTTAAAATTCCGTAACTTGAAAAGTACATGAGTGATTTGAATGATTCTTGCACTAAAATAAAGTTAATTAATTGGGCTTTCATATCCTAGATTTTGAAATTGCTATATGAAGAATTTGATTAAAAAATGGTCCCGACATTTGGGTTTCCTTTTTTTTTACTCGACCTATATACTATACTGCCTCCAAAGAATGCCAATAGAGAAGCAATTTCCTATATTAACCCTAACCGCCCTGAATCCTTCAAAATCCTCTTTGCCAAAGTGGAGGAATTCGGAGGATTGAGGTTACATGGCAAAAGTGTGTTACTGATTTCGTAGAGGGCACTTAGTCAAGGTCAATACCTTGACTAAGTGTCAAGGTCTTGGGTCGGACCTTGTGTTGTTTTTGCTCAGCCGTGCATAAATATAGGCCTGGATTATGCTTTGAATCCTCCGTACTGCTCCAGGATGTCACTGGCCAAGCCTCAACATATTGACAGTCACTGCCGCAGGATTTTGCAGGATTCAGGCAGTGGTCACCCCTCCACGGACCATATTTAAGAAATATGGAGGAATTTTCAGGATTAAGGCTATATGCTATTTTTCCATGAGGCCAATTGGAGGATTTTGCAGAATTGAGGCTACATCCTAGCAAAACGGCCTAAGGAGTTAGGGTTAAGAATACTTGTACACTTCCTATTACAAAAGTAAGCTGTATATGAAACGTTAGTAAATGTATTAATCTATCATAATATACAATATGAGAGTCTGTTTAGTATTAGCCAGATATCCCTAAAAGCTTCAGGAGTTAGACTCACTTTTCGACCCCAGGTCGTTGTTCCTCAATGGCAAGTCTGACTTTCCGTCTATGCAGGACATTGGTCACTCCCATACCCGACTCTAGCTCAGCGTCCGATAAACCAAGCAACACCTACAACAGATCAAAGGATGAAGCCACATTCACATTATGGGCAATGCAACAGGGATAAGTTATTCCACGAGTGCTAGTAGAATACAGAATAACGTAGTGCGCCTTTGTCCCACATGCCACGAGGCCAGAGTCTTATATAGCGCACGTATCTACCAACAATTAGGTACTCAAGGCGCTTATAAATATAAATGTATTTTAAAGACAGGTAAATGAAATATTTGAAATATCAGACCCATTTTATGTAGCACCATTTAAGGGTTTACAAGGTGCTGCGGCGCATATTGCAGCCACTGCCAGAAACACCGGGGCAAACCCCTTCTCTTAGCCATAAGTGATACTGGGTTCTTTAACGTGCATTATACAACGCATAGGACCTACGGCTTCACGTCCCATCAAAGGACGAAGCAATAATGGTTAAGCGTCTTGCTTAAGGACACAAGTGTCCAGACCGGGACTCAAACCCACACTCTGCTGATCAGAAACACCAGAGCTCGAGTCTGGTGCTCTTAACCGCTCGGCCATGACACTCCATAACACAGACGCACTACATTCTCCGTGTTCCACGAGCGCGTGTGGGGGCAACAAATTTATCTTCAAGCAAACTTGAGGCACAGTAAAGATGGAACTTGCATGCTCTACACAAATTTTTCAACGGTTATACTATTGATAAAAAGGTGTCCCACTCACTTGGGATTCAGAAAGTGGTAAGATGGCTTCATCTACTGTTTATGCACGGAATCCGAAGGCCTGCCCTCTGGGACCAGCTCTATCGATATAATGGGAATAGAACATAAGCTATACTTTTACCTTCCCACTCTTGATATTCTCCTGGCAATTCTGGCTGTACTGCGGCAAGCACATGGTGATCTCTAACCACGACACTACCATGTCGGCCTTCCACTGTGTCATGCTAGTGTTTCGACACTTCTCGGCAAGACGAAGTTTCTCTCTGTCATCCAACGTGTTGTCCAACGATGGGGAACTGTTTCTTGAGCTTGAAATATGAGTATCTGTACAAACAATAGAAACATTAAATAATTAAAAAACATCTTTTTACCTTATAGGGAATATACAAAATGTGCAAACATCAAAAAACAAAACTAGCAAATTATCAATGAATACCTTACCTGACTGTTAGTGAATGACAGTCTAAAGCATCCTGTACAATCACGGCACCTGGCGTGCCAACAATTTAAAGAAAAGTGGTATTTCTGTATCAATGTCCAATGCTGGTCAGCTGACCAGCGTCGGAAAAAAAACTGGCTTTTTTCAATTACTGCTCCCAATTTATCATATTTAGTTAGTCCGCATTTTGTTTGCAATCGATTAAACCTATGAACAGGTACAAGCCAGCTAGACTGGTTCCCCGACCTTACAATTCCCTGACGTCTATAAATTGCTCTGCTTCATCTAAAGCTGGGTCAGGGAACCAGACTACAAGAACAGGATTGTTTTTCTTGGTTTTTCCAGCATCTACGAACCCAAAACCTCAAACAAGTCAGTGTAACAATAGTTGCTACAAAGTACTACCCCCCCCCCCCCAATCCATGCATTTCTGAAAATTACAGCAAAAACAAATGTTGTACATTTTCTTTAAAAGTCCATGTAACGCCCGAAACTGTCCTATCCGTTACTACTTGTAACATCCAAAACCGCCGAAGCACTTCATGGGTTTGTGGCTTCATCAGAGAATAGATACAATTGTCAATCACCGGTGCTAATGGGCAATGTTATTGTGATGAGTGACTGGACATATTATGGGGGAGTGTGGCCTAGTGGTTAGGGTTCGTGACTCGTGATCAGAGGGTCAGGGGTCATGTGTTGTGTCCTTGGGCAAGCCACTTCACCCATACCTGCCTATCTCTCCACCCAGGAGTATAAATGGGTACCGGCATTAGCTGGGGAGCAACCTGCGATGGACTGGCATCTCATCCAGGGGGAATAGAAATATTCTCAGTTGTTTCATTCCAAACTGGAGATAAACGCCGGCCTGATGGGCCATATTGGCTTGTGACAGACTTTAATTTGACTGGACAGATAACAAAACTCAAAATCTTACCATCAAAAACTAGCTGCTCCAGAGCAGATCTGTTCTTCTTCCCAAATATCTTGGAGAGTGAGTTGAACTTCTTGGACTGTTTCTTGGGCTTCTTCTTTTTCTCTCTCGGAAGGGTGACCTCATAGGAGAGATCTTCGTTTGAGTGCGTCATCCCGTCTGATGTGGTAGAGAGTAGGTGCTCTGTGCTTGTGCCTTCACCTAATGTGATGTCTGCAATGAGAAATCAACATCAAATCACATTATAAAATAACTATTGAGAAATTTGCTCAAGGCTTATCCTCACAAATTGAAAATGAAGTAAGATTGTTAACTGAAGTCCGGGTCGTTCTATAAATTTGGGATCCACATTTTTTCTGTCTGTGTTACATCTGACATCTATGATTGTATAATTCTGATGCACTCCTTAATGCAGTCGTCCTCCAAGAGTGATTATGAATAGCACACTACCTACCCAACAAATAAAACATCCTTTGAAGTCATTCTTAACCCTAACTCCCGAGGCATTTTTGCTAGGATGCAACCTTAATCCTACAAAATCCTCCTACTGCCTGCATGTAAAAATTGCATATAGCCTCAATCCTGCAAAATCATCCGTTATTTCTTGTGGTCCTTGGAGGGGTGACCACTGCCACAATCCATCAAAATCCTCCAGCAATCACTGTCAATGTGTTGAGGCAAAGCCAGTGACATCCTGGAGCAGTGCGGAGGATTTCAAGTATAATCTAGGCCTAAATTTATGCACGGCTGAGCATAAACAACACAAGGTCCGGCCCAAGACCTTAACAAGGTGCATCCTCCAAAATCAGCCACACATTTTTGCCATATAGCCGCAATCCTGCAAAATCCTCCCTTTTGAAAAGAGGATTTGGGAGGATTTGGGAAGGTTAGGGTTAAAGGCCAAACGTTTCCACATTTAAAATGATGTATATTCAAACAAGATAAATCGATGACGCAGCTTTGGTGTAAACATGTAAACAAAACAAAACCCTGCATAAGTTTTTAAGTAAGCAAGTAAGAAATAAGTTTTTAAGTAAGAAGGTTGTGGGTTCGAGTCCCAACCGAGCTTGTGAATTCTTTTCTCACAATCACTCAGGACAACACCGAGTATACAGTGTTTATAAAAATACGTCGGTGAAGGACAAAACCCAACATTGAATTTAAATCACCCCGACGCAAAATTCCCTCTTATGAATAAGTTTTAATACCTGAAACATCTTGGGGAGCCCTCAACTCATTCTGCCCTGCAGAGGAATTGGTGACATTGTCCGATAACGATGCAGACAACTGACTGTTGGCTTTAGAGACTGGCTTGTGCATGTGGTGGTAGCCGTGGTCTGTCATGTCCGGTGTGGTGACAGGGGTGCTGGTCAGGGTGATTGTCGGTGTGTGAGGGGGATGGTGGTAGGTACATGTACGTCTCTCAGCTGTTATCTGGTGCTTCAACTGTAGACAGAAAATATTATACAAATATAACACGGGTTGAGGGTGGATAGTCGATATTATAACACCTCACCCGCAGATTCTGTATCCTGATTGCCCGAGAGCGAGTCATGTGGCATTCGCTAATTTTATTATCTTGCTGTGTACAGCCAAAAAGACTATCTGCTCCGTTCACAAGTACCCCCTCACCGGCAAAGAAAGTACAGTTGGGAATAACCGACCGACGTCATCTTGCCTAACTGCAATTTTGCCGCGACGCGCGTCCGTACCACTGCATGTACACAGTGCTAATCCCGTGGTGTACGTGCATCACGCACAAGGAACGGTGCGCGTCAACCAGCTAAATGTCCCGCCCATGGGACGTCGTTGCTAGGTAAAAGGCTGCCCTCCTTCGTTGGCGCACGGAGCCCATAGTGGAATCCGGCGACCAGAATTAGAAGCTTTTACTGTGGTGGTGTCACGCTCACTCGAAAAGAAAAGAAAAGGCGCGTATGTGCATCTGGCTACCGCCAGGTTTGTCTATACAATGGCTGAAAAAGTATGATACACATAGCAACCAACGTAGCAACCGGTAGCACATTGGGCAATGTACCGTAAATGGGTGTGCCGTTGTGCGTTGCACATACTGGTCCCAACCGCTAGCACTACAGAGCTGGATTTTACGAAGGGGGAATTTGGAAAAGTAGTAGTTTGAAAAAAATTTCAACTAATGTCATATGTGACCTGTTCTGTCAAAAGCAGACGCTTCTGGGCAGAGGTTGAAAATAAGATAGGGCCAAAAAAACGCTGTGGGGGTGATTTTTTTTTATTTTCTAATTTTTGCATATTTGTAATCTTGAACATGTCTAAAATATACTATAAAAGTTTGAAACCCTAATTTGAACTCTTAATATACATGTAGTATTTTTGATGATTTGTTAAGGCATATCAGTTAAAGAAATGTCTGTTTCCTGACATTCGTGGCCATTTTCTCCGTTTTCTACTTTTCGACACAATGAACTTAAAAATAGCATAACTCTGCCCAGGAATGACCGGTTTCAAAAAATAAACCACCCATTAAAAGGAAAATGTACATATTTTAACAATATGCAAATATCTCATTTTTGACCTTATGCCCAGAAAAGTCTGATTTTGACAGAACAGGTCACATATTGGAATAGAGTACATTGTAATAGGATTTCAGTTACATTAATCAGTTAACTCTAATTTTACAATAACCTGTGCTTCCTCAGCTATACCTTGGGGAAAAAAGAACGCTCCATGGATCACTTCGGGAGGCTATAGTTTTACTATACCATCCAAGCAGTCAATATTGCATATTAGCTCCCCAATGTATGGGAACATCAAACCTATCTCAACTACAGTGGCACAACGCAGAGCCCGCCTTGCCGGCCACTGCTACAGAGCCAAAGAGCAAGTTGTCTCTGACCTCATCTGCTGGAGATTGCCTTGCCCCAACAGAGGGAGGAGAGCCCTCAACTACGTTGACACTGTATGCAATGATGTGAGCCAGCACGTTGATGACATCACCACGGCCATGGCAGACAAGAGAGTCTGGAAGAGTTTGGTTTCATCCATCTCGGCTGCGGCCGCCCAATGATGATGATGATGGGAAAATGACAAACTAGTTCCCTAGTTGAAGATAGTTGCCGTAGTTGATGCTAATTAGTTAGACCACGTTGATTATGTTATTGGTACCATGTGTATTTATTTATTCGTACCTTGTCTATCTCCTCTTCCAACCCCTCGTTCTCTTTCTCTCTCTTGTCGAGCTGCTCCCTCAAGGACACTGATCTCTCCGCCGCTTCCCGCGCCCTCTTCAAGATCTCCCACCGATCCTTCTCCACTTCCTCCTTCTCCACGATGACTTTCCTCAGGCTGTCGTCGCTCTCTGAGACGCGCTGCTCGTAGTTACGGATGAAGTCCCTCATTTCTTCCTCCTTAGCCTCTAGGGTGCAGTACAGTTGCTTCATCTGGTTCAACAGATCCACTTTCTCGCCCTTGAGACGTTTACGATCAGACTTCATTGCTGGGGGAGGCGACAAAATCAGACCGATCAAAATCAGTTATATATTTTTTTCAGTCATGAAGGGAAAATCACTGCATTTTTACCTGGTCATTCTGTAAATTCGGGGTCCAATTTAGTGTGTGTCCCTGTAATATCTGATATAAGATTTTTGTGGATTCAGGACACATTCTTAATAATGTCTTCTTTCTCTAAGGGTGATTATGTAAAGCAAAGTACCTTCCAAACAAAGTAAAGCCGGAGGTCCCGTGTGTTGTATAATGCACGTAAAAGAACCCAGTAACACTTATCGCTAATGAGAAGGGGTTTGCCCCCGATGTTTCTGGCAGTGGCTGCTTAATGCGCTGCAGCACCTTGTAAACCCTTATAAGGTGCTACATAAAATGGGTATATATTTCAAATACTTCATTTACCTGTCTTTTAATAAATTCATATTCAATAGCGCCTTGAGTACCTTATTGTTGGTAGATACGTGTGCTACATGTATATAAGACTCCCGTGTTATTATTTTTGTATTACATAGCATTATTTACTTTTGTGCACTTTTTTTTGTTTGAAGCAACAAAATTGTACAAAATCTTAAATTAGGATGCATAACAACCAACCTATCGAAGCTCAGCTCAGTGACAAAGTACATTTTGAGAAACCAGAGAACACATTTGCACCCTTTTTTTGTGTGTTGTAACTGGATTGCACTGCTAAAACACGTTAAAAATAAGATTGGTTTTTTTTCTTCTGAATGATACCATTTCAGGCGGAATAATTTCACAGGGTATTTGGTACCAGTCCTATCTTCAGTTTGACCAAGGAGTTTCTCGTTAAATCGGTAGGTCGGCTTCTGGGTTATGACCAATGTTACTACATGCTAAAGGCACTAACAAACAAAAACATGTGTACATAATTAGCCTCAATATGCACATTTACACAACACTAAAAATGCATCCACTAATGATCAAGTCGGGAAAACAGATTATAGTGCCTCAAAAGACTTATTTAGTCCAAAAAGTGTGTTTTTTTTGGTTAAAATAATGAGTGCTATGACGAAATCGTATTTCGTAATCAAAATCGTGTGAATTTTCACAGTTTCTCCAAAAGTGTAGTATCAACTGAGCTGAAAGTTCAATAGGTTAGGTTCTCAGCATTCTTCTTTGGATTTTGATTGGTGTTATTATTGGAAACGAACAAAATGCATGAAAAGCAAATGATTCCACATGTCTTTAACCCTAACTCCCTAGCATAATTTACTAGGAACCGTACCCATCCTGGCAAATTCCAACACCCACATGGGAAATCGTACACACACACTGTTGGACTTAGTTTCTGGAGGTATGCCAACCCAGTGTAAAAGACCATCAGTTTAGGGGTACTGTACCCATTCCAACAGATTTCAACAAAACTTGCTGTTGGGCTTTGATGGGTTGAGTTCGGTTAGGGTCAATGTACATCCACAAGCATGTATGTCTGACTACCATACCTGTAAGGGCCTCCTTCGCTCTAGCCAGCTCATGTTCTGTCTGCGTGAGCTGTATCTTCAACTCTCCAGCGCTGGGTATCTCGACGTGGCTGTGATCCAAGGCACGCAGGTCATCCAGCTGTTTCATCAGGGTCATGTTGTCGCTCTCTAGGTGACTGCATCTGTCTCGCAATCGCTGCAACTCGCTCTCTTCCTGTTGCTTCTCCCATTCTGTGACAAGAAGCAAATCAGCCGATATGTTTGTTTAAGACTTCTTTTGCTGCTCAGAGTGGGATAGCCTAGTGTCATCTTTGCAAATACATCTCCCTGAGATAATGGTAAAGTGCCTTGCTCAAGAGCACAAGCACCATGTTCCCATGGTCAGGATTTGAACCCATGTATCACGACACACGAGTCGAACACCATAACCATTGGACCACAGCGCCCCAGCGTTTGTTTTAAATTTTTAAAACAAACACAAAGAATATTAAACAACATTTGATTCCAAATCAAACAGTCACTACAACAACAAATGTACCCAAAAAAGAAAAAAAAATCTGTATTAATTTGATATTCCAATTAAATGCTGCCAACTTTTCAGTGACACAATCCATCGACAAATGTGATGCGATCACGCTTACAAAACATGAGTCGTTTGTCGACCCTAGTCAATTTTTTTTTTTTACAGATTTGAAAGAGCACAATCTCAGCATTACTGCTGTGAAAACAGCATGCTGGTACCATCTTTAGTTCAAAAATTATGGAGGTCGGAACACCAAGAGATGTGATGAAGTGATGTGATGAAGTGGCCCTATTTTGGCCTGAAACTCCAAATGAAAGTTCCCGACAAACGACTCATTTAGCTTGATCGCTTCACAAATATAAACAGAATCATCAAATAGACTGTACTTTCATGAGTGAAATTGGACAGTTGCAAAGATGTATTCACTGCCAGTAAAGTTCACTGTTTTTCACTGACCCTGCTGGTCACCAAGCACTTATGTACAAAAGCAGCTTGGAACCCTGAACTGTATCCTACGACGTGTATTCAGTAGACATTCCAATGTTCACTGAACAAACAAAGATCTTTGCATGGCTTACCTGCATTGCCTTTGTCGTTATCAGGGTCACTACCGCCTTCTGCACTGAAGTAATCCAGTCGCTTGTTGGTATCAGTCAGTTGAGTTACTACGACGTTAGGGAGCTGGCAAGTTGAAAAAAAAATACACAATCATTCTCAAAATCTTTTTTATAAAGTTGAACTGAGAAATTGACTGGAGCGGGGTTTGAACCTGCGACCTCCGGATTGCCGTTCCGGTGCTCTACCAACTGAGCTATTCAGCCTTATGTTAGCAGTTCCACATTTTGTCAATGTTTTAGTTCAAGGGGTGTTAGTCAGAACTCATAAACCTATACAGGGTGACCCAAAAAATTGCAACCCTAAAACATTTTTGCCTTTAAAAAAAAAGGGATCGATGGAATTTTATGTTTTTGGTATCAGATTAATTAACCCTACCGGTAACTCCCTAGGCCTTTTTGCTAGGATGTAGCCTCAATCCTGCAAAATCCTCAAATTTGCCTCTTGAACAACTAGCATATAGCCTCAATCCTGCAAATTCCTTGCATTATTTCTTGAATATGGTCCGTGGAGGGGTGACCACTGCCTGAATCCTGCGGCAGTGACTGTCAATATGTTGAAGCTTGGCCAGTGACATCCTGGAGCAGTACGGAGGATTTCAAGCATACTCCAGGCCTATATTTATGCATGGCTGAGCAAAAACAACACAAGGTCCGGCCCAAGACCTTGACAAAGTGCATCCTACGAAATCAGTAACGCACTTCTGCCATGTAACCTCAATCCTCCAAATTCCTCCACTTTGGCAAACAGGATTTTGAAGGATTCAGGGCGGTTAGGGTTAGGGTTAAATGAATAAACATAACAAAACACACCTCAAACATGTCTGCCAAATGCAATCAATCTATTGTGTCAGCAAGCTCTTACCTGTTCAGACGTGTCAGTCTCTTTACAAGTCGCTAGTCTGCTGTTCTCATCGACGACCTGTCTGTACTTCATCTGTGCGTCTATCAGCAGCCTTCGCATCAAGGCAAGATTAGCCTTGAGGGAGTCCCTCGCAGGGAGCTGCACCGATTCGCTGACCGGGCTGCTGACGTCGCATTCCGAGGATTTGGGCGTGAACATGAACTGGACGATCTGGTCATTAAGAAAATCCAAGGACTCAATCGCTGCGGAAAAACAACAAACAGAGGTGCTACTTTAATAAATGCAGGCACATGCTTAACCCTAACCCCCTACATGCCCTAGGCCCTTTTTGCTAAGAACCATCCTCAATCCTACACAATCCTCCAATTGCCACCATGTAAAAATTGGATTAAAGGTACAGTCCATCATTTGTAATTTGTGTATTTTATTCACTTGAAGCGACAATTTTGAAAATATTTGACTGTCCAGATTATTCCCTATCCTTGGCCTAAACCCCTATGAGTTTCATTTAATTTCCCTCACACATCACTGCACAATGGTCAATTGATCACAACAACATTTATGGACACTGTGACCAAGTTCCTTGCCTTAATCAATTTCAGTGCTGTGTTATGTAAGTTGTGTAATATCCTTCCTGTTGTGAACAAAAGGGCTGATGTGGTTTGGGATTGGAATTATCTGCCCTTGAGCATTAAGCTGATGTCTCGCCACGATAACTGATAGCCTGGCAAAGGATTCCAACCCCAACCACAAACCCTTTTCACAACATGCCGGATTTTACACAGCTTACATAACACAGTGTGAAATTGACTAAGGCCAGGAACTTGGTCACAGTGACCAAAAAAGGTCGTTGTGACTAATTGACAATTGTGTAGTGATGCATGAATGAAATTAAATGAAACTCATAGGGGTTTAGGCCAAGGATAAGGAGTATCTGCACAATCAAAAAAATAATTTAAAAAAATAATTAAATCGACTTCATGTAGTTACATGTAATATTTCAAAAATAGACAGACACTTTTCTGGGGGACATACTGTAGTACACATAGTAAAACACACTGCACATTTGACTTTTAGTTTTAAAGGGAAGATACAACATTTGCAAACATCAAAAAACGAAATGATCAAATTATCACGAAATACCTTACTGAATTGTTAGGGACTGACAGTCTAAAGCGTCCTTAAAATCGTGGCTCCTGGTGTGCTGACATTTTCAAGAAAAACTTGGAGAAAACTGGCTTTTTTTTTCAAAAACTGTTCCTAAGTTTTCATATTTAGTTATTCTGACTTTTCTTTGCAATTGATTACACACCTGTGAAGGGGTGCAAGCCTGTCAGACTGATTCTCTGGGCTTACAATTCCCCAAGTGTATTAATTGCTCTGATTCATTTTAAGTGGGGTCAGGGAACCAGACTAAAAGAACATGATAGGTTTTCTTGGTTTTTGCAGCATCTACAAGCAAAAACGTGAAACAAGTCAGTTTAACAATATTTTCTATAACATACTAATCCTCCAAATCCATTTATTTCTGAAAATTACAGCAAAAGCAATGTTGTACATTCCCTTTAATACAGTGAGTTTGTACATGTACATGAACATTGTGTATGTACATGTATCTTCATTTGGGTGTACAATGTACATGTATGTAGGCTTTATACCGGTATGTGACCCGCTACACAAAAAGGGGGTATTAAGTCGCGCTGAGCATTATTGTGTAAGTTCAACGCTCAACGTTGAGAGTTGAACATTTCGTCAAAATGTGATTTTCATTTTTTGTCATGAATGACATCTTTATTACCTAAAGTTTTAGGGTTCATTCACAGAAATATTGATTTTGATCAATAAACTGGGGAAAAAAACCTACAATTTTGAGTGCATCGTGCCCAAATCTACAACAGAGCCAGCTATTTCAAAGCCTGTTTTCTCAGTTGTGTAATTCATACTCCAAGGAAGTCATTACCAGTACATGTAATATGCAAGTATGTCATATCTCCAGAACGGAAGGGGCTGTGGACTGGCTCTATTACATACAATGTACCAAATGAAAGCTTAGGCCAAAAAAAAAAATACTTCTGCTTCCGATTACATGCCTTTCAAAAATAGGGTCGGTCGGTCGGAAAAAAAAAATTTTGGCCAATTTTTTTTATGCAGATTGAATGGGGTATTCAATTATATGCGAAGTTTTAGCCTGAACTATTTCTATTGCACTACGAAGGCTATACACGAAATGGCAACAAAAAGTGAGTAAAACCTACCTTTAATTATTGTCAATATATTTACGTTCGATAGTTTCAAAAAATAATGGAAAATTCAGGCCGTTCGCACCATATGCACAACGCTAGTCAAGACGCGGGGAGCTGGCCAAAACTCCGAGGTGTGTAATGCGTGCGTGTGTGAGCGGCCCACCATGGCCGTCAGAGCTGTTTTTACCATCAACAATTTCGGGAAACACGCGGCATGTATCACTCCAAATACCAGTAGTGCGATCTCAAAATGAACTCCTGAACACAGAAAATACATACACAGACAAGCTAGATCAATTCTGTAAATTAACTTGCAAAAATGTTCTTTCTCCATCGGTGTTTTCTTGGCATTTTTACGATGTCGAATCCGACCAGTTGACAGTGGCCTGCACTGTACTGATAGCGCGCGCTATCGGTCACATAGCTAGCTATGGACTGGTTACCGCATTTTCATTATGTCTTCTAAATCGGCCCCTGCGCGGCGCGGCGGGAACCAGTCGTCGCCACGTGATTATAGTCATCATGCGTGACATCAAATTGCGAAGTAGTTATATCGCGAAGCGAATTTGTAATAACGGAGGTTTCTTTGAAAAAAAAAGCGAATGTAAGTAAGAAACCAAACAAATACAAGCATTTTTGGATGCGAAAGGGTTGTTGAGAGGTATTTTGTGAAGACAGAAAAGACAGATTTTATTTGTATTTATTCAATGTTTTTTTTTTTTTTTTTTTTTTGGAATTGCCGATAAAATTTTTAGGGTCGCAGCCTAAAAATAGGGTCGGTCGGGTAACCGGAAGCAGAACTATTCTTTTTTTTGGCCTTATGTTGTGGGCTTTCCAACAATGTACGTACTCAATTTCAAATGCAATTTCCCTTTTTTTTTAGATATAATAATACCCTTTTCTGTGGAGTGGGTCCTGAAACTTGAAGTGTAGTTACAGTACATGTACTGTACATGTAGGTACTGTAGTACACGTGTCATGAACTTCACATAAAGTATAGCCTACTATGTCAATTTTTCATTTTCTCCCAAATAAAACTTAAAAGAACTTAAAAATCTCAAAAGATATGTCAGCATTAATTGCTATTTTTATGTTTGTGGCCATTCTCCACTTAATTTTTTTTGGGGGGGGGGGGGAGAATCCAAAATTTTGTCCATTAAACTGTTTTTGTGTACCAAACTGATAGACGTCATGAAACAGAAAAACACACACACAATACATGCAGTATAAGTGTACAAGAAATTCCATTTTTTTTAAAAATACAAACAGTTCAATTCAGTACAGTTCAAAAGTACTTCATGTAGGTTTTTACCTCATACTCTCTCTGTACATTTAGGTCAATATACCAGTTCAACCCACTGATCTCAATCGCGGGACACCCCAGTCGGTCCCGTACTGGTACGAGTACATGTACGCTCAGTTGGCTTTTCAGGAAGATGACCAATCTTCATGTGATCAGAACGGAATGGTCCCGCTTAATTGGTTCTATCCTGCCAGGCAGCATACTGCGGGTTTACCACACAGTGCGCTAGTGTTTAAGCCAATCACTCTAAACATACGGGCAGCATATGGATTCCGAATGTACATGTACGCAAAAATGTATTTTGAAATTGTAAATATGTTTGTGCACATTGAGAAAGTGGAATAGGCTCACTCTATGTAAAATCAAAGTTTACAGAGTATAAAGTTTAGATCTTTTTTTTTTTTTTTAAATGTATCTCAATCTGTGCTTCATTTGAAACAAACAAATTGAAGCCAGCTGTTTATATGATATGGTCACCTAAAAATGCATGTGTTACCTCTTTTTTTAATTTTCAGTACCAGTAAAATTTAACAACTGGATTATGATTCTTTTAAGAAGAAAAATGGAAAACAGAAAGAAAATACAAGTACCATGATATATGCACGTATGCACATCCAAGGCCAATATAAATAAACTAATCTTTCCGGTCCAGCAGCCACATGCAATTTTTTCCTTCTCGGCCGACCGCATTTTTCTGGTTGTTTTTTTTGGCCCGTATAATTTTAATTAAAGGAAATATACAACAATGGCAAACATCAAAAAATAAAACTACCAAATTATTATGAGAAACCTTCCTTGACCGTAAGCGAATAATAGTCTCAAGCATCCTGTGAAATCATGGCACCTGGTGTGCTGCCATTTTCAAGAACAGTGGAATTTTTGTATTAATTTCCAACGATGGTCGGCCGACCATCATTGGAAGAAACTTACTTTTTTTCAAACACCGCCCCCAGTTTACCAAATCTAGCCCCCTGACAGATATTTTTGAAAGATATTTTTTTAAGTAAATATTTCCAGAAATGGTAAAAAATACCATTACAATGCGCCTAGAAAATCGGCATTTTGCAGTATGCATAATAATGGTCAGTTTTGAAGAGCGCCCCCGTTTGGAAGATCTACAATGTAGCTGTCTCCTCCACCCCTGTGTCCCTCTTCAGTACATTGACATGTGACAAAACAGACTCTTAACTAGTCCGCGGGCTTTTTCACTAGCCCGCATGTTTTTCTTTTATAGAGTGTCTCATAAACAACAATGTGCATACATGTAAAACGTGTTTCCTAAGGCAATCTTGTCAGTGTTTTTAATCAAAAGATCTTATAAGTAAACAGTTTTAAAAAAATTAGACACAAAATGATACAGGTTTGCTTTCTGAATTTAATGATTTATTTCTACCTGTCCTTTCATCTTTGCCGTATCCCAATAAGTTTTGATTCGCCAGCCGGGCTACTTAAGAAATAGTTTGACTAGCCCGCCACTGTTTTGACTAGCATTTGGCTAGCGGGCTACCGCTGAAGTCGAACCCTGTATAGTGCAACTTCATCATTCAATACACAGCACAGTCCTTCATTTTAATAAATTCCAGGAGAGCCGTTAATCACTCTCATCGAATCACCGAGGAAAGCTAATCGCTCTCCTTGAAATAAAATGAAAACCTGGAGTTCAAAACCATGTTAAATCATTGATTTTTGATGGTACCGGTAGGGATAAGTATTTCATTACATTAAAGGCGCCCCATACATGTAGTCTTCAAATTTTTCCATGGACAAGTGGACACGACTGAAAAGTAAGAAATCCATGAAATCTTTGGAAAATTAACCTCAAATGTGGTATCAAATTAATCCCCAAAGGGCTGTTTAGGGGTCAAGTATCAAATACCACAGAATACTACATGTGCTGTGCACACTTGTATGAGAAGAAATTCATACTACAGGTTACTACACAGTAGTATTTTGTAGCATTGGGGGCGGTTAGGGTTAAAGGGGACAGCAAGACCTTTCATTTCAGTGGTGTGCCAGTGAGCTGGAATATTGTCAAATGTATTTTGGGGGGGGGGGGGTTTAAAAAAACTGTTTTGGGGGCCTAAAATTATGGATTTTAGGGAGAAAGGTTCATGATCAATGCCAATAGACTTTTTGTGTGATTATTCATTTATGAATAATCATGATGCGACGAATGACGAATCATGAATATGATATCAGTATATGTTTTAACTTGTACCAAAGATGGGTGACACGCCATAATGCGAGTTACTGTAACGCAAGTTACCAAAATAATCCCTCTTGAGATTCTGTGATTGATATTTTTTATAATTGAAATGGTAGCAAATGTATGACTAACATCCGTACTGAAAAGATTCTTTCAACAGCGCAAAGTACAAGGAAATTTTCAAATGCAAGGTTGGCCTATTTAAGTGTTTGCCATGTTCTTTTTTTTTTTATAACGCGTTTTACCGATATAAAGAATTGTATTGTCAAACTAACAGAAGTTTAAGGATGTAACCTCAATCCTGCAAAATCCTCCAACTGCCTCCATGTAAAAATTGCATATGGCCTCAGTCCTCCAAAATCCTCCGTTATTTCTTGAATGTGGTACTTGGAGGGGTGACCACTGCCTCAATCCTGCAAAATCCTACAGCAATCACTGTCAATGTGTTGAGGCAGAGCCAGTGACATCCTGGAGCAGTGCGGAGGATTTCAAGTATAATCTAGGCCTAACTTTATGCACAGTTGAGCAAAACAACACAAGGTCCGGCCTAAGACCTTGACACAGTGCATCTGCCAAAATCAGCCACACACTATTGCCATATATAGCCTCAATCCTACAAAATCCTCCATATTGCAAAGAGGATTTGGGAGGATTTTGGAAGGTTAGGATTAACTTACATTGTAGGGCTCTTCAGTGAGAAGTATCCATCCTAAACATTTTAAACTGTATAGAATTACAGCACAGAGTTGACAGACGACCCCCTTTAAATGTAATGCCAGTTACCACGAGATATGGGCTTCTCTTAAATTTAAAACTTTTCTCTTAATTTCATAAAATTTATTCTGAAATATTTGTTTAAGTATTTAAATCTTAAGTAAATTTTCGTACTTAAAGAAAGTCAACTAATTTAAAAGCGTAAACTAGTGTCTTTAGTTATAGACTGCTCTTTCCAGTAATTGTGCACATTGTGGCAGTCAACGATCATTTATTGTACTTCATAATTTAGAACAATTTATTTTATCAAAATCATTTTCAATTTAAAAACCGCACCTAGTAAAATGGATAAATAAATCCTGTTTTTTGTAAGTCTCAATGTTCAACTTTCATGTATTCTCAGGAAGAATTTCATGGATAAAACTGGGTTGTATTTTTTCAAGGGAAATTTGGGAGTAAAACAACAATGAAGTTGACAGACTCAACACGAAAATGAAGATGGCCGCGATGCACCACGAATGTGAAAAACCGTGATTATTCCACGACATTGTCATTGACTTAAAAAAAATTGTAACAAAATCGCAGAGTTTTCTACCAAAAGATACAATTCAAAATAACCGTAAAACTAGGATCGTTAATTATAAGTTAATATAATAGAACTGGGGTATAAAAATGTTGCATCTTGACGCCATTTTTTCATCACAAATAATAAAATGTTGACAAGCCACGAATCGAATCAGGGACTGAGAAACATTTCCAATTTTGTTAGGAAATACTTTGAAAATGTTCTTGACTCTCCATAGCCCCATAAATGTGGCCTATTTACTGGACTGCCTCCGTAAACATTTAGAAGCATACTCACCCTCTTTTAAGGCTACTCAGAAAGTGCTGCCTTTTTCAGATGTCTAATTTTTGTGAAATTTCATGTTGAAATTTTGATACGCAAACGTGTGCAAATGAATCTGGAAATTTCAGGAAAAATAGACATCTGAAAAAGGCAGCACTTTCTGATTAGCCTATAAAGAGGGTGAGTATGCTTCTAAAGCAAAAAAAATTTACAAACTAAGCCTAAATGTGAAAATCAAAATTTGGCAAAGTGCGACACGTTTTTGTACATGTGGATGTGTGGCCTATGTTTACGGAGGCAGTAATAGGCCACATTATGTGATTTATGGGGCTAGACTCTCCATAGACTTTGTACACAGCGTCTGGTTACTAGGCCTACATTCTTTCCAAGAAGGGGCGTCTGGATAAAACATACTTTCCCCACTTTTACTTATTCATGAAAGTCCCCCCCCCCCCAACAATAAATCCACTCACCTGTCATGAGCGAGTCCTTTTGCCCAAGGTCGGCTGCAGGAATCGATTTAAATACGTCCGCCATGACGACTTTCACAGAAACTCAAACCACCACTGTCGCGTAATAAATGCTACTTCTCCTCTTCAATTATCACGACCGTCATAGTGACTTATCCCGGGCAAAGACGCCCTAAATCTTGTCCAGCAAATTCTGTTCCCAAAATAGCAATTCTACGTAATTTCGGCCGGATTTAGACAGTCATCATTACATGCAATATTTTGGAATCGACACCTCGTCTAACCGCATTAAAATTATTTTCATGGCCGCATACGTACTTGACTGCACTAAAGTAGTCTCGGTTCAAGACGTTGTTGTGGTGTTAAATTTTTAATACGTGCACCTACCGCCGCAAGAGGGCACTATTGCATTCCAGCAGTCGAAAAAAGAAGACACTCATGGTTCGGACAATATCTCAAGAAATTCAATATTTCTTCGAGTAATTGTTCATAATGCGCCACGATCGCCAGTACAATTTCACGAGAACTCGTCAAACAACAAAAATAATAGGACCGAAATAACTTACTCATCGTACATGACAAAACTCCCTATGGTTCGGGTGATAATTAGTCACGATTTACTAATTGTATTTGATTGAAAATGTATCACATTCAGAAAATGAGACCGAAACAATTTACTCATTTTTAAGGTTCAAAATTCAATCCGAATGAAAGCAACGTTCATGGCAAAACAGTCACACTCCTTTTCGAGCAATAAATTCCAAAGAAGTTCCTTTGTTCCACTTTTTTTTTACAAGGGCATTTTACCCAAACACTTTTTCCAACTACCGGTATATGTACCCAAGCAGTTTAATACCCATATTTTTTTTCAACAGAGGGCGCGCCGCCGCATGCACAGGTCTAAATTGTAGAAATTGTAGAATCTTTTGGTCTGGACACATAAATTTGTCTGCGAGACCACTATTTTTGTTTAGCGCGCCCTTTTTCAACTGAAACTTTTAGTTGACAAAAGTGTGCAGGTAAATTGTTTTGGGTTATCCCCTTGCAAAATAGTGAAAACAAACGAACTATCAATTCAGTAAAACAGGTATTTTCTTCCTTTGCAAGAGAAATATCTTGCTAACATGTTCCATGCAAATTGATTCAGATTGTATTTTTTGGCGTTTAAACTACTATATTGTTTCGATGATATGATTGTTTGTTGATTGACGGTGAAATTAAATCTCATTGTGTTACTGAACGTATAACTACATATTTTTAACAATTGTATTGTTGGCTCGCTCTTCTTAATTTTTTGTGTCTAACGCTGTGTGCTAATTTTTGGTCGTTTTATCTTAAGTCTATTCTACTTTTTATGAAAATTGAACAAATGTATTGTTTTCTCCTAATTCAGCCTTTGGCTGCGATGGAAAATGTTTTTAAATAAACCATAAATAATAACATCATTACAAATCATGAACGAAATTTCAATTTAATACGTATTGCATTTTTTGAGTTTTTACCCGAACTTGTTTTTGTTCAGCAATGAGGCGTCAGTGTTGAAGCGTCGTCAGTGTTGCAACGTTGGAGACCACTATTTATATTGTGGCGCGCCCTCTATAGACCGCTTGCAGACGTTGGAAGAACATTATCGTAGCCGTTTAGGGTATCAGTCATCTTAGGCTAGGCCTAGCCTAGCCTTAATGAGAGTACGCGCACTTCCAAAAATATTGACAATACTCACAATTAATTCTCCAAGGTGTTTGATACACACGTCACATTAAACCTTATTCCTTCATATTTTATTTCTATTCAATTTTTTTCGAGGTTAACTAATGGCTTTTGGGAGAAAATTTCATCCAAAGATGATCACCCTGAAAGTGATGGGGTTGAAGCCCATCGCAAAAAGCCAAATAGAACAACTTTAGGGCCTAGTTTCACCCCAATTTCACAGAAATATGAGCTCGCAGTGATCCTATTCGCGCCCCCCCCCCTTTTTTTTTTTTTTACATATCCTCAAAGTTCATGGCCTTCAAATGATCTAACGGTGGAGAATTTGAGGGCATGCTGATTTGGCCGGCGTCGGGCCTAACTTAAGCACCCTCTTCGGCACAAGAGTCCGCACTAAAGCCTAAACAATGGCACAAGTAACAGTCGCTCAACTAAAAGATCATGGAAACATAATTAAGCACAATGAGGACACTAGGCTGGCCATCCGGCTCCTGGTTAAGATGGGGGAAAAAAACACATTTTATTGAAAGACAGTTTTAAAGTTGTGTGGAATTTAATAATTTACCACGGTCGTGTACTTTAAAAAGATACATGTTTCAGTAAACAGTCGTTGGATTAACTGTTAAGACAAATCTGGTTTCTCGACGTGTACCTTCTAAATCAGACAGGGCATTGACGTGGTACCCACGCGTGCCTAAACGCCATATTGGAGATCGGAGAAGTCACTGTCATTTGATGTTGACTTCCGTTCGAGTGTAAGCGTAAGGTCTCTTCGATGTTTAAGTTGATGAATGGATTCTTAAACCGAATCTTCCACTCCAGTGTCTAACGAAGTAAGAATCATCTTGTATCGTTAATCTTAGTTAGGTTAGACACAATAATCCTGCGTTCTCTCTGAATCATGTCAGGCCTTGTTGTTTTCGAAATGGACGTTTTTGTGGATGACGAACCATTCCAAATCCAATTTCCATGGCATTGTACAATTTTAATACGCCTACACAAACCTATGGGGGCAGTGAATGGCGATCGTGTAGTGTAGGGCCCCTGTTTAGTTTCGATCAAATTAATATAGTCAAGGGTGTTTTTTAATTTTTACTAAAAAATGACATTTTCAAACTAAAGCAGACTTCTCTCAATATACTGACACCTTTTAAAATAATTTTTGAACAGTTTCTTGGGGTAGAAATTACGATTTTCCTATGCGGTTTACGGTTGGTGCCGTGCGATTCAGCATGTTCAGTGCGGCTTGCCCGTTCGTGGTACATCGCGGTGATCGCCATCTTTATTTTCGTGTTTAACGAATCTGAAATGCTCTGCAATTAAATGTAGGATTCGATTTAAAACAAGGCAGTGGATATTTTGCCGGAGACGGCAAACCTTCAGTAAACGTTAGATTGCCGGATATGCACTGAACATGCGCAGTTACTTGTTTTTTGTACTTAAACATTTTCCGGTGACAAATTTTAGTCTGGCTCCATGCCAATATTATCGTTGTATTTTTGTATTAACAAGATGGGAATCAGACCATTTTATAATTTCGGACTTTATTTCCCTTTAAAAAAAATCCTCCAGAGCCACAAATCTGAAAAAGAAAAAGTAATACTCTGCAATAAAATGTTTGAGACATATAAAAAATAATAAAAGAAGAATATTCTTATTTATTTGGAGATTGAAAAAAAAACCTTAAAATTGTGGCGGGGGTCAGGATTCGAACTCCGGACATCCCACTCACTAGAGCTATTGCTTAACCACTGCACCGATTGTGCTACACAACTTTGGGGGGAATTTAATACATGTTATAATTCAGCCCTATCTTAAAGAGTACAGCGCCCTCTGTTGATATGGATTGCCACCGGCAAACCTTTAGTAAACGTTAGTTTGCCGGTGTTAACTCCGGCAAAATATACACTGCCTTAAAACAATTAAAGAAGACAATTCTTATTTTTGAGGGGGAACACAAAAAAGAAAAAATTTCAAAAACCTTTCTTTGCGAGGCGGGTGCGCTATCCACTAGGCCACATGTTTGCTCAACGAGAAACGGTGATTTAATATCTTACAAAAGTTACATGGTGTAGGCCTACTTGTATGTATACACACATTTCTGTGCCATCAGGGGGAAGCGTAAATTCACCAATTGCACCCATCATACAGGTATGGGGCGGGATAACGTAGGCCATTGAAAACATTTATTCATAAATTTTTGCTCACCAGTTTTTATCGGTTGCGATGAGTCACCATTCAACACTCCAGACTCAAGAACTAGACAAGGCAATGTAAGAAGCTCCCGGACTCATGCTCTAGTGTTTCAGAGGTAACAGTGGCGTGGGTTCGAGCCCGCCGGGTGGACACTTGTGCCCTTGAGCAAGGCACTTAACCATTATTGCTTCGTCCTTCGGATGGGACGTAAAGCCGTAGGTCCCGTGTGTTGTGTAATCCAATGCACGTAACAGAACCCAGTGACACTTAGCACTAAGAGAAGGGGTTTGCCCCGGTGTTTCTGATCTCCTGTGTAAACTCCCACGCAGAGTATTTAGGAGATGAACCAACCAAGAACCAATATTAAGGATTTCCGCTCCCACCCACAGAAACAATGAGAAACTAGAAAGGTGTTTGTGGACAAACACAAGCTGTTTCGGATGTTTGAGATGACTCTGTGACATGATGAACACATGATGACGTCACTTAAATCACATCTATAACACATACCGGTTTATGTACATATCAAGTTACAACAAAACTTGTTCTTTAGATATAGGCCTCAGAAAAATGCACCTCTAATAAATGTGACATCACATGACATGTGATATCATGATGTTGAGGTTGTTTAAATTTTCATCTAAACACATCCCGGTATGGGTACATACCAAGTTACAACCAAATCGGATCCAAGGTTCTTGAGATATAGGCATTAGAAAAATGCCCCATTAATGTGACGTCACATGATACTTGGTGACGTCATGATCACTTCAATTTTCATCTGTAACACATCCCTGTCTATGTGCATACCAAGTTTCAACCCAATCGGACTTGTACTCCCGAAGCAGCTAATGACATTAATTATCTGTACTTATTTAACAGGTGCTTGTCTGATTGATCATGGAAGAGACCGAGAATCTTGACTGGCTCAAGGAGCTCCTAGAAGAAACCCAACTGCAACAGTTCTTCAGCAGCATCCACGAGAACCTCCACTTGTCACGTCTGGAGCATTTTGATTACGTCAAGAGTGATGATCTAGAAAAGATTGGAATGGGTCGTCCAGCCGTGCGGCGCCTGATGGATGCGGTCAAACGTCGACGAAGACGCACTTTCCTGGGAAGGGTAAGCCATGCATTACGTGCAGCAGTGTACAGTTATGTACACCATGTACAAGTAACCCTCGCTGGTTACATAATAATAATGCGTATTTATAGAGCGCACGTATCCACCAGTATTGGTGCTCAAGGCGCTACATCATTATTACCCTGCTCATTGGGCCAATGAAACATTCCAAAGACAATCTCAGCTCCCTGGGGAGTATACAGCTACATGCTACCATTTTTGGCGTAAAGCAGCTAAAATCAACCACAATAACCATCTCTGCCCTCACAGGTGCCCATTTACTCCTGAGTGGGGAGAAACAATGAGTGACAAAGTGCCTTGCCCAAGGGCACACGCACCACAACCCCAGACGGGAGTCAGGTTGGCGTAGCGGTACTTTCCTCGCCTTCCACCGCTGTGATCCGGGTTCGAACCCCACCTGGGCCAATATGGGGATTGGGTTTTCAGTCCCTGCCTGATTCCGTGGGTTTTCCTCAGAATACTCTTCTGGGCTTTTCCTCCCACCTCTAAAACTGTAATTTCTTCACTCTGTCTTCTCTTTACTGGGACCCATTAGAGATCAGTGGATTCCACTGAATGGGCTACCCAGTTAAAATAAGAAATATATAAAAAAAAAAATACTTGTGCACAGAGCCCTATAAATGAATGACATCGTTTGTAACAGACTCTCAAATAGATGTGAACAAACATCTTTGCTTGAAGTTTGTAATAGATGTGTACTGGTTTTTACTCAAAGGTGTTAAACCGCAAAGAAGGCAACACTCCAGCTGCCAAACTGAAAGTGACGACGAAGCCATTGGCCCCAGAATCTCAGACAGCCAGCAGTACTCTCAAGCATAGCCTGACGTGTCTGATTGGTGAAACAGAGCTCACACTGCACGAGAAACTGGGAGACGGGTCCTTCGGAGTGGTTCGTAGAGGCCTATGGACCACACCAGGGCACAGACAGGTAGGATTGGGAAATAAATGTGTCCATGTATGCCCTACAAATGTTATTAGTTATCCCACAAGTGTGAGCAGAAGACAAAATGTAGTGTGCCTGTGTCCCACATGCCACGAGGCATATGAAACACATACACACCACATTTTTCGTGTTCCACGAGCGAGTGGGATAACGAATTTATCTTCAAGAAAACTTGACACACAGTTACGACGAAACACGCACCCTGTTCACGAACTTTTCAGCGGTTATCCTGTTCACGTTCGTGTACCAGGAAAGGCGCGCGCATCTTAGAATCACGCGATGCGAGATGTGCGATATGGACCGTGGTATATGGTATTTTATCTTCGAACAAACTTGAATCCTCGATCCTGATTGGTCGATCCATGGCAACAACAGTGTGATATTATACCTAATAGCGTAGTTGATATCGCACTATGCGTATCACTTGTATTACAAGATGCGCGCCATTCCTTCTGCACGCACGTATAATCGTATAACCATTGAAAAATGTTTGTACCGTGTGCGTGTTCCATCTTAACTGTGCGAAATTTTTGCCTTCGGCCTCGTGGTTTGTGGGACACACTGTTGTTGCCATAGATCGACCAATCAGGATTGAGGATTCAAGTTTCCTTGAAGACAGTGCTTGATATTTCAGGTTTTGCCGAACATGGCGAACCAAATTATTACCTCGACTCCCATTAGGCCAAAAAAAAGTCTCCGGTTTCTGGTATGGAGCTTGCCCAAAAAGTGGTGCGGCGACGCGGCTTTTTAAACTTTTTTTAAAATTTCTTTTTTCCTTCAAATGTCGGCTGATGACTGCAAATGGTGCCCGACTAAATTTAGTGCAAAATATTTTGGCGCCCAGAGAGGTCACATAAAGCTTATACTCGATTGTAACCTCATCTAAAAACACTTTAAAAATTGTGCAGCAGCAGGATTCCAGTCAAACCAGTGAGTTTGGCATTTTTGAGACATCATCTTACATTGAAAAAAAATGTATTAACAACTTTTGAGTCGATTCTACATCTAGTTGTTATTTCTTTCAGTTAACTTCACAGAGGTTTTTCGTTCATTATTGATATTCTTATTCACAGATTGATGTTGCCGTGAAGTGTCTGAGAAGCGACGCCGTGCGTCAAGCGGGTTTCTTTGAAGACTTTATCAAGGAGATCAACTCCATGCATTTGTTAGATCACACCAACTTGATTCGTCTGTACGGCGTCGTTATCGGTACCCCGCTCATGATGGTGAGTTCTGGGATATTTCAAATCCTTTTTAACCAGTTCGCGTCAGAGGACGTGATAACACGCACTGGCTGTTTTTGTGCACAGGCACGGCTGACGGGTTAAGACGTCAAGATTGCCTTGCCTCGCCTCCGGGTGACGTCTAAACATGCTAATCCCTCGTGCCTTTTGTACGCACAAAGTCTGTTAAATCTGTGGAGGCGGACTGTGTGTTGGTCTTGAATTGGCCGTTGTGCACGGCCTACTGTTGTACAATTTACGCTCCAGTGCACACCCCAAAGTATTAAATCATATGAAGTTCCGGCAAGAAATATCATACAAATACTGCTGAAATGACTCTTGCGAATCAGTATTTGTGGCGTTTGGCTGTAAATCAAAAGTTGGCTGGAAAATTCAAAATTTTTGGAAAAAAAAATAATCCCTCTTTGGAATTTGAGTGGTGTTATTATTGTAAACGAACAAAATGCATGAAAAGGAAATGATCCTATAGGCTATGCCTTTAAGGCGTGCGTGACATGAGCCTGAATTTTCTGACTGTAAATTTGAACGCTCATCGTTACGATAACAATGAGCGTTTGCGTTACAGTCCATAGCAGTTACAGCAATCAAATGTTTTTTTTCTATTTCTTTGTGAACAACAGGTGACTGAACTAGCTCCGCTTGGCGCACTAGTTGACCAGCTACGAAACAACCCAGACAATTTCTTGATCGCTATGCTGTGCGAGTACACCATTCAGATCGCCAGCGGTATGGAATACTTGGAGTCAAAACACTTCCTGCACCGAGATTTGGCTGCTAGGAATATCTTGCTGTGTTCAAATGATAAGGTACTCACGAATAAAGGATCATTGCAATGTAATTTCTTTAATTCCTCGAAAATGCACCTTTGTGTCCCCTTTTAACCTTATTTTCAATTTTCTTTTTGCCATTTTCAAGGGTATTTTGGTGTCTTTTTGGTTTTTATGCTAATGCAAATTTCCATATTCATGAGCAAGTGTGATGTCATTTCATGCCGAAACCTTTATGTTACAGCTATTGCAGCACAAAAAGTTACCAGAGTTTTGGATATTTTGCCCTTGTAAATGTTTTATTTCTTTGATGATCCTTTGTTGTGTCAGTACATGGCATTAAGCCAATTAGCAAACTTTTCTTACAAATGTTCACATTTGAACAGAAAACCCCTAAACTAAACAGTGTCTTCCTAAAATGACATCACAGCAACAGTGCCCCCAGTTGTCAGGAAAAGCATGGACAATTTTTAAATGTTAAAAGAAGTGCACTTTTGAATAAAATTAACCAAAAAGGAATGTCAAATAGTTTTCATACATTTTAGAGGATAATAAAGTTGCACAAATGTGTTCTTAAGAAAAGTCATTTCGTGAACACTTACAACAAAACTGTTTTACTTTCTTAACGTTCAATAAGGAAATTGACTGGAGCGGGGTTTGAACCTGCGACCTCCGGATTACCGTTCCAGTGCTCTACCAACTGAGCTATTCAGCCCTATGTTGACGGCTTCACATTTTGGCTTCTGACTAGCGCCTCTTGAACAAAGACAATGACACCATACTGAACCGCCAATATATACCTAGATGTATGCAAATCAGTCTTTTGTGTACTCAAATTGGACATTAATCTTGGCTGTGATTGGTTAAGACTCTAAGGGGCGGGCTTAATGGGTTGATCTTTTGTCCAATCACACGCCTTAATACTCTGCTTTTCATTCATCCAGATTAAGATCGGTGACTTTGGGCTGATGAGGGCGTTGCCGGTAACTGAGACGTACTATGTCATGACGGAGCACAAGAAGGTTCCTTATGCATGGTGAGTAGGCCAGGCACGACCAAAATATCCAGTGTGCCATAAAAAAAGTCATACAGTGCTTGGAATATTGGCTCTGCGCACAAGTACCCCCTCAATGTTGGGAAAGGGAGAGTTGGGGGAGACAACTGGGAGAGCCATTCGAACGCATTGCCGACAACGCCTGACGCTCATGCGAAGACTCGATAACCTTTTTTGCATTTTTTTTAATAAATGGAAACGATTTAAATCCCAGAACAGCTAATAAAAATTGGCAAAGACAAACTCAATCTACGCCCACGTACAATTTAATTTTTTTATCATTACTGCTCCTGCACTGAATTGATGTTTTCAATTTCATACACAAAAAAAAATGTCACAAGTTGTGGTAAGTCCGCCATCTTTGTTCTTGACGTTCTTCATCTACTCCCCAATATTCAGTGGGGAGTGGAAATCTTGTTCGCAAACAACGTTTGCGTGTTGGTTCTCAAAACTCTGTTCTTGTATTCATTCAACGTGAGAACAAGGTTTTCCAATACTCAACATTCTAAACAAATATTGACTGCTTTGAGTGGTGTAGTAAAACTAGCGCCCTGGATCACCGAGGGAAGCTAGTTTTACTACACCACTCGAAGCAGTCAATATTTGTTTTATAACACCTCTTTCACAGATTCTGCTTGATTTTAAGTAATTTATTGTCTCGCCTGAACTTTGTTCAGGAAAGAGACTATGCAATCGCTATGTCTGTCCGTGTGCGGGTATGAATGTATGTACATGTATGTATGTCTGTATGTGGTATTTTGGTTAAAGTTTCGTAAAATTGGTCTTATTTCTAAAGTTGAAGTCCCATTCGAACCAAACTTGGATCATAGATGCAACATGGCAACCTTCATATGATACTGATGTCAAAGGTCACAAACCAAGGTCAAAGGTCATCTGAAGTCCAGTTGTAAAATAGGCTGAACATGTACAAATTGGTCTCATTTCAAAAGTTGAAGTCGAATTGGAACCAAACGTGGGTCATAGGTGCAACGTGGCAACCTTCATATGAAAATGATGTCAGAGGTCACATACCAAGGTCAAAAGTCATCTGAAGTCCAGTTGTAAAATAGGTTGAACATGTAAAAAGTGGCCTCATTTGAAAAGTTGAAGCCCAATTGCAACCAAACTTGGGTCATAGGTGCAACATGGCAACCCTCATATGATAATGAAGTCAAAGGTCACATACCAAGGTCAAAGGTCATCTGAGTGAAGTTGTAAAACAGGCTGATAATTAATGTAAAATTTCCAGTCTCATTCGAAAAGTTGAAGTCAAATAAGCCTCTGTACTTATGACGCCACAGTTTGTTTCCGTGTGTGCTTTCCTATGGTGCTCAGTGGACCGTGGGCCCTCACTGGCTCCATAGGAAAGTGTACACGTAAACCAAGTGTGACGTCATCAGTACAGAGGCTTATTGGAATCACACTTGGGTCATAGATGTAACATGCCAACCTCCATAATGATGTCAAGGTCACATACCAAGGTCAAAGGTCATATGAGGTCAAGTTGTATAATAGGCGGAACATGTAAAATTGGTCTCATTTGAAAAGTTGAAGTCCAGTTGGAACCAAACTTCGGTCATAGATGCAACATGGGAACCTTCAAATGATAATGATGTCAAAGGTCACAACAAAGGTTAAAGTTCACTCTTGACAGATAATGGCAAAAGCAGGCGAGACACATGGTTCAAGAATCTTGTTCGAAATACAATTTAAATGTACTTCAATTTGAATACAAAATCAGTTGGATATTTACATGCAATTTTCCAAACTACCCCTTCACGAAATGTTTGAACCCAACTCTTTATTGCTAGCGCTTGAAGCAATATGCGCAATGTGCACACCCGTATGTGCATTTTCACACAATACCGGTTCTTATTCGTATAGTACTTTGGTTGCTACGGGTATCGTACTTTGGATGCTATGGGTATGGTACTTTTGTTGCTACTGGTATAGTACTTTTGGCTGTGCACAGCAAGATAACAAAAATAGTGAATGCCATGTGACTCGCTCTCAGCCAATCAAGATACAGAATTTGTGGGTGAGGTGTTATGATAAACCCTATATTCTACTCTAGTTTGGTTTCAATTTTTACTCGCCCAGTAAGCTTAATAACTAAAAATTAACACTAAACATTTTATAATTTGTTGCTGCAGGTGTGCGCCAGAGAGTTTAAAAACCAGACATTTCTCACATGCCAGTGATGTTTGGATGTTTGGCGTGACGCTGTGGGAGATTTTTACCTTCGGTGAGGAGCCGTGGCTTGGCTACAATGGAGCACAGGTAAAGGCATTTTCGTCCCATCCTTTTTGATCTATTGCAAGCCGCACGCACGCTAAGACGCGCAGCAGCCCGGCGCGATACAATCTTTGTGCTATTTAAGACCACAAAACTTGCCTTTTAAGTAGATGCAGTTGCCTTGAGGATTTCTTTTGCATTGTTTTAAGAACTAACAATATTAATTTTCATTATTGTCATTATTTTGACTCTTAAACTTTTGTTAGATTATCAATTAAACTGAAAAAGAGTACTTGATAACATACTATTTTTTACTTTTGTTTGTTCAAATAGTTTTGTCCGCGAATCGAATGACAAAGATCTACTTGGATGTTATATAAAACATTATGAAGGTTTTACATTCGTGTAATGGTGAGAATACTTTCATTCATTGAAGGATGGAATGTTCCAATTCAACTTACATTCAGTCTTTCACCTCATGAAATTGTTCTTACCATTGCACTCATTATTTGCATACTTTCTCAGTGAGTACATATATTACTGGCAACATTTTACTTCCAGTTACACCTCATTTTAAAATCTGCTACTCAAACAGTTGCGATCTTGGGATTTGCGTACAGGACGCCGCCACTTTGACAACTAGTTTTTGATGACATTACCATTCCACTTGGGGTCGGCACATTCGCTGGTCCAAATATACTGAAATTTGTATCCTTGTGGAGATATTTCTTTGTTCTCGTGTAGTGAAGTTTTCGAGTTTGAAAGAACAGTTTCAAAATGCTCTTATTTTAACCAGAATTAATTTCCTTGGCTGAAATTCGGACTTAATATCCCTTTTCTCAAACTCTATCATTTGCGACCGATCAACATACCTTGGAAATTCCTAGTTTTTGAGTAAAATCCATTTATCTATTTTGTGAAAACCTTATTCGTATTCATCTATAAAAATTGCCCTGTGGAGATGTATACAATCTTTTGTTCCCTATTGTGTGCATGTCTCCAGAGGGCACGGTGTATCAGATCTCGCTTACGAACACAAACATGTACTCTTGACTGTGTGTTTATAAAAATCACGAAGGTAATGGACGACACCCAATAATAAATTCATAAAATAACGTCTTGTTTGTTTAAATTTGCCGTAGATTCTTCACAAGATTGACAAAGATGGCGAACGCCTGCCTAAGCCGGAGCGTAGCCCATCGTCCATCTATGAACTCATGGAGCAATGCTGGCACCAATCACCGACCATCAGACCAAACTTCACAACGCTGAAACAAAGGCTCATTCAGGTAATTGTAAATGTTTAACCCTAACGCCCTAGGCATTTTTGCTAGGATGTAGCCTCAATCCTGCCAAATCCTCCAATTGGCCTCATAGAAAAATAGCATATAGCCTCAATGCTGCGAATTCCTCCATTATTTCTTAAATATGGTCTGTGGAGGGCTGACCACTGCCTGAATCCTGCAAAATCCTGCGGCAGTGACTGTCAATATGTTGAGGCTTGGCCAGTGACATCCTGGAGCAGTACGGAGGATTTCAAGCATAATCCAGGCCTATATTTATGCACGGCTGAGCAAAAACAACACAAGGTCCAGCCCAAGACCTTGGAAAAACAAAAGTGCATCCTACGAAATCAGTAATGCACTTTTGCCATGTAACCTCAATCCTCCAAATTCCTCCACTTTGGCAAAGAGGATTTTGAAGGATTCAGGGCAGTTAGGGTTAATGCATTGATTGTGTCAGAATTACACATGTGGAAGTCATCAAAGTCTGACGATTTTAGTTTGAAACTTCCATTCCTTGGAAAACAATTGCAACGCTGCTTTTTGCAACTTATGTATATGGCATGATGTTTTTATGTTTCATGCCTCTGCCACTTTATGTGAAGAATTAAATTAGTTTATTTGCTTCGAGTAAGGTTTGTGGGCAATACCAGCGTTATGAATAGGAATATGCACCAAAACCGGGTACCCGAGTAACTGACCATTGATACATATCAGAAACCGGTTCCAGATTATGGGATCGGGTACCCATAACCAACTTTACAAATTGTCGTGTCCGTGCAACAAGGTCGTATCTCCGAAAATGGCGTGTGATGTCATGTAGGTGAAACGCGAGTATTCAATGTCAAAAGGTCGTATCTCACTTAAAATAACCGGGATGTACACAAAAAGTCAACGGACGTCGCGAAGGGCAAGATGCAACCTTGTTACATTGAGCGTATTTGCGCGAGATGCGACTTTGTTATAGACTCGAAATGCAATCTTGTTGCACTGACGCAACAAAATTAATTAGCAACTCTTCAGACAATGAAAAAGAAAGGTTTCCAATTTTCAAAATGAAAACAAGGCTACATTGCGAAATAAAATGTATTCCACGTTTTAATGTGATGCTTGCGAAAGTTGTAGTTTACACGGTAAAGCCATAAAGCCCACCGCACGCACTATTTCTGGTTCAGTAGTTATTATCGTGTGGACCTTTATGATCAATCTTTAACAGGTACCCATGTTCATTGCAATCGGTTACCTAGTTCCCTTACTACCTGGGAATTGTTCAGCCTTGGTGGAGGTTTGCGCTCTCTGAGTGCCTTCTAGTTTTCACTGTGTTTAATTAGCCTTATGAGCTCCGTGCGCCAACGAAAGAGGGCGCCCTTTTACCTATCAACGACTTCCCATTGGCGGGACATTTAGCTGGTTGACGCGTACTGTTCCTTATGTGTGATGCACGTACACCAGGGGATTTGTACTATGTACATGTGTACACGCAGTGGTACGGCCGCGCGTCGCGGCAAAATTGCAGTCAGGCAAGATGGCGTCGGTCGGTCACCCCCAACTTTACTTAGTTTGCCAGTGAGGGGGTACTTGTGAACGGAGCGGATATGAACAGTGATTAACATTCCAAAGTTTCTTTTTCAATTTTTATAAAACCTATAGATTCGTCCAACCGATTTGAAAGCGCAGCAGCAAACAAATGCTGATCAGCCAGACAAGGTTCAGATGGAAGTTGGAGATGTTATAACCGTCATGGATGGAAGGTGCGAAAATTGGATTTTTGTGCTTAAAATTGATAGTTTAACTGCTGTGATGTGGGATATGGCATTTTTAATCCGAGGGGGTTAAAAACGGCATATCCCACATCACAGCAGTCAATAATTGTTTTGTTATATCGTGCCATTAAGTCAAAAAGACAAAGAACTGTAACTTACTGTGTGAGAAATAATAAATCAGTGCAGTGAAAAGTTTTGATGATTGCGAGCTTTTCTGCCAGACATGAGGCTAAGCAGCTGCACTTCTCAGTCACGAGGCGCACAGGCAGGCCCTACACGCGTGCAACACAGAGGTACTTTATATGCAACGCAGTGTATATGAGGTAATTTATATGCAACGCAGTGTATATGAGGTAATTTATATGCAACGCAGTGTATATGTAATTTATATGCAACATGGTGTATATGAGGTAATTTATATGCAACGCAGTGTATATGAGGTAATTTATATGCAACGCAGTGTATATGAGGTAATTTATATGCAACGCAGTGTATATGAGGTAATTTATATGCAACGCAGTGTATATGAGGTAATTTATTTGCAACGCAGTGTATATGAGGTACTTTATATGCAACGCAGTGTATATGAGGTAATTTATATGCAACGCAGTGTATATGAGGTAATGTATATGCAACGCAGTGTATATGAGGTACTTTATATGCAACGCAGTGTATATGAGGTAATTTATATGCAACGCAGTGTATATGAGGTAATTTATATGCAACGCAGTGTATATGAGGTAATTTATATGCAACGCAGTGTATATGAGGTAATTTATATGCAACGCAGTGTATATGAGGTAATTTATATGCAACGCAGTGTATATGAGGTAATTTATTTGCAACGCAGTGTATATGAGGTACTTTATATGCAACGCAGTGTATATGAGGTAATTTATATGCAACGCAGTGTATATGAGGTAATTTATATGCAACGCAGTGTATATGAGGTCCTTTATATGCAACGCAGTGTATATGAGGTAATTTATATGCAACGCAGTGTATATGAGGTCCTTTATATGCAACGCAGTGTATATGAGGTAATTTATATGCAACGCAGTGTATATGAGGTACTTTATATGCAACGCATTGTATATGAGGTCCTTTATATGCAACGCAGTGTATATGAGGTACTTTATATGCAACGCAGTGTATATGAGGTAATTTATATGCAACGCAGTGTATATGAGGTCCTTTATATGCAACGCAGTGTATATGAGGTAATTTATATGCAACGCAGTGTATATGAGGTAATTTATATGCAACATGGTGTATTTGAAGTAAACTGGTATTTTTATAGACAGGACGCGTGGCTGTTTTAGACCAATGAAATTACATTATCCAAGACACGGTTTAACCATATAGTTTGCCGTTCACATTTATGTCATATTTTCCTTGGTCACAGATACATGTGATTATAGGAGATTGCATTTTACTCGAGTTAATAGGTCGAGATCGAGTCTAACCCTCAAGTCACGTGCGTCGAGTCTGAGTCTGAGTCCCGAGTGGTTCAAGTTCGGTTTTTAGTCACTCGGCCTGAGTCCGAGACTCGAGTCGCGTTGTTCAAGTCTGACATCGAGTCTCGAGTCACTTGGTCTGAGTCCAAGTCGCAAGTTTCTTGTTTGAATTTAAAGGGAAAATACAACATTTGCAAACATCAAAAAATAAAACTACCAAATCATTTTGAAATACCTTGCTGGACTGTTAGTGAATGACAGTGTAAAGCATCCTGTAAAATCATGGCACCTGGTATACTGTCATTTTCAAGAAAAGTGCTATTTTTGTATCAATTTCCAACGCTGATCGGCCGATCAGCGTTGGAAAAAACTGGCTTTTTTTCAAATACTGGCCCCAATTGACCATCGCACTTATTTGCAATCGATTACACACCTATGAACGGGTACAAGCCAGCTAGACTGGTTCCCTGACCTTACAATTCCCCAATGTATGTAAACTGCTCTGTTTCTTCTTCAATGGAGTCAGAGAACCAGACTACAGGAAAATGATTGTTTTTCTTGGTTTTTATAGCATTTTTGAACCCAAAACCTCAAAAAAGTCAGTGTAACTATATTTGCTATATATTTCCAACCCCCCAATTCCATCCATTTCTGAAAATTACAGCAAAAGCAAATGATGTATATTCCCTTTAAAGGATAAGTGTATCCCTAAATCAACAAACTTTATCAGCTTACATTGGACATCTTCCAGTACCCTTGGGGAGCTAGCATTGACTATCCAACCTCAAACCATGCTATAATTGTATAATATTTCACAGACCGGAGAATACTTGGTGGTGGGGTCAGAACAGGCGGACCAAGCAGCTCGGGTATTTCCAACGGAGATACGTGATACCACTCTCTGGATCCCTGAAACAAAATGACATCAGTCTGCCCTTGACAGACAGTATGATTCACACCGGCCATGCTGGAGTAGACGGTGGGGAGACGTGGGGTCATCCTGATGTCATCGACGAGTAAGTCTTACTTCACAAGATATTGGGAGGGGGGGGGGGAGAATTGACCTATTGCCGTTTGCGAGTTAGCCACGCCCCTTAGACAACCCTATGGAATTTTTGTACACTAAGTTTTGTTTGTCTCGGATTTTGCACGTTCTGCGTCCATTTGTGTTTCATGTAATTGGACAAGATTTCACAAGTTGCGTTGACGCGATTCTAGCGCGATTCTACCGCGATAGGTCAGTAGGAAAGCTGTGTTATTTTTTCCTTAATTTTAGTAATTTATTAAATTTACGCAAATCTGAGGCGTTCTGGCAAAATGAGACAGAACTGGGCAGATGTCAAAATGAGGGTTTGCAGGTATTAGGACAGAGGATCAAATTCTCCTTACGAAACTGTTTGTTGCATTTCAATTCGAAATTCCATTTATTGCCTTGTCAATAAAAAGGAAAAAATACTGAGAAAAAGGCCTTTAAAGTTTTGAGCTTTGTAGTTATGAAAATGAAATATGCTAATTGTTTTTCCTTAGAAATATTTTTATTCCACGATTTTAATATTGTTTCTTTAATAAAACATGTGTTGTAGACATATCTAAGATTACAAATATCAATAAATCTGATATTTCTTTTTTGGCATAACAGTTTCTCCAACTGTGCCAAGTTCTATCTCATTTTGCCAAAACTCCTCACAAATAAGACTTGTGCCAGCATTTGGCTGGATAGCTCAGTTGGTAGAGCACCGATACGGTATTCCAGCGGTTGCAGGTTCAGTCCCTACTCCAGTCAATTTCACAGTTCAACTTAAAAAATAGTCAGTTTGCCTTTTTGGTTTTCTTGATTATTTGTAAAAAAAAAAAAATTTAATTTAAAAAAAGACATATCCTCTCTGAGTGATCCCCGTTTGCTGTTTCCCAGGTTTGCAGCATTGCTAATGTTGCTAGCATCGTGACTTTGGGCGTGATCCCTGGCTACATGGCATACAGGTTTATGGCTTCTGACTAGCGTCCCTTGAACAAAGACATTGACAGATTGGGAACTGCCAACATAGGGCTGGATAGCTCAGTTGGTAGAGCACCGGAACGGCAATCCGGAGGTCACAGGTTCAAACCCTGCTCCATGCAATGTCTTTATTCTAATAATTACCAAACTTTTTCTTGGAGCACCATCTTTAAATTACAGTTGACTACATTATTGGATACTTTGCAGGGTGTACCGTATCCCAATGGAACCCATCGATCAGTTTGGCGAAGGCCCCGAATTCAGCGATTCCAAACCAGCACTTCTACTCTCAGACAGATCAAAAAGTAAGTTGAAAGAGTTTTTCTGAGTGGAATTGGATTTTTGGCATTTAAATTGGTTCCCAAATCAAATACCAATAAGCATATAACTTCCTAATACACTTTTATGAAACATTACACAGCTTACGCAGCTTACGCCATGCGTAAGATTTACGCAACAAGTTTGTGGCATAGCTGCACAATAAACTTACGATCAATTTCACGAAACTTCGCGTAGCTGCGCAACATAAATAATTTAAACATCTTGGACGAGGATAATAACATGCTTTAACAAAAGTTGTTTGTGTATGATTTCTGTTTGGTTAAAAAATGGTCGTCGAATCACCTTCGCTCACCATTTTGGAAAAATTTTGTCTAACTATCTTCGGAATTGAGCGGCAAGTCTTAAAACTTCTGTCAGGGGTAAAATAGCATTTCATTTATGTCGAAAACTAAGTTGAGTTTCTTGTATCAACTTTGACATGTTGGCCAATTATGGGCCTTACGATGATTACGATTTCAGTTGGTAAAATAGTCGTTTTTCAGGCAGTAAGCCATAACTTACGCCACCTAGTTTGGTTGTGTATGTTACACCAAAATTTATAGCGTAAGATGCGGACTTACGCATTTGGAAACTTTTGTGAAATGCATCACAGATGAAATGCCGCACAACTGAAATGTTACGTAAAGCCCGGTTCATACTTCACGCAAAAGCAATTGCAAAGCAAAATTCATGTTGTCAATGATGGTGGATGCGCTCCGAACGTATTGTTGACGTCACGAATTTCGCTTCGCTTTCGCGTGAAGTAAGAACCGTGCTTTACTTATGCAATTAAATGTAGCAGAAGTGAAGTTATGCAATGCATCAAGTTTTCGTGAAAGTTGCTGCAGTTGTGATAACTATGCACTTTGATTTTTGTTTTTGGTCATTAGGCAGCAGCAGAGACAAAGACTCGTCAGCCAAACGGGACAAGGCTACCAGATCATCAAGTCGCAGCATGCAGCTCCCCCAAGCAAAGCAGACCAAAAATCAAGAAGGTGAAATTAGGGCTGGTTCCTCCGTATTCTATGTCCGAGCCTCACCGGACGCCGACAGAACACAGAAAGATACCGAGCTATTAATTGATTTCTCAGATGCTAGCAGCGGTAGCGCAGGTACCAGTCGCGGCGTCATTGAGAGCAGTTCGCAATCATTGGCATTGCTTGATATGTCCCTACCAAGTTTCGCGTCAGCCGGTGCGCTGCAGCAGATACCAACACCGTTGAACCCGGTACCCACCAGCGAGCTCGCCTCAGGCGACTTATTCAAAACAACAACTACCACAACATCAAAACAAGAGTCTGTGTCTAAATTCAACGAGGAATACGGTAGACCTGTCAAAAAGACCAATCCGTTTGAGAGTTACAGGTCACACGGGTCGGACCCGAGCAGTAGGCACATTGGCCAGCACCTTTATGATGATGTGGCCGTCGATCCTGTCAGAGAAATAACAAAAAGCAACTCTGACCAAGTTACATCAAGTAGACCTTCCCTTGACAAAAGCAAACAGCAGAGGTTTAAACTCGCACAGACTGATGTAACTTCCCAGGGTACCGGTGCCGCGGCGTCATTTGGTAGGGGTCCGCATCTGTATGATCCTGTGCCTGCTGAAATAAGCCAAACCCCGGTTGTGAGTAAACCCGAAAACTGGGTCCATTTTTATGACGAAGTTCCCAAAGAAAACGATGAGTGTAAAAGCAAAGCCGGGCATGAAGTACCCCAAATGATCAGCCCCATGAGCAGTGCCTTTCGGAAACCAGTCCAACCTGTGCATCACTACTCTCCCGTTGCGGAAGAGGCGTCAATCCCCGGAAATGGCACCAAACAATTTTCTGCCACTATCACTTTTGAGAAAAAACTATCAAAGCAAGAGATTTCATTGAGTCGTCAGGATGACAGTAGTCAGTTTCAAACCGATACTCAGATCTCAAAGCTTTCTCATCAAAAGGATGTTACAAATAGCTCAGATAGAGCCCCACTTATCCGCAACGAGCATGGCGGAGTGAAAGACGACCCTAAACAAGGGAAACTAGTTGGAAAGGTTCTGAAATCAGAGGATCATTTAATGTTACTGAACTTCCCTTCAAAGGGAAAGCAAGACGAAGGTGATTTTGATAGCGACATTGAAAAACCCGTCTTGCCACCGCGTGCGCCTGCCACAGGGCAACAGCTCGTCGGCAAAAGAGCAGGCCGTAAATTAGATCGAACCGAAAGAAAATCGGATCCCTTACTCTTAAACCTCAAATCCAAGCATGAATGGGTAAGACAGAAAAGCCAGGAGGAGTCGCTAAGCTGCCCAATCTTTTCGAGTGACAGTAAGCAGTCCAAAGATTTCAAGCCGCCCCTCCCGCCCAGAAAACTGACCCCGGATTTGTCAGATCACGCCCGTCACTTTTCCGCACCGGGCGAAGAGGGCAAGTCCAAGATCTACCCGATCATGAGAGACGGGGTCAAGTTGAGCCATACTCACTATTTCCTCTTGCCTCCCAAACCGTCTGGTATTTTCCAACCCCCTGATGACACAAGTAGCCCTCCGAGTTCCCCTTGTTCCAATGAACCGCCGGTGTCCCCTTCCTTTGGCATCCGAGCACCCACAACGGCCCACATCCGCCCTATCATGCGCGACGGCAGACAGGCCAGCGACACGCATTATGTCGTAACTCCCGGGCGTAACACAGTCTTCACAGACTCCCTCGAGTCCTGTAACCCACCTCTCAGCGACCGAGAATTCAAGAGAACTCAGTCACTTTCAAGACACCAACCAACTCCTAGATCCGTCGCGAACAAGACAACCTTGTCGCAGAACGCGTTAGATCTGTCAACTCTCAATCCCATCTTACCTCAAACAAGCTCCAAGACTGTCCATTATACTCGCACCGGCAATACTCACCACGAGTACTCAAATCGCCCGGAGTACTCAACGCGCCCCGACCACTTAAAGCGCCCGACGGAAGACTCCGATTTAATGGCCTCCGAGACGAAATCGTCGGCTCTTGAGAAAATCCGTCGCGTCCAGTCTGAAGTACATGGCGTGACCATGGAGGAGTGTCGTAACGCGCTCATTGGCAACGCCTGGAGCGTAGACGCTACTATCCACGAACTTAAAATCGAGCAATTATTCCAGTTAGGGAACGTGACGCGCGATCGTTGCGAGTCGTTGCTTTCGTCGCTGGACTGGAATTTGCAATTAGCCAGTTCGGTTTTATTAGATCAGTCGTAAATGTATCCTTCTACATGCTTCCTAATGCTTCTACATGCTAAGTAATTCAGTGATATTTGCTGTAGGACAATCAATATTTATTCCTAGAACTATTTTTTTAAAAAGTCAACATAATAAATGCTGGGGTTGTTAAACTGAAAGAGAGATTTAACTTAAGTATTTTCGCTTCATGCAGTTTAATCGTCAAGCTTGTGCTGTCTTTTATACAAAGTCATCTGTTTCTTAAATTCTTCAGATTGTCTATTTAACAAACGTTTACTGTAGCCATTAAAAATTCTCATCAAAAATCCTATAGCGAGTTGTTATGATATCGAATACCTTTCTCCATGTCACTATAAACAGGATACCATTTCTGCATTGAGTTAAAGTAGGGCCTATAAATGTGCTGTATTAGGTGAAATAATAGATGCAGTAAGAAAAGTGCTTCTGATGTGATAAGTAGTGATAAAACTGTCCAGCAGAGTCGTGAAAGCCTGCCTAGGGATCATATCCAATGGAGTTTTGGTTGAGTAACTTGAGTCAAGTCCGAGTCTCAAGTGACTTAGTTTGAGTTCGAGTCTTGAGTCACATGGTTTGAGCCAAGTCGTGAGTCACTTGATTCGAGTCCGAGTCTGAGTCACCATTCACTTGGGGTTCTTGTCCACTAGAGTTGAAGTCGAGTCACTTGAGTCGAGTCTGAGTCTCGAATGACTTGAGTCAATTTTGAGTCACGAGTCACTTACATTGGGTTGGAGGTGAGTCACGAGTCACTTGGTTTGAGTTCACGTCTGAGTCACTAGTCATTTAAGGTTCTTGGCCACTAGAGTTGGAGTTGAGTCAAGTCCGAGTCTCAAGTTCCTTGGGTTGAGTTTGAGTCTTGACTTGCATGGTTTGAGCCAATTCACGAGTCACTTGGTCTGAGTCATGAGTCACTTAAAGTTCTTGTCCACTAGAATTGTAGTTGAGTCACTTGAGTCAAGTCTGAGTCTTAAATGACTAGGGTTGAGTTTGAGTCTTGAGTGACATGGCTTGAGCCGAGAGACATGAGTCACTAGGTTTGGGTCCAAATCTGAGTCATGAGTCACTTGATTTGAGTATGACTCCGAGTTCGAGTCTGGTTCGAGTCTGAGTCTAAGTCACGAGTCATTTGGTTTGAGTTCTAGATACGGGTCACCTCATTTGAGGCTGAGTCATGAGTCACTTTTTTTTACTCCGAGTCTGAGTCATGAGCAACCTGGTTTGAGTCTGAGTCACTTGGTTTTGAGTCCGAATTACGAGTCATTTGGTTTGAGACTGAGTCTGAGTCACAAGTCATTTGGTTTGAGTCCGAGTCTGTCTCATGAGTCACTTGGTTTGAAACTGAGTCTGAGTCACGAGTCACGTGATTTGTGTCAAGAGTGATTAGGTTTGAGTTTGAGTCCAAGTTGCGAGTAACTCGCTTCGAGTCTTAGTCACTAGTCACTTGGTTTGTGTCTGAATCCGAGTCACGAGTCACTTGATTCGAGTACAAGTCATGACTCCAATTCAGAGTTTTTTCTTTCTTGTTAAATAAATATCAGTGCAATAGCTACTTTCATCTGAAAAAAAAAAACGTAGGCTTGCTTTTAGTTTTTGTATTTTTTTTTATGCATGTATACATTTATTGTATAAAATTAAGTTTTATTTTGATGCATGCCTTGGAAAACAAGTTGTTTGTTTATGTAAAACGAGGCTTCGCCTCACCCGCTATGCAGGCCTGCTTCGCTGGCGCGCTCTGCATGCACCTTTTGACCAGCACGGCACGCAGTTGCAGGTGGCAGTTTCGAATATCTGAATATTCGGTCAAACGCAGTTTCAAGTACGTGTAATCGAATACTAAATTATTCGAAATGGACAGCCCTACAAAAATATTCAACTTCAAATTGTCATGTAACTTCTAGTCTAATGACATTACCATTTTTAAAAATTCTTAACCAGTTCGCGTCGGAGGATGTGAAAACGCGCACTGGCTGTTTTTATACACAGGCACGGCTGACGGGTTAAGACGTCAAGATTGCCTCGACTCGCTCCGGGTGACGTCTAAACACGCAAATCCCTCGTACCTTTTGTACACACTCGCAAAGTCCGTGAAATCTGTAGAGGCGGACCGTGTGTTGATCTTGAATTTCTTGCTGTGCATGGCCTATCGTTGTACAATTTACGCTCCAGTGCACACCCCGGAGTATTGAAAAATAAGGTTTCGGCAAGAAATATCGTACAAATACTGTTGAAATGACTTTTGCAAATCAGTATTTGTGGCGTTTGGCTATATATCAGAAATTGGCTGGAAATTGTTGCCTTTTGCGAAAATTGAAATTTTCGGCAAAAAATAATCCCGGCGCGAAGTGGTTAAGTAAGTTGATATTGTAACATACAGCTGACTGTTACAGTTATATTTGAGATACTTCAACACGCATGCCTGTTACTTTTTAGGTTGGTTTTTTTAGCTTTGTATTATTATTTTTTATTAATAGATTTTGTATTAGTTTGTTATAATTACATTTTATATGTTATACTCAGTTATTGTTGCTTTACTGATGACTCTGGAATTACTTGTCACGCAACTCTCCATCTGTAAATTAAAAGAAACGTTTCATAAATTAAGTTCTGCCAGAGCACAAGATATGATCAGGGTATTGTATAGATAGTGTAAATTGAAAAATAATGTAATTTTTTTGTTTTGTTTTGTTCATTTTTTTGGGGGAGTGGAATGTCATGTGAAATATTCAATGATCCCACAATGTCACAAAAATGAACACATTTTTCTATAGGGGATAATGTTCATGACAAGTTTCATGTTTCTCCCTACTTAAAATAAGTTTACAAGGATTTGAATTGAGGCTCTTTTTTGCATGTAAAATTTTAACCTTCATTCATAAATACCTCAGACAGTTTAGCTATTCCTATTGGTCGAGAGCCCATCATGTGGCCGTTCTTAAACAGATGATAAAGACAAGGCTAGCTGGTCTTAAACACTTTTCCAGTGTCACAATAAAATGTGGACTCCTCAAAATCCAGTGCCTCTTACCGTTTCATTGGTTGAATGTTTACAATCCTCACGAAGGCATGCGCAACACTACCAGGGAGTCAGAATTTTATAGTTCTAAATTCAAAACGCAATGCCCCAGGTGCGTTCTGCGCGACATCGCACAGAACATGGTACGCGCGCGTCAATCTCCATAAAAGGGTTATTTACATCTTACTCGCCAGCTGAACACTCCATTATTTTGCTAAAGGGATGTTTCAAAAAGCATGAAGTGAACTTGTTGAACAAAATCGGGATTTTTTTTAACGAATTATTTAATATTTTTTACCGAAAAGGTATTTATGAATGGGAATAAATATGTGCTCGGTCGGTATTTATCACTCTGTTTAATACCGCTTAGAGTCTGGGTGCTGATAATTACCCTCGCCTCCGGCACGGGTAATTATCAGCACCCAGACTCTAAGCGGTATTAAACAGAGTGATAAAAACCTCTCTAGCACACATTATTTAATTCCCTTAATAGTAAAACCTGGAATTAAAATTAAATGCTGAGAAACTTTACCTTCACAACATAATATTAAAAACGGTTTGGTCTGTCATATTAAACAATATGTACAAGAATTTTCATTTTGAGTTACAAATGATTTTCATTATTTTTGAGTTTTTGACTGAAATTTGCATGTAGTGTTACACATGATATAACAGTAACATACATCTTTTTAAGATGAGGATTACAATTTTGCCAAGTTTTTGGGGTTCAGAATATCGATCTTCAAAAAAACAAATTGTCTCAATTCGATTGCACATGTGTCTTCTGAAAAATGATATTTAAGATGTCTTGTACTGTTGATGTTGTACGGCCTGATTTCTCCAATTGATTAATATATTATATGGCACTAATCTTATGTTGACTGTGATGTTAATTGCAATAACATGTGTACCTTGAAATTGGGGTTAAAATTTTGCCAAGTTTTAGGTACAGCATTTCGGTCTTCAAAAAAATCTTTAAAAAAAAGTCTTAATTCAAGTCGCACAAGTGTCTTTTGACAAATGTTACTTTTAAATGCCTTGTATTGTCTCTATAGTATGACCTGAAGTGAAATATGCAAATGGTTTACTGTTAAAAATACCAAATGACAAGGCCAACCAACCGAAAAAGTCAACCATCATTTTCAATATTCCCTCTTAAGACATGTGAGTTTGTTATGACCTAGACTTTTTGAAATGGAGAAAGTGTAGCATTGCAATTTAAGCGCATCTTATGCAATTTATTGTTTAGAAGAAAGGCTGCAGAGAGTGTGGAGAATTTAATGAAAGAAACTATGCAAAGTTAAAAAAAAAAAAAATCTGAACAATTTGAAATAGACATAGGGCTTTAAACAAACTTCTTAAAAACTGGGAACCCAAAACAAACCTAGAGAATTATTGTAGCGAATTAAGAGGTGGGAAAAAGAGTATGCAAAGTTATAAAGCAGAACAATTTTTTTCAAACAAACGTTACGTTTTACCAGAACAAGGGAAAACAAGACAACATTTATTGAAAAATTTCAATATGTGATCGAATTGATCCCTATTGTCCTAAAAACTTGATCTATAGGCGATTGGGTTTAAACTCACGTACCAGTATTGACGTTCTTTCACAAGTCGAGTGGATGAACAATAACAAAGGAACCCCATTGTCATAGACATAGTCCATATCAATAGCTTGTGAATTTAAATTTGATGACTTGTGATGGACTTGTGATGGACTTGTGAGGACTTGTGATGGACGCGGCTACAAGAATGCAACTTACCTAATGAATATTGTTTGACCTTTCTTGTCAGTGCTGAAGATAAGACATGATATTTCAATATGCTTTGAGGATAATTTACGGGCAGTTTATTATACTTGTGATTTATTTTGAAACATTTGCATTATAGTAATTTCCATTCAGTATTAATAACAAATTTGATATACAGGTGGATAAAAAAACCCCAACGAAACCGAGTTATTATTGCTAATTGGAACAGAAGTAGGGCACATGTGAATCAAAGGGAGATATCCTCTGTTAGGGTTGAATCTCCTCTTTAAAATGATACCCTGATCATGTCATTACATTCACGGTTGACTGAGCAGTGACCAATTTTATGAAAGGGTCTATTGACAGACTTGCGCCACTTTTCATGTTGAAATCTCTTCTTCTTTTTTCCCCACCCGCCTTGATTGGCAACCATAGCCTTTCACTCTGTGACAAATGACACCACAAAAACCACAATTGAAAAGTGGCGCAATTTAAATAGACCCTTTCATATAATTGGTCACTGCTCAGTCAACCGTGAATGTAACAACGTGATCAGGGTGTCATTTTAAAGAGGAGATTCAACCCCAACAGAGGATATCTCCCTTTGATTCACATGTGCCCTACTTCTGTTCCAATTAGCAATAATATCTCGGTTTCGGGTGTTTTTTTTATCCACCCTGTACAAGGCAATTCGAACACATTATGTTAATATTTTCACAATTTTATTTTGACAGAAAACCAAAGTAACCTTTTGGCCAAAATTAAGTGAAATATATGGACAATTTTGTCCAACACAATTCTCTTACATTGATTGGTTCTAGGTTTTAAATTCAGGTTTAAATTAATTCTTCTCTATGTTGTAATTTTCGAACATATTCATGACCTAAGAGGACATACACAGATTTTAAATTCATCATTGGTGCTGTTTATTGTTTATATTTTAATATCGTTTTTAGTTTGTCATTTAGCATTCACTGTAGACAAGACAATAACCTTATTTTCGATGTATTTGCAAAAAAAACTCTTTAAATGCGTGTTATTTTTCGTATACTGAGTAGTTTATATCTGTCAAAAAGAAATAATGTTCCTGTAAATTGAGAGTGACTTTTTAAATGACATATGTCTATGTTCTTAAGCATTCTAAATACATTAAGTAAATGTGAATAACTTGAACAAAGCTACTTGTATGTAGTCGGTTGACATGTGCAGTGTATATGTAATGTACAAACCTTGTGTTGTTACATATGACGTAGCAATATAATCTATTTCCCCATTTTTGCCAAAATAATACCGCAGTAGAGATAAAAATGCAAGTATAGTTGTAATACTTCATAATCTGTACTATGCTTGTACAGTCTCTTAGTGTTCAATAAATATGTTAATTTGCTTCCAATTTTTGAGTTTACAACATGATGTGAATTACTCAGTTTAAATCCACAAAACCCATACTTCTGTAAATGGACCGATCCAGTAAGCCCCGCCCACTGCGCACGTGGACTTAACACGTGCTCCTCTCCAATGCCACACTGCATTTTCCTGCCGCGCGCATCATACGCGCGTGCACGCATGTAGGACTTTTGTGCACGCATGTCGGACATAAATCACGGCTGTGATTGGTCAGAATACCATGGAGCGGTGCTTACTGGATCGGTCCATTGAGTTTCTCGTGTGTCAAAGAATTGTTCATATAATTTATTAGCCGATTTTGAATTGTCTCGTGTACATTCATGATTGACAAATCTGACATAACTCTTCAAATGTGGTCATGTTAAGGATATGTAGCTATTCCAAAACACTGGAATTAAGGTATTTAAGGTGGAGTATATCATTTGCAGCTATCCAAAAAATATTGTTTTCTCGGAATGTACAGCATTCACTGAGCTAAAAGTTCATCAGGTTAGTTGTTGAGCACCCTTCTTATAGATATTGAGCACTTGTGTTGCTTCAAACGGGAAAAAATGCACACATGATGATATACTCTACCTTTAATGTACATTTATATTCAACAATGGAAGTTCACAAGTTATTTTGTACTATGTACATCACAATCGCAGCTTGTAATACATCATATCAATTCGTGAGCGCTCCTTTTCAAGCGTCCACACAGGAACTGATTTTTCCGCTATGGGAATTGCCATCAAAAACGGCGCCTCGATTGTTTTTTTTTGTACACCATTGGAAAACGGAGCACCGCTTTGACTTGTTAAAAGAATATAAGACAGATAATTTTATTCTACATCATACTGATATAAAATATTGAATTTATATTAAAAACAAAGCCCGTACTTTTCAGGATATATATTGTTGTTTTAGCAGAATTTAACACGATTCTGTGTGTAAGTCGACGTTTTCAGTAAACCCGCACCGCTTCAACTCGCCGTAAACACAAACAGCGCCACCGTACGGCATTATTAAAAAAAGGGTTGTTAGGGAAAGTTGTGGTCTAACTAATTATCTAACATGTATTTTGATTGGACATTGTTAAGGCCCGTACATTGAGGATTGAAGAAGATGATCGCCAATCATAACCCTGCTCAAATACGTCGTGGGCATTGCGTTGTACGTGCGTACACTACGCTCAAATCTTGTCACGCCGGCCGGCCGCTCACGTCCACACACAGTACACGTTGCGCGTACGCGCATTTGTATTACATTTTGTTACAATCGTGCTATGCGCAAAATCGGGTTGAATCAGGTAAAATAAATAGGAGCGGTTTTTGCCATCCGGTTCGTTAGTGTGACGTCACCTCCAGGACTTTCTGCACGATTGGAACCGGAAGTTAACGCAGCTCGAGCGTTTGTAGCCAATGGGCACTAGTAATCAGTGGTGAGCGTGCGTGTATGACGTTTTTACTAACGAACCGGATAAACAAATTGATATGTACTTCAATGAAATAAAGCAGGCTACACGTAAAAACCTTACTTCATCGGGTACTGTTCTTCGACTTGTGTTTAGTTTATTCTCATTAGACCACACATACTGAAATGTGTATCCTTGTGGAGACATTTCTTTGTTCTCGTGTACTCAAGTTTTCGAGTTTGAAAGTACATTTTCAAAATGCTCCTATTTTAACCAGAATTATTTTCCTGGGCTGAAATTCGGACATCCCTTTTCTAAAACTCTACCTTTTGCGACCGATCAACATACCTTGGAAATTCCTAGTTTTGGAGTAAAATCCATATATCTATTTCGTGAAAACCTTGTGGAGACGTATTCATCTATAGAAATTGCCCTGTGGAGACGTATACAATCTTTTCCCTATTTTGTGCATGTCTCCAGAGGGCACGGTGTATCGGATCAAATCCGTCGTTAAGTTTGTGCCTGTTTGCGCGCACTAGTGTCGTTCTGAGAAAAGGTATTGCATGGGTGTTTCAAATAAAAAGGGTAACTCAAAAATAAATGGTTTTAAAGTTGAACAAAGAAATTGACTGGGTTTGTTTGCTAAAATTATGAGCTTGAACAATGTGGCTGCGGAAAGAATGGTTTATGGGATTTTTATTGAAACCTTGTTTGCACCTTTAATTTAGTCGTGGATGACCGAGCACCATTCAACATGTACTGTCCGCGGTACGTGCTATTTAAAAGAGATTTTTAAATTGCTATTTTTCTAGCAATACAAAAGTTATTTGCTATATTGAATGAGACATCGAACGAATAAAATGTATAATCGTGGTATAATTATTTTACAAATTTCACACTTTCAGCTTGCCAATGAATGTGGTTCGCGCAGTGTAGACTGGTTCCCGCTCCTATCAGATTCCATAAATGTAGTGGGGAACCAGTCTAACTCAGTCAAAAGCAGTTATACGCAAATCAACAAAACACAAATGTTTTGGTTTTTTCCCCCAGAGTGTTCCGGTTGCAGACGCTTCTTGGGAAACCTTGGAGTATTTCCCCAGATTTTTAAAAAAATATACGATAGATTTGACAAGATTTCATTAAAGGTCAGTCCCTGTGATAAATCATTGGTCAAACTATTGCACGCTAACCAGTTCAATCGGATGACGTGTATACACGCAAAGGTTTAGCGATATTCGCAACGGATGACGGATAAACACGCAGCGAGCGAGGTCGGAAATATCAGGGTGCACTACCCGCAGATGACGGCCTGAACCCGTCTGGCATCGAGGTTCGTGAAAAACAATCCCGCGCCTCGGTCTATAATCCCGGCGCGAAATGGTTTTTAATGCCCACAATGGTTTTTTTTTTAAATATTTTTAGAAACAAAACAACTATGGCTTAAAATAAGAGCTGCAACCGATAGGGCGCCTGCGAAACCGGAAACAATAAAACGCACCGCGCACTGGAAACATTCTTGATGCGCGCGCGTTTTTATTGTGGACGCTCAACGCGTCCGGAAGCTTCAGAAGAAAACAATGATTTTCGGCAGAATATTATCACCAGGCATGGGTAGGAAGATGGATACTTAGCTGTTGATGTCTGTTTATGAAGACAATTCAAAGGTGGGTTTGCATTTGAATTTTTGTGTTATGTTTGACAATAAAATCGTTTTATCATTCATCAGTAGGCCTTCACGTGAAAAGTAGGCCTATTTTTTTGTTCTAAAATAAATAAAACCAAATTTTAATCCTAACAAATTGTTACTGACCTTAAGTTCCTCTACGTTGAAAATACCATTAAAAATGACCCCAGAATTTCCATGAATGATGTATTAACTGAGCAATAGCTAACACAATGCTTTCGCCATTGAGTGGGGCCTCCACATGACTTCCTTCCACATAGCTTCCACATTACGGCTACTTTATATCGCGTGCAAACTGCTATATCATACGCATGCGCCAGTGCCTAATTGACAATACATGTACCTGTACATGTTTGGAGAAAAAAAAACGTTAAAGGGTTCATGCGATGAATTGTTCTGAGGAACACATTATTAACCCAAAATTTGGTCATTGAAAACATTTTGTGAGTGAGGGTTGCTCATTGGCTTACTGCCATGTACTTATAGGCTACACAACAACAAATCCCCCCAAAAGAGGAAATTTATGACAGCAACATATCCAAAATTGGGGGCCGTATCATGAGTCCGACGCCTCATACTCATAGGTCCGACGCCTCATAAGTCCGAAATGTCGGACTAATGTGGCGTCGGACTTATATTTTGAGGCATAAATTCCGCCTCATAGGTCCGACGCCTCATTTTAGTCCGACAATGGAAAAACGCTGTTTCGGACTTATGAGGCGTCGGAGCAATGAGGCGTCGGACTTGTGAGGCGTCGGATCGGACCTATAGAGGCGCAATAAATAAATGTTATGCCTCATATAAAGTCCGACGCCTCGTATGTCCAACGCTTTATAAGTCCGAAATTTCGGACTTATGAGGAGTCGGACCTATATGAGGCGTCGGACTTATGAGCGGACCCCCAAAATTGTAGTGCTGAAATAGCTGTAACATTGAGGTTTTACTCATGAATATTAGTATTAGCATACAAACCGAGATGACACCAAAAACCCTCGCGCAAATTAAAGTGGCAAATTACATTGCATTTAATTTTCAGCCGTCAACCTTACACTGTTTGGGTTCTGTTTGTGCTTTTGTTTTCAGGAATGGTTGGAGATGCTGAACAAGAAATCATCCATTTCGTGAAGGAGGGGACTCATTCCGTCAGACCGTCAACAGTGGACGTGACCAGTGGATGCAGGAAGGATGGGTGAGAAACAGAATATCAGCTGGACCGAGGTTCCGAAATGTTGGAGACAGAAATATCATCTTGATGAAAAAAAAAAATTCCATTCAACTGTAAACGCTTATAGCATTAATGTGCCCCATTCTCATATCTCTCACATTTTTTCATTCACATGCATCGTGCTCAAGAATTATAACGTTATACTCAAAGGAATCCATAACATTCAAAGAAATTTAGAAACATAAGTTTTGAATGGATGCGTGAAAAGTTGGTGTGGCGATTTTTGGGATGCTTTGCCAACCATTTTCTATACCGTACCGTACAGAACTAGCAAGTCGGATGGCGGCAATTCTTAAAATATTTCCTCTCCCTCAAAAACTTGGCATAAATATTTAAGGCTTCCGACGGAAAAGTTGAAGAAAGTTTTCACGACAAAATCTGGGAGTGCAGTTATACAGTGACCTAGGCCTGTACATCCATAATAAGCCAGGCCAAACCCATCATGAACTTTCAAGAATAATTTAGCATGCCAGGGAGCCTCAAAATGTGAAGCCATAAAACTGTTCAAACCGAACAAGACAAATTTCGCCCCTTTTCCATCTTGTAGTTTGGCGAAAGATGAACTTCTGCCCCTACGGCACCCGAATGGCTTCGGAGAAGGCGACCTGCGGAACCAAGGAATGCACCGGGAAATGAAAGATGGGCTCGCCGTGAAAAGCGTCCATTTCCCCCACCCCTTGACTGATGACTCACCCGGTGTCCAGTCACTGGGGGGAGGTACCGCGGACACCCAAATTACCAATGATGAAGAACGAGATAGATTCAAAGATACCAGGGAGGTACGGGGACTGTACCGAGAAATCTCCCGCATCTACGGGCTGGATTTCTGGGAGGAACTGGGCCGTCCGGAGTCCGTCCACGCCCCGTCATTTGACCACGATACTAGTGGTCACTCGGATGATCAAGCGTTGGTCATTATGGACAAAGAGGCCCTTGACCATAGACTGTTGACCAAATCCTTTCTGAACTATTTGTCATGAAACTTGAATCAGCATGAATAATAAGGTGGCGACCGTGAACGCGGTAGTCGAACTACTTGGGGAACTTCACAAGTCTAATCCCAGCTAAATAGACATTATACGTAATGGCCATCTTAGGGGGCATCTTTTATTTTAAATAATTCAGTAACAATGAATGGAGGTTCACTCATGCATGTCCAAACAAAACAAAGATATTTTTTATGGGTTCATTTTTCAAATTGTTATATTCATAAGTGCATTGTCTTTAAAATTGACTAGCGCCATCACTGAAGCATAAACTTCGCCGACCCTACACTGGATACAATAAAGGGCCGAAAAATTGGTCGATTTTGAAAATGTCGGGTTCCTTCATCGTGGCTACCAAACGCGGGATACCGCGGACTGTAGCAGTAACATTTAGAAAAGTATTATTATAGACTATCATTTAGAAAAGTATAATTATAGCCTTGTATATTATCACTTTTTATGATAATTATTCATCGTAGGCCTAATGTAATCATATTCCGCTCTGTCCACGTAACGATTCTTGTACATTGTCATTCTAAAAAGAGATATGATGATTAGGGCCGATATAGTTGATACACTTTTACACTGTGTGTGTCTAAAGGATTTATGCTGTAATTAATTTGATTAGATGTTTAATTCAACCGTTTTGTTCAGTTCAATTTGTATAAAAACCAGCACTTGATCTAGGCCTACCTAGTAACAGTTCAACGCCTGGGATTATGTCATTACTTTGTAAACATGATATGTCTTAATCTATCCTTATAAATAAATATTTATCGAAACATGGTTGTATAAATTATTAGGAATAAATGTCAGTAAGCATTAAAAAAGTGTATAATAATTATTTTAATTATTTTACGGATTCAATTATTTGCCGTATCGTCGTTTATAGGCTTCCGTACATTGTAGGCTTTTTAAAGTGCAAGAAACTTTCTGTACACTGGTGCCCAGCGGTCAATCGTTTATACATAGCGATAGTGATTGGGATGCAGGATACCAGTTCAATTAAAATAGCCGACGACTGATGCACTTCCTGGTTGGTTGCAAAAAGTGGGCAAGGAAAACTGGGCGATTTCGGCTCTGGAAATGTGCTAGAAATCACTATAAATTTCTCAATTGTAAGCAGGATCTGGATCGATTCCTTCCAGCTTGAGCTGCCAGACCAGTTGGCCGATCAGGTCGCGTCGAGTTGACGTTTTCCCCACATTTTTCAGGCCGTCAACATGGCTTCGAGAAGGTAAGCGATTTTTAGTGCGTGGTGGAGTGTTTAACCAGTCCCGATATGGCATTAATTAATGTGTTTGTTTTAATGCTTTTAACCCTAACCGCCCCCAATGCTACAAAATACCACTGAGTAGTAACCTGTAGTATTAATTTCTTTCCATACAAGTGTGCACAGCACATGTAGTATTCTGTGGTATTTGGTACTTGACCCCCAAACAGCCCTTTGCCTTTGGCGAGTTTGGGGGTTAGGGTTAAGGTTGAAAACCGTGTTTCTTGTGTGGGTAAAGATATTAATTCGCTTGAGTAGCAGTTTTTGCGTTAACCATTAATAAATGACAGTATGTAACCTTACGACGTTACGTTTTATAACTTACGCTGACTTCGAAGTTAGGTTAAAAAATGTATGACAGTGTGAGGGCGCTCTTCATTTGATTTTCTTTAATGGGAATAAGCCAGTTCGGGGAAAGATTTCCATATACGAAGTTTACTCAACACCCTGTGTACAAACCCTATGAGATTGGACTGAAAAATTCTAAGTGTTTTCTTAGAAAATGCTTGTATTTTCTGACTGCTCAAGTCAAATTGACTTTGATGACATGAAATTGCTATCTGGGGGCTTGTTAGTCAATACAGAGGAAAATTAGTGAACTTCGCATATGGTAATCTTGCCCAGTTCGGTATTTCAACTGCGCAGGTGCACAATGATATGGGTCACGGAACATTCGGATAATCAAACGCTCATCAAAGGCGCATAAATGCACACGGAGACGGGCGAACGACGCTCGTGTGTGAATAACAAGAAGAATTTGCATCCTCGTAACATCACGTATCATCACGTCAGTGATTTTATCCCGAATGACCTTTGACATGGACTACTTCATCGAGATAGCGAACTGGCTTATTGGAAAATTGTGATGGGGGGGGCTATTTTATGCATTACTAAAGGGATGTTGGCTGGTAGTTTCACGTGCCAGTATATTTTCTTGTATTGAATGTTTTTACAATTGTTACTTTTGGACTAATATTGCTCTGTATTGTAGGACAATTACAACATCACTACACAAAATGTCCATTTGTTGCACAAATTGTTCCAATATGCAATTCAGTATGGAAAGAATGTAGTATCCAGACACCACTTCTTTGGTTGTGTACAAAGTCTGTAAAGAGTCGAGTGCATTTTCAAAGTATTTTCTAACAAAATTGGAAATGTTTCTCAGTCAGATTTGTGTCTAAAGTTCAACATTTTTTTGCAATGACTGACCTTCATTGAGATAAAACATGTATATAAAAGTAGCGTCATGATCATTCATTCCCAGCACACATGTAGTCCAGTATTGGTCATATTTTTCTGATAAGCATCTAAAATTGTCTGGTACTTGACATATTTTTCCCTCAGTGACTGTCCTCGAGGCTCAAGGTCCTTAAATTATTATTATTAATTTCAAAAGATTGGAACCGAACATCTGAACAATGCACTGCATTCCTTGTTTAACCTTGAAGAACCGTTTTATGAAAACATTGTTTCGCAAGTGCCTTGGGTGAATGCACAAATTGAAGTTACCCTGACACAGCGAATTAATACTGAGCAGAGTTTTTTTTTCTCAACTAAGTTATTGATGACATTGAATACCTCATTATAAAAGCAAACAAAGGATATTGAATTTTTTAAACTGAATATCTTGGAAAGCCGCAATTTTCTTTAAAATCTAGTGTGATTACTCCCTGTGTGTGCTTGTATCCCAAAAGAAAGGTCACCTCAAAATCATCATAACAACATTTAATTGTTGCTATTAATTTTTTTTTAATAGCAAATACACTGTACCGTTAGATGTACATAAAAAATGTGTACTTAATACCACTCTTTAGAACCCTAGCCCCTTGGGTATTTTTACTTGAAAGTATCCTGAATCTGCTAAAATCCATCAAATCCATCAATGTGTGATCGCGTGATAGCGCAGATCCACTGATCGCGCTCAACACTAACACATGTATGTAAAACAGGGTGCCTGCAGGCACCAATTTTGAAACCACCTTCAATGTTTGTCTTCTTTCAAACAAAACCACGTCAGGTGGAATAGTTTCCACAGGGTATTAGTCATACATATACATTACTCATGATTTCTGTCAATAAATCAGTTTTCCGGGTAATTGCAATTGATCCTACCATTCCCACGTGGCTTTAAAGAGATATCTTAACCTTAGGAGCGTAAAACCCTGAAATATGGAACTGCAACAGAGTTGACACATGTGGCCTCTGTTTCGTTACACTGGTACGATGTCACCTGGAACTTACAGTGTAATATTGCATGTACATGTACTTAAAATCCATGTACATGTTTCTCCCCATGTTAAACAGGGTGGTAAAAAAAAAAGCAACCTCATACTTCCAATATCCAGGGACCTAAACCATGTATGGCTAGGAAATTTTGCTAGAAGGAGAATGATACCAAGGACTCCCGATTTGGTTCAGTTGTTTTGATTTTAAAGTCAGGGGTTCAGATAATCCTTTTGTTCACTGTCTGCGATAATATTAGTTATCTTGCGAGCGCGAGTGGAACACGGAATAATGTAGTGCGTCTGTGTCCCACATACCACAAGGCCGAAGGCCGAGTGGTATGTGGGACACAGACGCACTACATTTTCCGTGTTCCACGAGCGCGAGCGCGATAACGAATTTATCTTCAAGCAAACTTGATGCGCAGTACAGTTGGAACTAGCACGCTTTACACGGACATTCAGCAGTTTAGCGTATGCAGCTGGAATGTCGCTCGCATCTTGGAACAGCGGAATACGCGGAGTGCGGTATGGACCGTGGCCGTGCGGTATGGTTATATGTAGCACGGCTTGTTGCCATGGATCGACCAATCAGGATCGAGGATTCAAGTTTGCTTGAAGATAATCCTAATTAGAGCCCCTGACTTTGGTTCACAAAAATGGCGCTGGAATCAAAACTACTGGACCGAATCAGAGTTCTTGGTATCATTTTCCTTCCAACACAATTTCCTATCCATATCAATAGTGCAGGTCTCTGAATAGTGGAAGTATGAGATTGCGTTTTTATGGACCACCTGGTATTATTATCCTGAAGATATTAAAGAGGTTGTGGAATGCTCGAAGACATTTCCGACATTTTTCGGGTATATGTAGCCTAAGGTGTGATGAAATAAAAACGACTATTGTTTCTGTCATAAAATGAGTACAAAAGGTACTTTTGAGAGCTGGTTTTTCAAGTCCTGTCATGCCTGTTTCGTCCCGAACGTGCAATTTGTGTAAAGTCGTCGTTGCGGGCAGCAAACAAAACACAGTAAATCGTGACGTAATAAACAGGACTCCCGATGCAGAGTAGCATACACGAGTCCTGTTTATTACGTCACGATATACTGTGTTTTGTTTGCTGCCCGCAACGACGACTTTTACACAAATTGCACGTTCAGGTCGAAACAGGATCTGAAAAATAGCTCTCAAAAGTACTCTTTGTACTCATTTCATGACAGAAACAATAGTCGTTTTTATTTCATCACACCTTAGGCTACATATACCCGAAAAATGACAGAAATGTCCTCGAGCATTCCACAACCTCTTTAAACGAAGCATTCTGTTTAAAATGTAGTGGTGTGCATTTACGAGTAGTACGGGAACCAGGTACCCTATTGAAGTAAACCACAGGTACCTGGTACCCGTGAAAGAAACCCAGCCCCAAAATTCAAATCCCGGAAGTTGTCTAAAAGGCTTTGTTGCTTTACAGTGTAAACTGCAACTTTCGCAATTGTCATCTGTCGCGTATTAAAATGCTCAAAACGTGAAATCTGTTTTGGTTTTCCATGTAGCCTGGTTTTCATTTTTTGCAAATTCCTCACAAATGGATTTCAAAACCTATCTTTTTCATTGACTGAGAAGTTACTAAGTAATTTGTAAAGTTGGTTACTGGTACCCGATCCCATAATCTGGAACCGGTTCCTGACATCAGCGGTCGGGTACTCGGGTACCCGGTTCCGAAGCACAGCCCTTTTAAAATGTCAAGTTACCACCTCTGTTATTATCGGAGTCATTACCTTGAACTTGTGTAAATTGTAGTACTGTTCATGTGTCATATCCAACTGAAACTTGGACACAGCACATGAACAAGTGGTAGTGACTGATAACGCAAGTGGTAAACACTAAAAACTTCCTGGAAATGGTTTTAATTTTAACTTTTGTACGTTACAGGACCTTGTAAATCTCCGTCATTCCCAACTCGTACACTTGTACGCTTAGTTTCTCTTGTGCTTTCTGACTTTTTACTTGTAGGGAGATACAGGGTGAGTCAAATTCAAATCACTCAAGTACTTTTCAAGTTACGAAATGTTAAACACAACCACCGTTTTAAAGTTCTGTCCACGGATCACAAAAAAGTTACGTGTAATTTCAGCAAAACAAAAACAATTGACACACATCCCTTTATGATTCGTTTTCGTTTTGCTGAAAGAACGCACACCTTTTTGTTGATCCGTGGACAGAACTTTAAAACGGTGGTTGTGTTTAAAATTCCGTAACTTGAAAAGTGTATGGGTGATTTGAACTATTCTTATACTAAAAGAAAAGCTTATGAATTGGGCTTTCATATCCTAGATTCTGAAAGTGCTACATGCAGAACTTCACTAAAACAATGGTCCCGACATTTGGGTATCGTTTATTTTTACTCACCCTGTACTGAAATCCTCCATAACTGTAGCTTGAGAGAGGGAGTGTTCCTTTTTTTTTATTATTGAACTGTCAAACTTAAAGGGGCCATGAATAGAATTTTGTTGGGGAACATATTTTGTGCAACTTTCTACTCCTCGGGCCCTTGTAATGTTACTTTTTTAACCCTACTAGAAAGTAACCTGAATCAGCCAAAATCCACCTATTGTGTCATGCACACAAATTTTGGTGTTGGTGACTGCTCAGTGTGGAGTTACCGGTATCCTGAATCCATCAAAATCCTGCAGTACTGCTAGGCTTACAATCCTGAATCCATCAAAATCCCTCTGTTTTCAATATTGAGTATCCTGAAATACTCCAAAACAGGGGTATGGATTTTGATGGATTCAGGTATGTTAGGGTTAATGCAGTCCTTGTTTAATAGTGCACCTTTTAAAGGTAATTGCTTTTGCTGTAATTTTCAGAAATGGATGGATTTGGGGGTTAGTAATTTATAGCAAATATTGTTACACTGACTTGTTTGAAGTTTTGTTTTGGTAGATGCTGGAAAAACCAAAAAAAAAACAATCGTGTTCCTGTAGTTTGGTTCCCTGACCCCACTTAAGATGAAACATGGAAATTTATGGACATCATGGAATTGTATTAAGGTCAGGGAACCAGTCTAGCTGGCGAGCACCCTTTCATGGATGTGTAACCGATTGCAAACAAAATGCGAACTATTAAACTAAATTTGGTAAATTGGGGGCAGTATTTGAAAAAAAGTCAGTTTGTTTCCAATGATGGTCGGCTGACCATCGTTGGAAATTGATACAAAAATTCCACTTTTCTTGAAAATGACAGCACACCAGGTGCCACGATTTCACAGGATGCTTGAGACTTTTATTCACTTACAGTCAAGTAAGGTATTTCATGATAATTTGGTAAATTTGTTTTTTGATGTTTGCAAATGTTGTAAATTACCTCTAAAAGTTTCAGGTATGAATAGTGAATTTCAAGATTTACGGAGTCATTGATTTCGTTTTGTTTGTCTCTTTTTCAGATGGTTTCATCCAAACCTCCTCGGGGTGGACGCAGAGAGGTTTTTAATGGAGGGGGGTTTTGACGGCAGCTTCCTGTGTCGTCCCAGCAAGAGTAACCCAGGAGATTTCACCTTGTCTGTCAGGTAAAGGAAAAAACAAAGCTCGTAAATGCTTACTGAAACTATTTTAAAAGGGTTTACCCTCAAGTTTGTTTTGTTCCTCCATCCCTGAAAATCCAAACAAACATTACCTGCTGAACTTGTTTCTGTCGGTATTTGTGAAACTGACTAGTATTATTTATATTTATATTATCAGGTTTCCAGTGGTAAAAATAAACCAGCATATTTTTTGCTTTCGTAAAACGTACCTGGAGGACTGCAATATTATTTTTGATATTGCAGTCATCTGGGCATTTTCGATGGTGCCTGCACAATCTGGAGCGTACAAACTCACGGTTGTCAACAAGTCAACAGAGCGTAGCGCGCGGTACCGTTGTGCCTGCATGCGGACACAGCACTAGCAGGGTATACATGTATGCGCACTGTTGTCAACAACCATAATGGCAGCTTCAAGAGGCACGAAATGTGCTGCTGTAAAATCCAAGCGGAGAATAATTCAACAAAATTTGAGAAATAAAGACAGTGTCCTGAAATGTATTTCTTGCGGATCAACTCGGCCTAATAAATATATTACTAATAATACTGAACGGCTTGTTTACGGGGATACAAAAATATTGCACTCTCTTTAACAATATTGCACTCGTCTTCGACTTAATGTTGTCATAGCTTGTGCAATATATTTTTTGTTTCTCCCTCAAAGCCATCTATATTTTATAACTATTGATTTGTTTCTGGTATTGGAATTGTTTTATTTATTATCATGTTTTTGGTATCGACACTGAGAATTCCTCAAAAAGCGCCCTAGGCACTGTAGCTCGCAAGCCTGAAGAAACCTGTAGAGAGAAGACAACGAAGAAATTACAGTTTTAGAGGTTGAAAAAAAAACCCAGAAGAATATTTTAGGGAAAAGCCATAGAGTCGGTCGTCGGTCTGAAAACCCAATCCACGTGTGGACCAGGGCAGGAATCGAACCCGGGTCACAGCAGTGGAAGGCGAGGATAGAACCACTGCACCAAACTGACACCCATAAAAATGAAACATGTCAAATGTGACCGGCTCCACAAAAAAGGGTATTATGTCGCAAACAAAAGTTGAGTTACATGTTTGGAAAGCTCACAATGTAAGCTTGCATTTGACATATAATAGAGCTCCATGGCCCCTCCCGTTCTGGAGATATGATGTATTTGCGTATTAATTACTTCCTTAGAGTTCAAATTACACAACTGAGAAAACAGGCTTTGAAATAGTTGGCTCTGTTGTAGAACAACGGAACGATGCACACAAAATGTTTTTTTTTTTTTGCACTTATTCATCAAAATAAACTTTTCTGTGAATGAAACCTGAAAGTGTAGGTATTAAAGATGTCAATCATGACAAAAAATGAAAATCACATTTTGACAAAATGTTCACCCTCTCAATGTTGAGCGGGCATTACACAATAATGCTCAGCGCGACTTAATACCCTTGTTTGTGGAGCTGGTCACATATTACATCATACATTTTCCCCTAACCTTTGACCTTTGACATTCTAGGCGTGCCGGGGAGGTGACCCATATTAAGATCCAGAACACGGGAGACTACTTTGATCTGTACGGAGGGGAGAAGTTTGCGACGCTAGCTGAACTGGTACAGCATTACACTGAGGGACGCAACCAGCTGAAAGAGAAGAACGGTTTGGTGATTGAACTCAAGTACCCGCTCAACTGTGCCGATCCAACGAACGAAAGGTAAAAACAAGGTGGAATTTGAAGAGGTGTCATCCAAAGTTTCTGAAACTCAAAAACAGCTCAACTGCATGTGTACACAAAACAGAAGACACCTCTGTTCTCTTTCAGTTGTGGTTCGATGGGAAAATATTGTAGTAAAATATCTTACTCAAGGACACAACTTTTGGAAATTTATACCAAATGTGGGCTCCAAGCTATATTTTAACCTCTCCCCCCCCCAAAAAAATCTCTTTTAAGTTACATACAGTACCTAACACCTCTATCCTTGTCCAATTGTGATGTGATGGGAAAATATTGTGGTAAAATATCTTGCTGAAGAACACAAGTTTAAAAAAATACCAAGCTCCAAGCTACAGATTTTAACCTCTCCCCAAAAAGAAATCCCTACTAAGTTACATACAGTACCTAAGACCTCTGTCCTCGTCCAATACTGTTTCGATGGGAAAATACTGTGGTAAAATATGTTGCTTTTAAAAGGACAAACGTAGTGGAGATTCATGTACCAATTGTAGGCTCCAAGCTAAACATTGTACATTTTAATCTCTCTTCCAAGAAAGACGTCCTTATTAAGTAACATGTACCGGTACATACAATTACCTCTGTCCTGTAATTGTGTTAGATGGGAAAATATTATGGTAAAATATGTTGCTTAGGGACAAAAGTTTTGGAAATACCAATGGGCCTTATGCACAAGTTGGCCATTTTTGTCATGTTCCCTGAATGAATTTCATAAATTGTGAACTGTTGAATGGGATGGTGCCAGACTATTTAATCAGTATAGCCTCAATTTCATTTTTTGTTTAATGTGCCTTAAAACATAAGAGTATGTTTAATCACAAATTTTAAATGACTCATCAGAGCAGACTGGTATTAAGTTGTAACGTCATTGTTCCCATTTCTCTACACAAGTTCCAAAATTGAAGATTTTACGTCAGTCTCAATCCAATATGGCCGACTCGTGAATAAGGCCCATTGTGGGTTCCAACTTTTTCCAATCTACAGATTGTAATCTATTTCCCCAAAAGAAATCCCTATTAAGTTACATATGAATACCTCTGTCCTCTTCCAATTAGGTTTCGATTGGAAAATATTATGGTAAAATATCTTGCTTAAAAACACAAGTTTTAAAAAATACCAAGCTTCAAGCTACAGATTTTAACCTCTCCCAGAAAAGAAATCCTTAATATGCCTAAAATCCTTGTCTAATTGTGTTTTGATGGGAAAATATTGTGGTAAAATATATTGCTCAGGGACAAAAGATGGCACCAACTCATCGAATTTGATCTCTCCCCTAAAAGAAAATCCTGAAAAGTGAGTTGCATACAGTCAAAACTCTAAAGTTTGTGTCCTTTTTTTCCTAGATGGTTTCATGGTCATATCACGGGCAAAGAAGCCGAAAAGGCACTCCTCGAGAAAGCAAAGAATGGTAGTTACCTAGTGAGAGAGAGTCACAGTAAACCCGGCGATTACGTCTTGTCGGTGCGCACGGAGGATAAAGTCACCCACGTCATGATCAGATGTCAGGTATGTATTACATTTCTATTACATTTTTTGTGTCCACAATTCTTAGAGTAAAATATGGTATGTATGTAGACCCCTTGCATAGAGAACCACCTTTGCAGGATAATTACAACTGCGTATTCAACCCCATCAGGTGCGTGTGCGCGCAGAGTGCAAAATGTTCTGAAGTTGAACTGAAATTTTGTATAATTTAATATTCGATTATTCTAACTTGGACTTGAACAAATATTTGAATATTCAAAATGCGCTGATCTAGTTTTAACATGCGCCAGCCTAAACTGGCCACCAATCAGAATTGTTGGAAAATTGACAAAGAGCTCATTAGCTAACCCTAACCCTGCTGAATCCAACAGGATCCAACTATGTCATACGCCCGATGGAGCCTGTTGGATTGAGCAGTAAACCCCTTGTGTACATTCCTCATGCAAAATGTTGGATTCAGCAGGCAACTGAACCGCATTTTAACGCCATGTTGGACTCCGTTGGATTCAGCAGACAACTGAAAATAAGGCACAGTGGAATGAGCAGGAAAGTCCGGTTGGACTCTGTTGGATTTAGCAGGGTAGTCCTGAGGAACTACTAGGGGTTAGGGATCGGAGCTACCGGTAAACATGTAACATTCCTCACTCTCAAAGCATGTGCCAAATCGATTTCAAGGAAAGTGTGGCATTTTGAGAATATTCTAAAAATGCCACACTTTGTCTTTGACTCCAATACTTGAGCTAACAAAATTTGCTATTTGGAGATTTGGTTGAATATCGAATATGTGGTACGTTCGGCACTGCTGCATTTGAAACTGAAATAAAGATCACGACTAGTAAAAATATACTTTTCAATGTCAGTGAGCGAATCACTATAAAATTAATGACTGTTTCTGATGGCCATCAATCATGTGAACGGTTGGATCATTGCCTGTCACTGTACACTTCCCTGTGGTATAAATTGTCCCTGCAGGAATTGATTGCAACATTCGTGTACATGATGACTGTGTGTTGCGTGTTATTTTTAGGGGTGTAGGTCGTGCTGTAATACCAGGAAGTAGACCGTGATTAGATAAGTACATAGGAGGAAGCATGTGTAATATTCAGTCTAGCTGTTGGTCTAGCTATCCCTAAATGTCGCCACGGGGTCTATGTTCAAACAGCTATTCATTGTTCTCAATGTTGGTTTTCGCAGACTTTAGGCATGATTGATTGCAATGCCAGTAGTTCGACAAAGAAGAATTAACAATGACTTTTGGAAGTTCCTGGGGAATTCCAATGTAGCTCACGTACGTTACGTTTTGAAGGGGCTTCCGTCCACTCTGCTATAAAGTCAAAGCATTTAGGGTGGATTTTTCTCACACATGATCCCTTGAAATTAAGTGACTAAATAACAGGAAAAAAAGCCAACAGAATAAAGTTCTGTTGGTTTGGTAATAACTTACGTTACAAGAAAAGGACATGGCAAAAATTTAAATACCCTGCATTCGAAAGTTTCCTCAAACGCAGTTTCCTTTCCTCGCATTGATGGACAATCTTTTTAGTGCCCTTACATCGCAAGTCATATGCTACCATAACAATTATTAAAAATCACTTTAAGAGCACACTAGGATCATTTGCTTTTCACGCATTGTGCTCGTTTCCAATAATAGCACCACTCAAAATCCAAAGAAGAATGTTCAAAACCTAACCTGTTGAAGTTTCAGCTCAGAGGATATTACACTTTTCCAGGAAACAGTGAAAAAAACATGCACAACCGTTTGATCACGAAACACGATTTTGTCAACAGCCTGATCATTGGAAAATCACTTGCATTTTCGTGATTACTTCTAAATGACAGCAAGCCAGACGGAATAATTTCACAGGGTGTTTTTACGATCTTTACTCCAAGTAAACGTTTTGACAATAATATCAGTAAATTACTTTTGGGACAGATGCAAATGATCCTACGCCTTTATAACCCTATCGTCCCAAATCCTCCAAAATCCTCTTTGCAAAATGGGGGATTTTGCAGGGTTGGGGCTATATTGCACAAATGTGTTGCTGATTTTGGAGGATGCACTGTGTCAAGGTCTTTAGGCCGGACCTTGTGTTGTTTATGCTCAGCCGTGCATAAATTTAGGCCTAGATTATACTGGAAATCCTCCACACTGCTCCAGGATGTCACTGGCTCTGCCCCAACATATTGACAGTGATTGCTGGAGGATTTTGCAGGATTGAGGCAGTGGTCACCCCTCCAACGAACACATTCAAGAAATAATGGAGGATTTTTGCAGGATTTAGGCTGTTTGCAATTTTTACATGACGGCAGTTGGAGGATTTTGCAGGATTGAGGTTGCATCCTATAGGGTTAATCTTGCATGTGTCACACATAACTGATGCCAATCAGTGCAAAAAATCTGTGAATTGATAGAAATTAACAAGATTTCTGTCATTCCACGTACACATCACATACATAAAGATTGACTAAAAAAGGTTGTCCAGGAAAGAAAAAATCATGTTTGCACAAAAGTTTCGATTGATGTTTGACATTACAAAAACATTTGGATATATTTGTACATGCGTTTGTTTAGTAGTTGAGATTCTATTCAGTTGATGTGATATCAGTTTCATGCATGCATACATGTGCATACTGACTCACTCTGTTGGGATTTTCCCCCTGTTTCCTCCTTTGTTGTACGGACCTTTCCGAGGCAAAAATACTGGAAGAACAATGAAATAACAGTCCCCAGCATTTGCAAAATTTGGTGACAGGCCAACATTTGGTCAGAACCAACTTGAACTGGCTTGAACTGGTTTGAACTGAATCTCTGTGGATTTTCTACACGGCCATTTCTCTTTCAGCAGCATTTGTATGGCAAGGTCTTGGTAAATGTTTTTCTAGACCTGGGGACTTTTTTACTTCTTGAGAGTGTGGGCTCCGTGCACAAGTACCCCTTCAACGGCCAGAAAAGGAGAGTTGGGGTTGACCTAGACTGGTTCCCGGTCCATCCACTGCGTATTTTGAATGTATCCAAAGTTATTGGGGGAGGGGAGTAGTCTGGGAGACCATCGCAAGTTAAATTTGAACGTATTCGCGCACCGATGCCGCCTGACGCTCACGCGCAAAGACGCTACGGCTTAGCTTTGTGCGCATTCAGGATAGATAAGTCGTGCGTACTTCACGCGTGAACCAGTGCAGTGCGCACATGCAGTGTCCTGTTCAAGGGGCTCTCAAAAGTGGTACACGTGCCTGCTTTTGTTGACGCACGGAGCCCATAGTGGAATCCGGCGACCAGAATTAGAAGCTTTTACTGCGGTGGTGTCACGCTCACGCGCATGCTGCACGCGTTCTGAAAGACGAGGCGCACGCGTATTATGGTATTCCTATTGGTCGATGGAGCCTGGTGTGCGTGCGTACTACCTGAGCGCGACTCACGCGAGCCTGCAGTGCCACCCCAGAAAATGGCTGCCACCGGATTTGCCTATTGAGTACACGCAAAAGTATGGATTGCGAATATGCACTGTGTTAATTGCGTCCCTTGATGCACCTAATGTGTGTAGTGCACATAAAAATAAGGTCTTTACTGCTATTTTGATACATTATCTGGAAATCTTGGGACATCTTGGGAATTTTTCTACAGTCATCTTGGCCACGGTGCAATAGTACTGGAACTTGGGACAAGCCCAATTTCACGGCGCTGCTAAGCACAAAAATTTGCTTAGCACAAAAAAAGTCTGGCTCATAAAAGCAGGTTACCAGCCGAAACTCCACCTGATTTAAATTGCTTGTGATTGGTATTCAGCTGCTGTTTGCTTAGAATTTTTTTGCCAGACTTTTTTTGTGCTAAGCAAATTTTTGTGCTTAGCAGCGCCGTGTAGCAGTGCTAACTACAGTATTCCGCGCTTACGATCACCATTCTGTGCTAGCAGCGCTAACAGGAAAATTCTGAGCTAACCCTGTAAGCACAGAATCCTTAGTTATAAGCTAGGGCTTTCCCAAATGTACCGAGTATATTCAAATTTATAACACCTCACCCACGGATTCTTTGTCTTGATTGGCCGAGAGCGAGTCACATGATACTTTCTATTTTTGCTATCCTTCTGTGCACGGCCAAAAGTACTATACCCGTAGCAACCAAAGTACTATACCATTATCAACCAAAGTACTATTTCCACGGCGCGGTATTTGTGTGCAAATGCATGCTGGTGTGCGCGTTGCACAGAGTTGGGTTCAAACATTTCGCGAAGGGGTAGTTTGGAAGAGAGAAATACATTTTCTTCCAGTTTTGTATTGAAATTGAAGTTTACTTCAACTGTGTTCAGATTTAAATAATTTAAATATTATAACCAAGCAGAATCTGTGGGTGAAGTGTTATAAAACAAATATTGAATGCTTTATCTCGTGGTGAAGTAAAACTAGCCTCCCTCAGTGATCCATGGAGCATTCTAAAATAGAATGGTCCATGGATCACCTCGGGAGGCTAGTTTTACTACACCACTCGAAGCATTAAATATTTGTATAATTCGATCATAAACTGAATATTTGAATAGCTTTTGGCAAGTTGGAATATTCACACACACAAAATACAATACGCATGTACCTTTATGACTGTGATGTTATTTTATCGTAAAGTTTGGCTCTTTGTTGTCAGGTGCCCTTTTTTGTCGATGGTAACTTTTTTTGTCGACTGTGGTTCATTGTTCACATCCGTTCAGCAGGTAAAAACAACATTCCAATCACCACATGCAAGTTTGAACTTGTGCACTCTGCGTGCACCTTTTGACTGGCGCGACACGCAGTTGCAGGTTGCAGCTTCGAATATCCAAATATTCGGTCAAACACAGTTTCAAGTAATCGAATACTAAATTAGTCGAAAATGGATAGCCTTAACATAAGCTAAAATTCCTTGCTTACCCATGATATATGCTTACCGTAAGCACATAATTATTTGCTACAGTATTAAAGGGGGGATATTTGGCTAACAGTTAGCCAAGCCATGTAATGTGGCCCAGATTTTAGGGTTAAAGGTCGCACGATGAAGGAAATAGGAAATCATATTCGCATCGATCTATAAATAAATCACATCTGTGTATCCACATGGGGAAGTAATCTATGAAAATGTTTATTATGAGCTTTCGAACTACATTGTAATATATTGCAATTTATATGGGTGTGTATTTTGTAGGACAAAAAATAAATAATAGTTTTGCTTCCGTTTACCCTGCCTATACACAAAAAATTGCCCCCCCCCCAAAAAAAATCCCTATCTACCTACCCTATTTTCAAATACCATGTAATCGGAAGCAGAACTTTTTTTGTTTTTGCCTTATGGGTAGTGCAGGAACTGGATACCAATTTTTTGATTGGGTTCTTTTATGGGTACCGTCTTTGACAAAAATGATAAAAATCTCATTTGTAAATGAATTCCTGTGTGTAATCTCTGGTTCTGACTCAGCTCAATAGCTTCAAATGGCATTCCATGGACGGCTTTAAAAATGGATTTTTTTAGTAAAAATATGCATAATTTGTCATAGCATGGAGCAATTTCAGTAATTTCTTTTTTTCTAATGAGTGAAAAAACATACGCGTTTTAACTCTAACCGCCCTGAATCCTTCAAAACCCTCTTTGCCAAAGTGGAAGAATGTGGAGGATTGAGGTTACATGGCAAAAGTGCGTTACTGATTTCGTAGGATGCACTTTATCAAGGTCTTAGGTCGGACCTTGTGTTGTTTTTGCTCAGCCATGCATAAATATAGGCCTGGATTATGCTTGAAATCCTCCATACTGCTCCAGGATGTCACTGGCCAAGCCTCAACATATTGACAGTCACTGCCGCAGGGTTTTGCAGGATTCAGGCAGTGGTCACCCCTCCGTGGACCATGTTCAAGAAGTAATGGAGGAATTTGCAGGATTGAGGCTATGCTATTTTTCCATGAGGCCAATTGGAGGATTTTGCAGGATTGAGGCTACGTCCTAGCAAAAAGTCCCAGGGAGAAGGGGTTAATTGCTTCGTTGGTGTGTCAAATTTAATTGCTTTTTAAGGGTGAAAATCATTAATCCAGGTCACTTTCTTTTTGACTCGCCCAGTTTAATAGAACTTATTCATGAGGAAGCCAATTTTGATCATGTTCCCTGAATGTTTTCTATAAATTATAAACTGTTGAATGGGATGGTGCCAGACTATTTATGAGTTCCAAGCCTCACTTCCAAATCATTTTTTTTTAATGTGGCTTATTTTGATTTGATTTGATTTGATTTGATTTTAAATTATTCACCAGAGCAGACTGTTAATAATTTGTAATTAACTTTATGCCATTGCTTGCATTTCTAATTCACAAGTTCCAAAAATTAAGATTTTACCTCGCTTTCAATTTTATATGTTTGACCCGTGTATAAAGCCTATAAGCAGTATAAATTTCTGAACATCAGTTAACAGTAATTCCATGATAGCAATTTACACTTATTCCATAAATCGCAGGCACTGCACAGGAATTCTACCCGTTATCTGCCCTTTTGGCATTCAGAAATCTTTAAGAACTTCCCCAAGGAGAAGTGCATCCTCCAAGCATCTGCATCCCACAGACGTAATAGTGACGTCAATTTCTCCCCAGTTTGACGTTGTTGGTTTTTTTATCCGTCTCACATTTATATTCTGAAACTGCTCTCGGCAAGACTGTGTTGATGCCATTTATTCGGTTAAGCTTTGAAAACTGTCTCAAATATCAGTCGTGAAAATTGTACAGAATAAAGATCAGCTCTTAAGTGACCCTAGAGAGACAACCGAATCGGTTTAATTCATGGCAGATTCAAGATTTACTGAATCGTACCCTTATTGAAATTTTTTTTTTGGTTTTTTTTTTGGAAGTGTTTAAAATCTGCAGCCTGTAAATGTCAGATTTGAAAAAATGTTGAGCAATTTTGTTGCTTCAAATGAAAAAAAATGCCCCAAAAGCAAATGTTTCTATGTACCTTTAATTTATAACATGCGAAAATGATAGGCTAAATCATCGGTTATATGATGTGTGGAAAGTTCATTTGCTTTTGCTGTAATTTCAGAAATGAATGGATTTGGGGGTTAGTATTTTATACATTTAGTACACTGACCTGTTTAAAGTTATGTGTTCGAACAAAAATGTAGATGCTGGAAAAACCAAGAAAAACAACTGCCGTTCTTGTAGTCTGGTTTCCTGACCTTACTAAAGACGAAACAAAGAAATTTATAGCATAGGGAAATTGTCAGGTTAGGGAACCAGACTAGCTGGCTTGCTGCACCCGTTCAGGGATGTGTAAACCGACTGCAAACAAAATGTGGACCAACTAAAGTTGGTAAATTGGGGGCAGTTATTTGAAAAAAAAAGTCAGTTTTTTCCAATGATGGTCAGCTGACCATCGTTGGAAATTGACACAAAAATTCCAGTTTTCTTCAAAATGACAGCACAGTACCGGTAGGTGCCATGATTTCACAGGATGCTTGAGACTATTATTCACTTACAGTCAAGTAAGGTATTTCAAAATAATTTGGTAGTTTTTTTCATGTTTGCAAATGTTGTCATTACCTTAAAAAATCCTGAAGCATTCATACCTGAACTTTAAGCATGTTTTTTGGGGGATCCACCTCAACTCTCTGGACATACATGTACATATACGTGGATAAAGTTGACGTTGTCAGATTTTTGTTTACTTAAATTGCTTTATCAAAAGGACGGACATTGTACCTTAGGAGTCATTTTATATTTGATCAAACATCCGGGATAAGATGAAGACAAATTTATTGGCAGTAGGTCCATTGTATCATGTACAATGTATCAGTGGCAGGATTCTGATAGTGCTGTTTATTTTTTGAATAATTTGGTTTTTTTTTTTTTTTTACTTGGACTTGCTCGAATATTTGAAATGTGCTGATCATGCTTTTACATGCGTCAGCCTGAACTGGCCGTCAATAGGGATTTAATTAACCCTAGCCACCTAGGCCCTCTGGCTAGGATGCAACCTCAATCCGGCAAAATCCTCCAATTGCCACACAAAAAAACTTGGATTCAGCCTCAATCCTCCAAAATCATCCGTTATTTCTTGAATTTAGTCTTTGGAGGGTGACCACTGCCTCAATCCTCCAAAATCCTCTGCCAGTTACTGCTATGGTTTGAGGCAGTGCGAATGGCGTTTAGAAGCAGTGCGGATGAAATACGAGAAAAACTCAGGGCTGATTTATGCATGGTCGAACATAACCAATGCAGGATATAGCCTACTGGCTTGACGTAATGCATCCTCCACAAAAAAGCAATACATCTTTGCCATTCATCCTCAAAAGACCTCAATCCTCTAAAATCATCCAAAACTGGCAGGAGGATTCTATAGGATTGAGGGTTAGGGTTAAGTTTGCACTTGTCGAAAATAGACAAATAGCTTATTTATAACATCATGTACGTATCGACATAGTTTTTGAGGCAGCGGAATTGTTGAAATTTGTCAGATTTTAAAGAACTTGGAGCTAATATTCCTTACGGAAGCTGTCAGATTATGCCTATATAAAATTGGCTTTCAACAAAACTATGGCATATGACCAAAAATAAATGACACAACTTACAGGATTACAAATTAACATCGTGGATGGTTTCATCATCTACTTTAGACCGCTAACATTTGTTTGAAAATTTGAATTGGAAAATTGTTATCCGAATACTCTGTAGATGATAGAATGTTTGTACATTCGGTATATTTGGTGCAGCTCTACATCCCGCAATATGAAGTTATCAGCATTCGTAAAGAAATGATAATTTCACTGGGGAGGATTCCAGGGAAATTGCAGTGTCCCTGTTCTCCCCCCCCCCCCCCCCCCCCCAGGCAACATACTAAAAATTGTTGACTGTTTTGCTTAATTTTTTAATTACTCCGGCATTTGTCGGTCAAAAAATTTCATATTTCACAAGTTCCTCATTCATACATAGATCTAATTCCACGGTCACTCACGTTACATTTATATACGATGAGGCTACTTTGACCTCTCACTGCTTCAAAACTATTTGATCAAGCTGAATCCAACCAGCCATACAACAACCTTATGGGAAGGGGTACTCATACATGGAAAGAAAAATTCAATCCATTCATTCAGTTTTTGAAAACATGTGTTTTGTTGGTCGTCACTTACGTTACAAAAAAAAGACATGGAAAATTGTCCTGCAATTTTGCTGTTAAAGTCTCAAACTGTAGTCTGCAACACAGAAGTAACATTATTTTACCTTTCATTCAACCCACGTAGCTAGATATTAAAACCCATTTTGAATCAAATAAGTATTATAGATGCAAGGGACATTAGATTACAGGGAGGTACCGTCACTCATGTTACTTCCTCTTCATGGTTTCTAACACGGCATAAAATCTGAGTTTGATGAACTGCAACATAATGAAACTCTTTTCTTATAATATATGAACATTTCTCTCTGCCTTAAACACAAAAACTCTCAATAACAGTCACATTTTGCATGTTAAAACAAGGGGCCAAAATGACAACCGAAAATCCACGATTTTAGCAAAAAAAAAGGTTTTTGGGACCCAAAATCACACTTAACTACATGTACATTCCATCTCATTGCCACACCACTCAAATGAAAGATCTTGTTGTCCCCTTTAATTTAACGCCACATTTGATGTTGTGATGCTTGTAGTTTGGAAGATGTCATACAGTTTCCACTTTCACTTTTAAGCCTGTTGAAGCCTGTTAACCAGAGTTGAAGTATTGACCCTGAAAATCGTAGCCAAACATTAGCCCTCTGACAAGAACCGCATGTTTGTGTAGTAAAATCCTTACAGGGAGTGTAGCCAGCCCCCACCGCAGCTCAAGTAACGGCTGTTTGCAGTCTTCTGATTTTTTTTTTTGATTTTTTTTTTGGCGGGGTCTTTTTCACAACTTATCCCATATGAGATGATTCTTGAAAGAACAAGACATTTCAACCTCTTTGAATCTTGTTTCCGTGGTTACAGGACAGCAAATACGATGTTGGAGGCGGGGAGCAGTTCACCACACTCGCTGATCTGGTGGAGCATTACAAGAAGAATCCTATGGTAGAAACATCCGGCTATGTCGTCCATCTCAAACAGGTCGGTCTTGCAAATAAAATCTTTGTAAAGTTTGGCATCATTCAAGACAGACAGACAGACAGACAGATAAACAGCATAGGAGCTTTTAAAATAGGATGGATTTAATGTTCTTAAACAATAGAGGGCGCTTTGTCACCACTCACGAAAGCGCCAGTGTATTGTGTGAACTATGCACAACTAATTCTGATCTGAATGTGTGCAAACTGAAAGTGTGTGCGTCAGTCTCCGTTGGCGATGCGTTCGAGAGTCCTTCGCAGTTGTCTCCCCAACTCTCTGCTTTGAAACTGTAGAGGGGGTAGTTGTTCACAGAGCTTGTAGTTGTGGTTTGTTACAGGGTGCACTGTACTAATTCAAGCCCCATTGAAAACAGTGTAAAATCAACAAAGTTCAGGGCCAAATAACATGCAAGCCAACATCACTGGGGTTTCTCAAACAAAAATTCAATTATTGTCTTGTCTTTCATCTTTTCATTTCTTTTCAGTTTTAGGTAGATTAGCCAATTACATTTTTAAATATTCACACCCAAACAAAATCACCTCCCGGAAAGTGATAGTTCCCAAGCCTGCATGTAGCCGTTTTGCAAGTGGTATCATTCCACTTTCTCAGGCAAATAGGACCCATTTTCCATCCGTAATTTTATCAAGCCTGCCCTCAGATGGAAGCCAAAAACCAGGGAGTTGATCCTTGGATATATTTACACAATTCCACTGTTTTTAAAGCCAAGCGGTCCCCGTTTTCAAAAGAAATTGTGGGGGCACTTTTTATGCTAATGACGAGTAGAAATTCTCACTTGAATTAGTTCAGTGCACCCTACATGTAGTTAAAATAGTACCTGTGACAAATTCACACACCATTGTTATGATAACAAAGTTACAAATGTAGTCTCCTTACAAGTACATGTATGAGTTACTCTTTTTTCCCTCTTTTTTGAACAGCCTTTCAATGCTACAAGGATCGCAGCTTCAGGCATCAGGAGTAGAGTAGAGGTGCTGGAGAAGGAGACTAGCTCAAGACAAAACTCCAGGAAGACGGCTTTCGAGGAAGAATTTGAGGTTAGACTACTCGTTAAGCATTCTACCCTAAGGCTTCCTGACCCTTCAAAACCTAACATGAGATTTTGTAGGATTTTGTAGGTTTTTGTAGGTTTGAGGAAGGTAGGTCTTGATTCTCCTGCATGTTAACGCCAACCTTCCCAGTGTCGAGGCCCTTTGAAAAATTGTTGTAGCGAAGGGTTTAGAAGAAGTTAGGGCATAACACGATTCTTTTGGCAGATAATGAAGGATTGAGTGAGCAGGCCCCATCTGACACTGGATGAAATTTGGAGGATTGAAGCATTGGTTGGTTTTGCCGAAAAATTATCATAGATGTCCGATATGACAGGGCAAGGGACAAAAAGTTGACCCCAAATTTATTGAATGACCTATGGCCTTTCAGGTTTTTCATTGTGTTGACTTTTGTCCATTTTCAGGCATTGCAACAACTTGATGCCAAGCACTTATTGAAACGACGCGGTGACGAGCCAGAAAACAAGGCCAAGAACAGATACAGGAATATCTTACCATGTGAGTATCAAGAATGACAACAACAACAACAACGATGACAACAACAACAACAACAACAATAACAATAACAACAACAGCGGCAACAACAACAACAGCGGCAACAACAACATCAACAACAAACAAACAACAACAACAACAACAATAATGACGATGACAACGTCATATCTTACCATGTGAGTATCAAGAACGACAACAACAACAACGACATCAACAACAACAACAACAACCATGACATCAACAACGACAACAACGACAACAATAATAACATCAACAACGACAACATGGACAACAACGACAACAACGACAACAACAACGACATCAACAACAACAACATCAACATCAACAAACAAACACAACAAGAAATGCACCAATAAGAGAGTTTCTTGTAGGTTCATTTAAAATATCTGTTTTGTAAGTTGTGTGGTTCAAGAACAATTTCCCTCAACACCGCTTGTTTCGTTATTCGTTAGGAAAATACAGACATAGCTTTACTCCATTTTCTACGGTTATTTATGTTAGGAAGAAGTTTTATAAGTTGCTTTGCCTGCGCAGAATTTTGTACCTTAATAAATTTTTTCATGAACAATTTGTTGCCTGTGATTTTTAACTGTCTTAAAGGTACAGGTAGCGTCCATCATTTGTAATTTGTGCATTATGTTCGTTTGAATTAACAAAACTGCTCAAAATCTAAAGAAGGGTGCTGAACAACTAACCTGACAAAGTTTTAGCTCAGTGAATGCTGTATATTCCGAGAAAACAATTCTAGGATCTCGATTCAAATCAAAAGTTGCTGAGTCATGTTTTGAATTGGGCTTGAATTCAGCATCCGAGACATGTTCTCATTGAGCCGATTGCAGCTACGAGATGTTGCGCACTTAATTGACAAATTATAGCAACCGCGCGCGTGTGCATCGTGTCAACGCTTGCGCGCGCTTCGCCTAATAAAAAAATGAACAGCTAACGGATATTTCCAATGATGCGTCTGTAGACGCCTTTCCTTCTTTCATTGATTTCTTCAAAATGACAGCTTGCAAGAAAGAATAATTTCACAGTTTAGTCCCATTTAGTAACCTGTTTGATAATTGTACTCATTCGTGCCCAAAGTCTTACCGTGTGCGGTGAACGAAAGCTATCTGCTTTCGGCTTGCGTGCTTCCTCCTCCCTTGTGGACATTTTGGATTCAGACAAATCACTGGGCGCAGCCGTTTTGCCTTTTTACGTTATGTGACCGAAGCACGCAGTTCTGGTAAAACTGACCGCACACGGCAGCTATCTGCTTACGCCATCGGCCACGAATGACTTTTTGGCAAAGAAGATAGCTCTCGTGTGCATCAGGCTTTATTAAGTTTTTGAGCAGTTTCGTTGCTTCAAATGAAAAAAAAAAAAATTCCCAAAAGGATCCTATGTAGCATTAATTGATATGTGTGACGCTTTTTTTTTTTGAAGTTGAGCATTCCAGAGTGATTCTGAAAGACGGGGAGACTGGTGACTACGTTAATGCCAACTACATCGATGTAAGTATGTCACGGTTGTCATGGTTACCCACGGTCTAGTTCCCTATAGTCCAAGCAGTGGTTAATATGCAATATTCCACTTGATTCTGGGGAACCAGACTATGACGGGGTCATTTTAATACCGGGGAAACATACAATCACGAAATACCTTTGTTTGCCAACAACTGATTAAAATATCTGTTATAAATACAAGTCTGTTTACCCCCCCCCCCAAAAAAAAGGGGGGGGGGAATATGAAGTTCATGAGGACTGAGCAACAATCGTGCAAAGTTTGATGTTTTCTTGCAACTAAATCAATAAAATAATGTAACGTGTGTGTCAGGGGAGTGGGAAAGGGAATTTTACGGAAACTACATGTACTAACTGTGCTGCTTCGATCTTAGGGGTTTGCATTAAAACCTGGTACCTGGTACCCGACCACTGATGTCAGGAACCGGTTCCAGATTATGGGATCGGGTACCAGTAACCAACTTAGTAACTTCTTAGACTATGAAAAAAAGGAAAAGTCTCGAACGCCATACGTGGGAATTTTCAAAATGAAAACCAAGCCACATTGAAAAACAAAACAGATTTCACATTTATGTGCATTTTAATGTGCAACAGATGACGCTCGCGAAAGTTGCAGTTTACAACGTAAAGCTACAAAGCCCTTCAGACTACTTCTGGGATTTGAATTTTCGGGTTGGGTTTCTTTTTACAGGTATCCGAGTACCCGGGTTTTACTTCAATAGGGTACCCGGTTCCCGGAGTACCCGTAAATGCACACCACTAGTTGTTCTTTGTGTTTGTTGTTGAGTTGTTTGAAGTTGTTTTAATTTTTCGTTCCGTAGTTACCAGCGAGAATAAAAGAGGATGCATCGGTAAGGTTGATACATTGCAGATGGCTAAATCTTGGTCTTCGTGTGTAGATGAATTTCTGCACAAAACTTGCCCCGATACTTTCGACGAAGCTTTATAACTAACTTGGTGCTTCAGATTTACTGGGGCAGGCTAAAAAAAAAAAATTAAAAAAATATATAATAATAATAATAATAATAAACCATTCTTATAAAGCGCATTTTACACGGGGTCCCAATGCGCTGAACAATTAACAGAGGAAAACACTAACATTATATTTCATTTGCAGTGAACAGATACACTGCCGACCTTTTCATATCAACTTTCCTCGCTTAAAGTTGCATTAAAACCCTAACTCCCTAGGCCGTTTTGCTAGGATGTAGCCTCAATCCTGCAAAATCCTCCAATTGGCATAATGGAAAAATGGCATAGCCTCAATCCTGCAAATTCCCCCCTCATTTCTTGAATATGGTCCGTGGAGGGTTGACCACTGCCTGAATCCTGCAAAATCCTGCGGCAGTGACTGTCAATATGTTGAGGCTTAGCCAGTGACATCCTGGAGCAGTACAGAGGATTCCAAGCATAATCCAGCCTATATTTATGCATGGCTGAGCAAAAACAACACAAGGTCCGGCCCAAGACCTTGACAAAGTGCATCCTACGAAATCAGTAACGCACTTGTGCCATGTAACCTCAATCCTCCAAATTCCTCCACTTTGGCAAAAAGGATTTTGAAGGATTCAGGGCAGTTAGGGTTTTTGGTGCAATAATTTTTTTTTCTTCAAAATGTCAATTTTTATTTTTCATTTGCCCGTTCCCATGGTAACTGGGTATTTCTGTTCACTTGTTAGCTAAAAGATGCGGGCTTGATTGCCAACATGGCAGTGGTAGGTATCCCCCCGAATCCTCTAACCATCATCAAATATCGTCATTAAACACGGCCTTTCATCCATTGCGGTGTTGGATCTTTTCGTCGACAAATTTTAACATTTGAACAGTAAACAGTGCTCAATCATTGCAATATTAGGTTTTTGCCCTTCACCGATGCAAAAACACTGTACACTTAGTGTGTTACCTCCCGAGTGAAAGTTGGACGAAATCACTCGGGTGGGACTCGAACCCATGACCTCCTGCTTTCTAGTGCAGACGTCTTACCACTCGACCACCAAGCTTGTGGGATCGGTTGGCTCTGATGTGCATTTAGCTGTGAGTATCGCAATTACATTATTCATAAGATGGAATTTGCATCGGGAATGTAAATCAGTATTAGGTTTTGTTCTTCACCAACGTATAAACGCTGTATACCTGAGTGATTTTTTCCAACTTTCACTCGGGAGGTAACACACTTAGTATACAGTGTTTATACGTCGGTGAAGGGCAAAACCTGATATTGATTTACATCACCCTGACGCAAAATTACATCTTATAAATAGTTAATGCGGTACCCACTGCTATGTACATCAGATTCGAACCAGCCAACCAATCCTCCAAGCTTGGTGGTCGAGTGGTAAGACGTCTGGGCTAGAAAAAGCAGGAGGTCGTGGGTTCGAGTCCCACCCGAGTGATATTTCCCAACTTTCACTTGGGAGGTAACACACTGAGTATACAGTGTTTTTAACGTCGGTGCAGGGCAAAACCTGATATTGATTTACATCACCCCGACGCAAATTCCATCTTATGAATAGATTATACAACCGTTTCTAGCGACCTACTGCTATCTATCAATGCTGTGTGGAAACTCCCAATGATGTTCCTAGCTTGCTTACATTATTCTTACCTCAGCTTACAAGCCTTACAATTTGCTTAAGAATTTGACTCAGTTAAAAAATATGGATCCAATGTAACTTTCATGTCAACCATCAAATCGTTTACATATCACTTTTTTTTAAAAGAGATCTTCATTTATCATAAAAAGTTCAATACATATACACATACAGGGTGAGTAAAAAAAACCCCAAATGTCGGGACCATTGTTTTAGTGAAGTATTGCATGTAGCACTTTCAAAATCTAGGATATAAAAGCCCAATTCTTAAGCTTTCTTTTAGTTCAAGAATCATTCGGATCACTCATGTACTTTTGAAGTTACGGAATTTTAAACACAACCACCGTTTTTAAGTTCTGCCCACGGATCACAAAAAAAGGTCTGCGTTCTTTCAGCAAAATGAAAACAATTCATACACATCCCTATGTGATTTGTTTTCATTTTGCTGATAGAACACTTACCCTTTTTGCGATCCGTGGACACAACTTAAAAACAGTGGTTGTTTTTAAAATTCTGTAACTTAAAAAGTACATGAGTGATTTGAATGATTCTTGTACTAAAAGAATGCTTATGAATTGGGCTTTCATATCCTAGATTTTGAAAATGCCACATGCAGAACTTCACTAAAACAATAGTCCCGACATTTGGGTTTCATTTTTTAGTCACCCTGTATACTGCGTGTCAAAAAAACAAAACATGTTCTACTATTTTCATCCTAAATGACTCTATTGTTTACCAATGGAATTAAACCAACATTTCAGATCATGTTAAACAAGGTATGACAAATGTTATGGAGCGAGTTTCATCAGCTTTGTGCAAGAGGGTGAGATTTAAACGCCATATGAAAAAAAACCTCACTTTCAGAATCTGCCATTTTCGACTTGGCGTCCTCCAATGTCAATACAGCGCTGGAGACGGTGGTGGAAGGCGCGTGCTGTGCGTGCTGCTACCGAAAGCTTCTGAAGGAATGCAGGATCACCCCTGATGTCAATGCACACCTCGATCGTATGTTGCACCAAACGATGGAGGAGGTGTGCAATAACATCAGGGGTGATCCTGCATTCCTTCAGAAGCTTTCAGCTGCAGCACACGCCTTCCACCACCGTCTTCAGCGCTGTAACGGCATTCTGAAATTCAGAATTTTTTCGTATGGTGTTTAAATCCCACCCTCTTGCACAAAGCTGATGAAAGTCACTTCATGAAATTTGTCATGCCTTGTTTACATGATCTGAAATTTCGGTTTAATTCCATTGGTAAACAACGGAGTTATTTATGATCGAAAGTAGGACACTTTTTTTACACGTAGTACAACAGTGTTGTAGTAAAGTCCATCACAAGTTCTCTAGTCCGAGTCAAGTCACAAGCTATTCGGAACAAATTGTGAGAATGGCATTCCTTTGTTATTGTTCATCCTACGTTACTAGTGATTGGACTTGCGATGGACTTGTGATTTGCTTGTGACAGACTTGTGATGGTCTTGCCTACAACTCTCATACACCCAGCTCCATCGTGGCACAAAAGACATCATTAAGTCATGCATTCCCTCATGTGACCACACCCTACATTACCAGTGTGGTATATTACATCCTTTGACCACACCCATCGTAAGCCACACCCATCATAAGCCACTCCCATCATAAACCACACCCAAACTTGACAAGTCAATCAGATCATTGAAATTTTATTTTTACATTGCCCTGTTGATGTCTCTGTTTTTTTAAAGGCATATAATGCGCGTCAGTGCAGCAAGGTCGTAACTTCATTCTGCAACAAAGTCATATCTTGGGGGCGGGGATTAGTTTTGGAGACCATCGCAAGTTAATTCGAACGTATTCTTGCACCGACGACGCCTGACGCTCACGCGAAGATGCTGTGGCTAATAGCTTTGGCACATTCAGGAAGTTGTGTGTACTTCGGCGCGAACCAGTTCAGTACAGTACGAACACGCGGTGTGTCCTACCCACTCTCAAGAGTGGTTAAAAAAAAAGCACCCTCTTTTGTTGGCGCACAGAGCCCATATGAACAGGACAAGGCAAGACTAGTAAAGCTGGCTCCAGAGTGCACAAAATTCTTTTCAATTTATTCCGAATGGCTATTCACAGGAAGTCTTTTAATGCATCTGGTCTGCCAATGGGCTGGATTTAACCCATTCATTGGTATTATAGGTACACCCATACAATAGCACTGCCCGACTCACAAGTGACAATCAGTGAGGCAGTCAGCTACAAATAGGACACTAGGCTGGCTCTTTGGGACAAGCACAAAAGAAAAATCAGTAACAGTTAATAAATTTAAATAGATTTGATCATAAAGAATCATAAATATTGATTTCATGTACTGTCTGGATGGAACATCTATAGATTGGAGATACATGTATCAAACTTTTTGCCAATTCAGTTTCACGACGGTTGACATTTTTTTACACACATGTCACGCATCTCTTCTGTTGGCAGGGAGAAGTTTTTCCCCCTTTTTCATGCTGTGTGTCATTTAATGCTGGCCCATACCTGCAGAAAAACCAACTTTTAAACCCCAAATACATTGCTGTGAGATTTTATGTGTCTCACACTTGCAATTTTTTTAAACATTATTTGTATTTCAGCTTTGTCATTCCAACTGCACAGTGTAATGTCATGACTTCAATTCCCTTCATTGCAAAACATTATTGAAATTCAATGATTAAGCCATAAAATGAGTAATTTACTTACAAAGAGGGCGCTTATCTTTTGGAGAAATGTAAGACTGCATTGCCGGTTTCAAAACTGAAGAATTTGAAAAATGTCTGAAAAATAAGATTCATCCTTACTTGACTGCTGTAGGGAAGTGTGGCCTAGTGGTTAGGGTTCGTGACTCATGATCAGAGGGTCAGGGGTTCCAATCCAGCCGCTGGCCATATGTTGTGTCCTTGGACAAGCCACTTTACCCCACTTGCCTCTCTCCACCCAGGAGTGTAAAATGGGTACCGGCATTAGCTGGGGAGCAACCTGCTATGGACTGGCATCCCATCCAGGGGGAATAGAAATATTCTCAGTTCCATGCTACTGAAACCGGAGATAAACGGTCTTTACTGTCACTTGACCTTTGACGTTTTGTTTTGCCCATCATGCAGTTGGCGTTGGCATGCCAACAGAACCAGCAAGCGTTCCAAGCTGGAGAAAACGTGGAGAAGATGGACGGAAGTTGGGAGAAACAGAAGCGCTACATCGCGACCCAAGGATGCCTCAAAGACACCGTGATCGACTTCTGGAGGATGGTGTGGCAGGAGAACTCCAGGGTCATCGTCATGACAACCAAGGAGGTCGAAAGAGGGAAAGTGAGTAGTGATGGCTAAAGCAGCATATTTGATAAAAAACATTCCTTTTTTTTTACATTTTTTTTCTAAAGATATATTGCCAGTACCCTTCAAAACATTCTACTCCTGTCGACTATTAACTTGTACATGTATATTTTATTTTAACTACTTCGCGACAGGATTATTTTTGACTAAAATTTCAATTTTCACAGAAGGAAACATTTTTTCAAAAGTGAATAAAATTATTAAAAATTAATTTTCAATTTAAAAAAATACACTGTTACTTTCAGAGTGAAAAGTCAAAAATAGAACGGACAGTCGTCTTTGATATTAACAGTGCCAGTCGCATACAAGTACTATCAATTTCAAAATATTCATTGTAATTTGTTGATTGACTGCTAATGTGTTTGTCTTTCCAGAATAAATGTGTGCGATATTGGCCGGATCCGGACCGGAAGTTAGAAAGAGGCAAGCTCATCGTCACGTACATCAGCGAACAACTGAAAGAAGACTATGATCTGAGAGAGTTTGCAATCACGAACAAAGACCACGTAAGTCAGACAGTATGCGTGTCCCAGACCGTTAGCTCAATGGAACAGTAGGGCTGTCCATTTTGATCCCCCTGGCTTTTAAAGATATAGTCCATCATTTGTAATTTGTGCATTTTGTTCGTTTGAAGCAACAAAAGTGTTCAAAATCTAATGAAGGATACTGAACAACTAACCTGATGAGGTTTCAGCTCAGCTTCAGCTGTATATTCCGAGAAAAAACAGCATTCTAGGATCTCAATTTCAAATCAAAAGTTGCTGAATCATGTTTTGAATTGGGCCTGAATTCAGCGTCCGAGATGCGTTCTCACTGAGCCGATTGCAGCTATATGCGATGTCGCGTACTGATCCGACAAATTATAGCAACCACGCGCGCGTGTGCGTCGTGCCAATGCTTGCGCGCTTCGCCGAATAACAAAACAAACTACTAATTTAAATTTTCGGACGGTGCGTCTTAAGACTGTTTCACAATGATTTAAAAACGCCCACATGACAGGCTCTCAACCAATAGGAATGGTTAAACCGTCCCAGGTATTTATGAATGACCTATCAATGGATTATGAAAGTTTTCGGGACATTTTCTTCAAATTGAAAATCGAATTCCTTTTGTTTTTGTATTTATTTTTCTTTCTTTCTTTCTTTCTTTTTTTCTTCAGTTGGATGACACTAGACCAATCTATCACTTCCACTTCAAGAGTTGGCCTGATCACGGCGTTCCGTCCGAACCTAGTCGGGTGCTGAGCTTCCTCCACGATATCAACATGAAACAGGATGAGATTCCGGGTGCCGGACCTATCGTTGTACACTGCAGGTCAGCCTAGAATTATGTAGAGTTACTTTGTACTGCAACAACTGCAGTATTAGGATGATAGACTATTTTGCAAACTTTTCTTAAAGTGCAGTATTGTATGCCTAGAGCATTTTCTAAATGAAATTAATTTGGAGATTTTTTCAATACTCAACTTGTACAAAACAATGTGCGTTATCTTTTGTCTTTTATAATTTTATAGTCAGTGTTATTGTAGTCACTCATAAACATGGTCGGCCATGTTTCATCATGAAATGATTTTATAAAGAAATTTAAATTTACTACATAAATTGGTATTTAAACAAAAAAGGAATTTCTATGTCTAAAGTATTTAGTGATCAAATTTTGAAAAATGTTAATTTTCAGGTGTTCCAAATAGGAAAAACCTTTAAAAATGTTGGCTGTCCGTGGACACTTTGTGCATCTCAGTTCAGGTTTTTCTGTCCATGATGGTTAATTTTCTGTTTTCTTCAATTTTTGTGTGAACATTTTTTAATGGTTTTCTTTTCTTTCATTAAATTTCCAGTGCCGGCATTGGACGGACGGGAACCTTCATAGTCATTGATATCATCCTGAATCTCATTTATCAACACGGTAAGTGAGTCTTCTTTGGGGGCGATTCAAAGGTTCAGGGGCAGTGGGCGTCAGGACTCCCAAAATGTTCCGAATGTTCAATCACAAGCCAATCACAAGTCCATCACAAGTCCACAAGTCCAATCATAAGTCAAATCACAAGTCCATCACAAGTCAATCACAAGCCAATCACAAGTCAATCACAAGTCCATCACAAGTCAATCACAAGCCAATCACAAGTCAATCACAAATCAATCACAAGTCAATCACAAGTCAATCACAAGTCAATCACAACTCCATCACAAGTCTATGACAAGTCTATCACAAGTCAGTCACAAGTCAATCACAAGGCAATCACAAGGCAATCACAAGTCCATCACAAGTCCATCACAAGCCCATCACAAGTCCATAACAAGTCCATCACAAGTCAATCACAAGTCAATCACAAGTCAATCACAAGTCAATCACAAACTAATCACAAGTCTATCACAAGTCTAATCACAAGTCCATCACAAGTCCATCACAAGTCAATCACAAGTCAATCACAAGTCCAATCATGTTATCTAACATTGGTGTTATTTTAATTGTTGTAAAAACTGAACAAAGAAATTGACTGTAACGGGTTTGATCCTCAGACCTCCGGATCGCAGTTCCAGTGCTCTACCAACTGAGCTATCCAGCCCTATGTTGGTGGTTCCCCCATGTTGTCAGTATCTTTGTTAAAGGGGTGCTTTTTTTATTTGTGTGAGTGTGTTTTGATTATTTTTCTCTGCTAACAAAACTGACGACAGGTCTGGACTGTGAGATCGACATCTTCAACACGATCCGGCTAGTCAGAGGTCAAAGGTCAGGGCTGGTCCAAACCGAGGCTCAGTACAAGTTTGTATACCAGGCGGTACAGCAGTACATCGAAACCATGACAACAAGAGTCCAAGCGGAACATGTAAGTCAACTTAAATATATCAAAGAACAACGAAAATATGACAATTTTTAATTCTTTTAATTCTGCCAAACTTTATTTTCAATTGCACTACTTTGATAAAGAAACAAACTATACAGCATTTTAATATTGGGTTTTACCCTTCACCGACATGAAATACCAACGTGAAATACCATCATCAGATACAGCATTTCAAAGGGACTTTGTTGAATATTTTTTGCGTTTAAGCTGAGGTTTTATCGCTGGTGATGTTTGAAGACAATTGCGACAATGATACTTGAAATCGTATTTTTGGACGAAGCAGGTTTTAGGGTCATTGTGTTTAAACTGTGATATTTTTTGAACGGATTGAGCAATTTAAGTATTTTTTTCATCTAAAGTAGCTTATGAAATTGGCTTTCCAGTCATTATTATTTTGGTGCTACATATTATTTTAAATATAAAATAAAATTTTTGGGTTTTGGTTCCGCTTTTTGACTGGTTTTTGTTCTTCTTTTTTCTTTTTCGCAGAATACGCTCAAGACGGGAAGGGAATACATCAACACAAAGAAGGCTCATTACGAGCTACAGACCCCCTCCCACGGCGTGCCGATACACACTGCGCCAATTCACACGCCCCCACCCCCACTAGATAGGGCCATGCAAGAACAGAAACTCTACGAGAATGTCGGGCCAATGAGGGTGAGTGTTACCATGGTTACCAATGACTTTGTTAAGTTTTAGTGTTTTTGGATATTTACAAATAGCGCAGTAGTTTTCAAATCCTATAGCTTTTTTTTTTTTGCTGTCTGGCCCTAATGTCTTCTTCGTACCTTTATTACTGACTAACCAACTGACTGACTGACTGTCACTTGTGACTCGGGCAGTGCTGTTGTATAGGATTACCCCTTAATATCAATGAATGGGCTAAATCCGGCCCATTGTGAAGACCAGATGCGTGCAAAAAGACTTCCAGTTAATAGCCATTCTGATTCAATTCGGGCGTTTCACAATGCAGTGCGCCACCAAGAGTTTGCCACGGAGAGTTAATTTTTTCCAGCTCATTGTGGGAGATGGTTGACAAATTCGCAGTGCGGGTCATTTGAAATTGTTAGTTTGTCCGGTCAGTTGTTTCGTAAGCGTATGATTCGAGTATCTGTTTGCCCTTTTCTTTTTAACAATACATGTATGGTGTTTTTTGTAAGGCGGCAGAACGCTATGCCCAATCCTTAGCAAATTAGCTCAAGTTGTCTACTGATACTCTTTCAAATGGGCCGTGTTCTGTAGACCGTAAACTTGGAAAAAATGACTCTCCGTGGCAAACTCTTGGTGGCGCACTGTATTGTGAAATGCCCGAATTGAATAGAAATGTGTGCACTCTGGGACCAGCTTTACTAGGATTGCCTCATTTTGTTTTTAAATGTTTCCCTTTTAGAGACATCTTAAATATCAGCATTTTGTTTTATTGTTTTGTGTTTTGTGTTTTGTTTACATATTATCAAAGTCATATTAATTTTGTTTATTATTTTCTACAGTCACCCCCAGTTGTAAACCAGAAGCAGTTCAGCCATCCGCCTGTCCCCAAAAAGTAGTTCCCAGAGGCGAACCACTGTCCACGGTAATGTGACGTATTACTCCACCAATCACATCTTACCAAATCGAGACTCAATCAGTAATTTGGATTATACATCTCCAAGAGTATCGCTGCAAAACTTTTTAAAGTTTTTTTTTTTTCGTCCGCAATCTACAGGAATGATATTGTCAATTTAAAACAAAAAGGCTGAAAATTGGATGAAAAGTCTGAAAGATCTTTTTTCAGATTCAGAAAGTCTGAAAAAAATCTCAAGCTGGATCTACAGGTAGACAACAAATTAAAAAAAAATTTTTTGTTGTTTTTGTTTACTTCTGGAGGAATTCCAGGAATGTTTATAAGGAGGAAGAGAGATTTTGTTTGTAAAGTGGAACCCACCTTCGTGTTGCCTGTGACCAGCAGGCGTCAATGCATTGACCAATTTTTTTAATCAAACCAAAACAGTTCATACTTATTTCTGCAAGAATTAGTGATTTGCATACTAATCCATCTGTAGCTACACTTTAGCATGAATTCATAAATACCTGAGACAGTTTACCCATTCCTATTGGTCGAGAGCCCATCACATGGGTGGTTTTAAACCGGTAAACCACCGCTGCATTCTGCACCACATTGCGCAGTACACGCCGCGTGTGCGCCGATTTCCATATAAGGAGATTTCTAACACTACGCGTGCGAGGCACATACCATAACCATGGCCAGAGGGTGTTTCACAAAACATGAAGTGAAAATATTGAACACAATCGTTGGAAATTTGCGAATTTTCGACTTGTTTTGACTTTTTGACTGAAAGGTATTTATGAATGGGAATAAATCTGTGCTTGGCCGGTATTGAACAAGTACGTTTAAAACCAGCTAGGGGCCTTGTCGTCGATAATGGCCCAAGCCGAATATCGGTGTCCAGGCCCCTAACTGGTTTTAAGCGTGCTTATTTGAACCGCCCAAGCACACATTTATTCCTTCATCTCCCCGATTTTAATCGTGAAATTTTCACCAAAATGTATGTCCGTAAAGACAGCTTTTGCCAAATATACAAATGAAAGGTGTAAACAAAAAATCTATTTTCAAAACATGCATGCACTTATTTCATCTGCGCCTCCAAATGTACCCACCAAATGATTGTGAACGCTATGCAGTTGTAAATTCACATCTGAATCGTACATTCTTCAACAAATTTCTTTTGTTTTATATGCAAAATACTCAGAGTTGGTTTCATTATTAGCGTTCATTTGCTATCTTGTTTTGATATTATGGTAATGGTGCATTGAAGGATGAAAATTATGAGTTTGGAAATTATTATGATGATCGAATATTCGGTTGATGATCGAATATTTAAATATTCGGTTGATGATCAAATATTTGAATATTCGGTTGATGATCGAATATTTGAATATTCGGTTGATGATCGCATATTTGAATATTCGGTTGATGATCGAATATTTGAATATTCGGTTGATGATCGATATTTGAATATTCGGTTGATGAACGCATACATTTGTATTTGAATATTCGGTTGATGATCGATATTTGAATATTCACTTGATGATCGCATATTTCAATATTCAGTTGATGATCGCATATTTGAATATTTGGTTGATAATAGAATATTTGAATATTCAGTTGATGATCGAAGATTTGGGTGTTCGGCATATACTGGACAGCCCTATCAGATTTTGTTTATTCCCATTTTTAAATGCAATCTCATCTAAACGTCCCCTGGACACACATTTATTCCTTCTACCCCCCTTCAATTCTCCTAACTCCGCCCTTCCACCTCATCTAGCACCCATTTTTCAAAGCGATTTTTCTGTCTAATTGTATGAATACATTTATCATGATTTTACAAATCACAGTTTTTCAAATGTCAAACCGGATATTATTGTTTTGATTTGTATATTTCTTTGTCTTGCTTCTCCAGTGTTTAAAAGAAAAAACAGTATTTTTGGTAGCGAAATTTTATTTTTAATTACATTTTTTGTAAAAAGTGAGTTATTATAAACAAATAAGGATCTGTAAATTAATAGATTATGAAATGGAATGAATTATGTACAGAGCTTGTGATTTAGTGATTTAAAAAAAATTGAAATATACAGAAATTTATAGAAAATAGCTTCAATGAATTAAATTACAAATTACAAAAAAACAATTAATTGGATGTTTTGCGTGCATTTTGAGGGTATTTTTTTTAGCATGTTTGCATCTGGGGCCGATTTCGTGAAATACGTCTTATCTTGCGACTCATCTTAGGACTTAAGACGAACCCCCGCTCTAACATTGATTTCACTAAACCCATCTTAAGCAAGACGCATCAAAGTATCAATTTGATGGCTGTTTCTTGTTTGTTATTACCGCTTGACAAAACAGTCGTTGAACAGAATCATTTTGATTGGTCAAAACACAATGGGGTGTGGCTTACCACTGTGATTGGTCAAAACACAAGGGGGCGTGGCTTAGTGGATTGGTTGATCGTCTTTCCCATATGCTGAAATTTGATTGGCGGATTATGATCCTTAGAATTATGTCAGTTCTTTTACTCGGGTCTGAATGTGATTCTGTATCAGTCTAGCTTTTTGTCATTTGCCCGTAGAAATGCCATGCGTCTCTGTCATGGCGACTTTCACAATTTCTTTGACCAATCACAATGCAGGTGTCACAAATCTGTCCAATTAGGTGATAGAAATTGCTTTGGAAAATGAAATGTTTGGCCAATGAGATCCAACATGTGAAAACGTTTCTAAGGAAATCCCTCTGTCAGGCAAAAAGTGGCGGGCAACAAAATCATCCTTTGCAGTGAAGCTGTTGTCTGAAGTATTTGTTAGAATTGTAGAGATGAACGTTGTTTTCCCAATGACTTTACATATGCAAGTGTGTGAACATGTAGAAAATACCGCAAAAAAAAAAATGGCATTGATATTTTTGTACGTAGATACACACAAAGAGAGTATGCCAGTTCCGTATTCCAACTGCTTATGTGCAGATTAAGATTTGACGATTTTCTTTTCTGGATAAACGATTTGCTGTATGCATGCAAAATCATATCGTTACCAGCAAATTTAAAGAAAATATCTTTTTCTGAAGCAAGTAGAAAATTTCAAAAGTTTGGACAGTGATGTGTTTTTAGGTGTTTTGTGTGCCCAATGTTTTGAGCAAACGAAAATTTCCAGCATCTTTTTGACTGCATGAAAATTTGCAGAATGCAGATTCGGTTACCACGTCCCTCATAGTCTTGTGTGCATTTATCTGCTGTGTTCATCCCAAAGTAAAAATCGTCAAATCTTGTTCTGCACATGCTCAGTTGGAATAGCGATTTGGCTTATTGTTGCACTGTAAATAGCAAGAGCTACTCGTAAGTGGGTTATGAAGATTGATGCCAGAAATTGTGGCGCATCAGTTCTGGGAAATCGGAAGAATAATTTGAAAAGTGTCAGGATTAAATGTTTAAGTTGAATATGTTCAAATGCAGACGTCAGAAATACATGTTGGTGATACACTATGGTAATCTGACGTCTTTATGCAAATTAGATTTTTGATTTGACCTCTGGTGCTTTCGTCAGCATAACATGAATTAGTCAAAATTTTGTTTTATTTGATGTAATTTTGCATCGGGAAGACGTGAATTCAATATTGGGTTTTTGCCCTTCACCAACCTAAACGCTGATTGGTTGTACCCACTGCTATATAAGATTTGAATCAGTCAGCCGACCCCATCAAACATTGGTTGTGTTTAAAATTCTGTAACTCGAAAAGTACACGAGTGATTTGAATGATTCTTGTACTAAAAGAAAGCTTATGAATTGGGCTTTCATATCCTAGATTTTGAAAGTGCTACATGCAGAACTTCACTAAAACAGAAGTCCCGACATTTGAGTTTTGCTTTTCTTTTTACTCACCTTGTACAGTGTTAATGAAGTTAAATCAGTGAAGGACAAAACCCAATGTTGAATTAAGTTCAGATCTAAGCAAAAATGTGTTTTTGAAACCCCAAAATATCGGCGGTCTTTCTCAACAAAAAACCTCTTTGTAATTAAAAGTTAATTTACACTTCATCTTACACATAGCAGTAATCTTCACTTCAGATATAAATTTACACATTATGATTGAGCTTTATATAGTATATTTGTATAGCAGTGTCAGAAAGTTCCGTCGGAAAAAAAAAAATCTTCATCTTTACTTTTTTTTGGTAGACCAGCTTGGATAATTTGGTCAACTTTTTATGCAAACTTTGTTTATATGTTAATGACGATGTACTTACAAGATTTTGTGCATAAATAAAGCAGAATTATTATAAGCATAGATTATTTATCATATAGAGGGAGACTCTGAAATAGAACGTGTTTATTATTGGAAGTTTTTAGTTTTCCTTGAACTTTGAAGTTTCAAGATTTGAGAACGTACATTATATTCAGACGTTTTGAAAGTGTAACGAGTGATTTATTCTGCAGATTTTGGAGCTGTTTACAGTTGTATCAGTTATCGATTTATTATCGACGCATTTCTTTTCTCCGTTTCTGATCAATTTAACTTATTTAACAGATCTGTAAGGCCATAAAAAATAATTGTGTGTTTATGGTAACGCCCTGAAAATTATCCAGTTAAGTAGGTCAGAAAATAATTTTATTTTGTAACTTTGTTATTGGTTAGCTTATTTGTTTACTTTAGGTGCTTGTAACAGTATTTTGGGAAAGAACGTTGCAACCTGACGCCACTTTTTTTCCTCATATATCATCTCAAGTAAGGTCAGTCATTGCAGAAATATTGAAAAGACATGAATCTGGGACTGAGAAACATTTCCAATTTTGTTAGGAAATACTTAAAAAATCTTCTTGACTCTCCATAGACTTTGTACACAACCCCTGAAGTGGCGTCAGGTTGCAACATTCTTTCCGTACTCTGTTTAATTAACATGCTTAATTGTTTATTTAATCAATAACACAAACAAAACTCGCATGGGGAAGACTTCATTTTCAAAATATACGTCATTTCAACTTTTTTTTTGCCAAATGTGGCGATAAAAAGTTTGAGGTCAGCAGTTTGGCCACAAAAAAAAAATCAAGATAGGTTGGGTTACCATAAACACAAATTTTTTTTTGGCCTAAACATGGTGAACGTGACCCCAATAATCACTTATTCCAGAAATTTCTGGAGATTTTCTCTGGTATTCTCTTTTTCCTTCTGATTTTAATTTATATCCCAAGTTACATCCCAATTTCTGATTCTGTAACGCCCCTGAATCTTTTACATGAAATTTCCAGTAAAAAAACACCATAATAAGCTTAAATCGTGACTTAATAAACAGGACTCGTTTATACTCGGGAGTCCTGTTTATTACGTCACGATTTACTGTTTTGTTTGCTGCCCCCAACGACGACTTTTACACAAATTGCACGTTCGGGTCGAAACAGGACCTGAAAAACAGCTCTCAAAAGTACCTTTTGTACTCATTTCATGACAGACACAATAGTCGTTTTTATTTCATCACACCTTACATGTAGGCTACATATACCCGAAAAATGACGGAAATGTCTTCGAGCATTCCACAACCTCTTTAATATTTAGACAATTCGGACACCATAGATAACTTTGATAATACGTTACAAATGTATAACCAAGTTTAGTTTTCTGTCCCTCTGAAAAAATAAAATGTTTATCGTACACAGTTACTCAGTATGAGATACCCAGTCCATCAAACTTGTATATTGTGTTAATAAAAGCGAAGAGAAATTGTATATTGTAGTTATTTTTTCAAAGACAGTTTTAAGATGGCTGTGAGGATAGCATGTTCATATTTTCTGTATATCTTTTGAAGTTTTATGTTTAATTTTTTTTTTGGCAAGAGTGATGTACATTAGGGTTGCAGTGCACAGAAAAAATATTTTAGAACACGTTAAATGGGAATGTGTGTACGATTGAACTGTGGGTAAATGTGGCCAGGGTGCTTTTCGTTTTTGATTAAACAGCCCTACAAATGGAGTCCAGATACTAGACCGCCTCACAAAATTCCACAGAAATTACATAAAAACGAGACATCTTAGAAAACCAGTTGAATTTGTGTGTGTTAGTAGCCAGGTCAGTGTGGTACCAAATCAAAATCAAAGTTGTGAAACGTCTATATTTTCATGAAATAAAAACAAATTTTCTCCATGTTTTCCCATAGGTAGCAGTGGGGCCTATAAGTACAAATGAAGTCTAGTATCCCGACTCCATTTATGGATCCAATTTGTACCAGTTGACTAGGTAGCTTGTCATTGGGATAACCTGTAGTTGATGCCAAAAGAATTTCCACTTCATCATGGTCGATACTTTTAAGGTTATTTTTTTCATGGAAATAATGTGTTTGTATGGTAAGAAATATCATAGTCTGAATATTTGCAAAAATGAAGAGAAATTATTGTAATTGAGTACCAAGTTTACTACACAGAGAGTTAGTGTACTTAATGGCATAGTGCGTCAGAAGTTTGATGAGGAAAATTATATAAACATTTGGATCTTAAGAAATCAGAATGATATTGTACATCTTGCATTGTGTAGGATTTTGACAATTTTTTTTACGTAGTCTTATAACTACAGAATGTCATACAAGCAAATAAACATTTTGATCAAAAGATGTTGGAATCAAGCCAAATCTGTTTAGAATTTTGATGAAGTTAGCATTTCAAGCTCGCTAGACAAAAATCTTGTTTTTCATAACTGATGCAGATTTTTGCTTCTTGTTGTAGCACTGAACACTAGTTATTCCTGGAAAACGTACCTTAATCAAAAATGTGGGGATTAAAATATACAAGAAAAATGTTGCAATGGAAAGCTTCAATTTGATTTTAATAAAGAGAGTTCACTCATGCCATATTTTAATGTCTGTATTCTTGGTTTTGATTCAGTAGCGGATCTGGGTGTCGATTTGGGGGGGGGGGGGGTTCAGAGAGTACGATACAGTACAGAAGCGGGGGCCCCCGGGTTCGATTCCTGACAAGAGAAGAGTCGATTGATGGCTCAAAAAGTTCAATTTGCACAGCGTTAATCTTACAGTTGTTTTTAACAAAATGACTTTCCTGCGAGTGCAAGATGAAATTTTCTCAATATTTATACACATAATGGATTTTTTGGACTAATGGGATAAGTTTTGCCCCAAATGTTCAACTCATTATTTCCTTTGAAAGGCACATAATGTCCACTGACAAGATTGAGGAATGTATTTGAAGGGCCCAGACAAAGCCAAGTCGGGAATGCATAATTTTGAAAAAATCCAAATTGTTCACTGATTTTGCCACAGAGTTTTAAAAGCAATTTTTCTCTTTTTTTTCAAAAGGACTTTCTGACTTTCTCAGGAATGCGTTGCAGAGATGCCGAAGAATATTCTGAGCTAGTATCAAGTAATTCATTTTTTTTCAGCAAACATTGAAACATTGCAAGGGGTTAAGCTTGCAGTATGAATGACATTTTGAAAAGAAAAAAATAACACAGGAATACATTGTTGCAAGACAAGCATATTTCAACAATCATACACCCAATATTCTTATGATTTCGGCCAAGATGATTTTTTTTTCTTTAAAAAAATTTATTTTATTTTCGACACATTATAACTCTGAAAGGCACTTGTGTACAGGAAACTTAGTCACACACTGAAATAAAAACAGTGAATTTGGGTCAGAAAATCTGAATTATGTTACAGCGGCTGCCAAACGAACATTTATCTGAATATCCAAAAAATCACACAGACTTATATAATTGGCATTTGTCAATAAAATCGACCATATTTTATACACAAAAGTAGTACAATGTCATACACAAAAAGTAATAAATCTTAAGTGGTTAGTGTTGTGAAAACATGTAAATCCCGACGGTACTTGGGTGGTCGTGTATAAAGTCGTTAAAGTTTCTCTGCAAAATTAACATGCCTTCTACATGTTAGCAACGACTGACCAACATTTAAGTTAAACATTGTATCAAAAGTGGTGTTAATATACTGCATTCTACCAAAAACATCCATTCATTTCAATTTGTTTCATGAATAAAAATCCTAAATGGAATCACCCTACATGTTAAGTTTGAAAAGATTACCAATTGAATAAAAATCAAGGTGATGTGTAAAAAGTCACAATACTGCATTTTCCAAGGCACTTCTATACAATGTATACATTTTGCATATATTATATTTGGTTACAAGAAAAGTTAGCCTCACACACATAACCATTCACAATCAATTACACACAAAAAATGCATTTTGTTGAATGAAATTCAACAAATTATTTCACCTACTTTAAGTTGGCATCGAAACAAATCTTACATTTAGTTTCTTAAAGGAATATACAACATTTGCTTTTCCTGTAATTTTCAGAAAGGATGGATTTGGGGGTTAGTATTTTATAGCAAATTGTTACTTTGACATGTTTTGTGTTCATAAATGCTGGAAAACAAAGACAAAAATGCTGTTATTGTAGTCTGGTTCCCTGACCCTACTTCAGATGAAGCAGATGTCGGGGAATGGTCAGGTCAGGGAACCAGACTAGCTGGCTTGCACCTGTTTACAGGTGTGTAACCGATTGCAAACAAAATGTGGACTAACTCAATTTTGTAAATTGGGGGCCTTATTTGAATAAAGTTAGTTTTTCCAACGATAGTCGGCCGACCATTTCCAACGATAGTCGGCTGACCATCGTTGGAAATTGATACAAAAATTCCACTATTCTTGAAAATGACAGCACACCAGGTGCCATGATTTCACAGGATGCTTGAGACTATTATTCACTTACAGTCAAGTAAGGTATTTCATAATAATTTGGTAGTTTTGTTTTTGATGTTTGCAAATGTTGTATATTACCTTTAACAGTGGTTAAATTAAGTACAAAAACACAGCACACCATTTCAATATCACCGTTGAAGTGTCAAGCAAACACAGGACACTGTACAACAAATTTAATAGTAACAGAAATCACTGTCATATTCACACCTCTGTCATAGATGGTCATTAATGACTCTTTCATTCAACATGTGCCACCATTGCATGTATGTCATTGTCCCTGACTGTCATTTTGGTGCCATATTTCTTCAAGGCACATCACTGTCACGGATTGTCATAAACGTCAATTTCATTTAACCTGTCCCACCACTAGGTGAAATGTCATTGTCCCCAACTGTCATTTTGGTGACGTTTTTCCTCAGGGATGTCACTGTGCCTGTTTGCCTTTTGTCTTAAAAATAGTGACCTTACTTATTGTCAAAAAAGTGAAAATTAAATATCCCACCACTAGGTGACATGTCATTGTCCCCAACTGTCATTTTGATGACATTTTTCCTCAGGGATGTCACTATGCCTTGTTGCCTTTTGTCTTACAATTAGTTACATTATTTACTGTCAAAAATTAATTAGTGTCCCGATTATTCACCCTGTACCACCACTAGGTGTCACATCATTGTCCTTGACTGTCATCTTGGTGACATTCTTCCTCAAGGCCGTCATTGTTCCTTTTTGTCTTTTCACTGGTGATGTTGACCGTGATCTTGTAGTACGTGTTGGGCTGGTGGGGTGGGTGGGGCTATGGGGTTGACGAGGGGGCGACGTTGACTGTGACATGTGACGATTGATGGAACTGGAGACGCAGTCGCTGTACAACAAGGTCATTCTACGCTGAGATGCCAGAGGCATGATGGGACGGCTGTGACGGCATTTGTCGAAGATCTCTAAAACTATGTCTGTAAAAAAAGACCAAAAAAGTTCAAATCTGACTTCAAAAATGATTTAATAACCCGAAACAAGATGAGGCTGATTGCATGGAGACTTGACTTGTTGCCTACACATATATCATGAAAGTACATGAAACAAGCGGCGCCAGACTAATGCACATGCAAACCTACTCCCAGAAATTCACAAGTGACAGTCAATGGGATAGGTAACCAGTCTAATTCACAAGTGACAGTCAATGGGATAGGTAACCAGTCTAATTCACAAGTGACAGTCAATGGGATAGGTAGCCAGTCTAATTCACAAGTGACAGTCAGTCAGTGAGATAGGTAACCAGTCTAATTCACAAGTGACAGTCAGTCAGTGAGATAGGTAACCAGTTTAATTCACAAGTGACAGTCAGTCAATGGGATAGGTAACCAGTCTAATTCACAAGTGACAGTCAGTCAATGGGATAGGTAACCAGTCTAATTCACAAGTGACAGTCAGTCAATGGGACAGGTAACCAGTCTAATTCACAAGTGACAGTCAGTCAATGGGACAGGTAACCAGTCTAATTCACAAGTGGCAGGCAGTGGAATAGGTAACCAGTCTAATTCACATGTTGCAGTCAGTCAGTGGGATAGGTAACCAGTCTAATTCACATGTTGCAGTCAGTCAGTCAGTCAATGGAATCAGCACAAATGAAAAGCTATTCCAGAATCGTCAGAACATCAGGACTTTGAGACCGCACCAATTATTCCTGCTTATGGTTTTGACTTCAAGTTACCTCCAGATCTACAGAGACTGGCACAAAGGGCACATAGATTGCCAAAGTGCCAAGAAAGAAACAACAGCAACAACAACAACAACAACAACAGACGCAAAGAGGACTGCAGAGTGGATCTTACTATAAATTCAATACAGGTTTGTGTGTTGCAAAAGTTGTATCCTGATGGCACTTTTTTTCCCATCATATATCAACTCACTGAAGGTCAGTCGTTTTCAAAAATGTGGCAAAGACATGAATCTGGGACCGAGAAACATTTCCAATTTTGTTAGAAAATAGGTGTACATTTAGCCGGCCCCTCGACACTCCATAGACTTTGTACACAACCAATAAAGTGGCGTCTGGATACTACATTCTTTTACAAATGAATACTTTGCGATTATACAGTGTATTGAATAAAATCTATTGCTATGTGATTAAGAATGAGTGTGTTTCTTACCGAGCGTTTCATGTACGATGGGTGGGATCTGATTTCTCAGTGTCTCACAGTTTGTGTGTAGCGCGGGATTAACGTTCACTTCCAACAGATACACCTACAAACAAAGAAAGTTTAGCAATCAAATCGTCGTGTCCGTGCAACAAGGTCCTATCTCCTAAAATGGCGTGTGACGTCATGTACGTGAAATGGAGTTTTCAATGTCAAAAGGTCGTATCTCGCTTAAAATAACCCGAATGTACACACAAAGTCAATGGACGTCGCGATACGCGAGATATGAACTGGCTGCACGGAGCCTATTCGCGCGAGATACGACTTTGTTGCAGAATGGAGTTACGACCTTGGCCAAGTTCGGGCAAGGACCATTAGTCAACTAGTGGTTGATTTGTGACGCGGCTATTGGTTACCAGTGATGCAACCAGCCCCAGTAGGTTGGTTCCAAATAGTCGACTAGCGTAGTCAACCATCGTCGACTAGACAGAGTTCGGGCTAACTTTAGTCAAACTAGGGTTAACCAATGGTGAACAACAGTTCTTGCGCGAACTTGCCCTTAGTTGCACTGATGCAACGAAAAACAAAATGGGCTCCGATCGTATGATGTCAAAGTACCACATAACCATCCTGTTTCCCAGTGATCGTCCACCATTGTAGTAGGCAAGCGTTTGGTTAGCAACTTCATTGTGCATTGTAAACACGACACTAGGGCAGGGTTCGACCTTTATTTATTTTTTTTCACTAGCTAGCCGGGCTACTGAAACAGTAACTAGCCCGAGGGCATTTTCACTAGCCCGCATGTTTTTCTTTTATAAGAGTGTCTCATAAAATGTGCACACATGTAAAACGTGTATCCTGAGGCAATCCTGTCAGTGTTTTAAATAAAAAGAATAATTTAACCCTAGACACAAATTGATACAGGTTTGCTTTCTGAAATTAATGATTTATTTCTTCCTGTCCTTTCATCTTTGCCGCAGCCCAGTAATGTTTGACTCGCCAGCTGGGCTATTTAAGGAATAGTTTGACTAGCCCGCTGCTGTTTTGACTAGCATTTGGCTAGCGGGCTACCGCTAAAGTCAAATCCTGCACTAGAGTGGGCAATGTAGGGGCTGTGGATGTTTGTGTTTGCCTAAGATACACATTTCTTGGGTTCTATACAGACCATTATAGGAACAGAAACCTTCACGGAAAAATCTCAAAAATTCCAGATTTTAAAACGAATTTCTAAAATATTCTCATCACCGTTCCTTAGGCCAAAAAAAAAAGTCTCCGGTTTCTGGTATGGAGCTTGCCCAAAAAGTGGTGCGGCGACGCGGCTTTATTTTTTTTTTACCTGACTTTTTTGCTTCAAATGTCGGCTGATGACTGCAAATGGTGCCCAACTAAACTTAGTGCAAATATATGGGAGTCCAGAGAGGCCACATAAAACTTATTCTCGACCATAACCCAATCTAAAAACACGTTAAAATTGTGCAGCAGCAGGATTCCAGTCAAACCAGTGAGTTTGGCGGTTTTGAGACATCATCTTTCATTGAAAAAAAAACTTTTTCATTTTGCCGACGCGCATGGCTACGGCGACGCGCGCGCATACCAGAAACCGGAGACTTTTTTTTTTGGCCTTAGTTACCTTCATGTTTTCGTCCAATAGGAAATCAAAGCCCAGAAGGTCAAAGTATCCCAGCTTGCATTGCAGTTTATTCTTGACGGAATTAAAGCAATGCGTCATAATCTGCGTCATACGTTTCTGTGAGGAAAAATACAAAGAGTATTATTTTCAACACCGGAATAAATCTCTGTCTTCTGATTGGTGGTTCGTTGATCACATGTCATTGAATTATTCATCCCGACCCTCGACCTAGTCTATGAAATAGACCCTTGTGATTTGCTGATTAATTATGCAAGACAAACACCTTTTGACCTCTAGATTTTGACCAATCAGGGGGCGCTTTCTGTATCGGGTCTCGTCATGAATATAGATCTATAAATAAAACCTAGACACGCTGTGAATGGAGCAAAAAAGTCTGCGGTCATGCGCTCTGTAAAGATATGTTACGCGATATGCCGGCAATAATAGAGCCGGCAAATCACGGTCATGTCTAGGTTTTGTAGATCCATGCCCGCCCGGCGCCCGTTGTTGTATTTCAAAAACACTGCATCCAAATTGACCAATCACACTTTTATTCCTGATTTGGGAATGAAATGACGTCACGATTGAGTAAAGTCGACTGTGAATGGCTGGCGCGCGGCGTATCCCTGTGGAATAAAAGCACACACCTCAAACATGGCTGCAGTGCAAATCACCTATAAGTGGCCGACTTACAGTGAACTGGTTCAGTACCCAATCCTTAGGTAATCCTTTGTCCTTAGCCATCACGTTGATGTGATCGTTGAATCGTTCCATGCTCCATACAGTGTCCTCTTTAACGTCCTGGTAGCCTGGGTTCTTCTTCTGTACAAACTGTGATTAAAGGACAAGGAGGATTCAGGCTATAAAACCATGGGCCAGTTCAAACTCAGCGCGAAAGCAAACAAGAATACAAACGTGTGATGTCAAGGCAAATATCTCCACCTATGCAGCTGTATGATACACGAACCATCACATTGTCTAAGAGAGTTAGGATTGAATTATCTCAAGTACTTCTGTAAGGTTGAATATAACGTAAATGACAGTATAAGTGTTTAACTCGTTAGCACATGTACTACATTGTATTACACTGTGTTTATTCTATGATAAATCATTAAACCACACAGTACCGGGGTGGTTTTGGGCAGTACAGGGAGTAACAGGCAGGGCAGTTTGGGGCGGTACAGGGAGTAACAGGCAGGGTGGTTTGGGGCAGTACAGGGAGTAACAGGCAGGGCGGTTTGGGGCAGTACAGGGAGTAACAGGCAGGGTGATTTGGGGCAGTACAGGGAGTAACAGGCAGGGTGGTTGGGGCGGTACAGGGAGTAACAGGCAGGGTGATTTGGGGCAGTACAGGGAGTAACAGGCAGGGTGGTTTGGGGCAGTACAGGGAGTAACAGGCAGGGTGATTTGGGGCAGTACAGGGAGTAACAGGCAGGGTGGTTGGGGCGGTACAGGGAGTAACAGGCAGGGTGATTTGGGGCAGTACAGGGAGTAACAGGCAGGGTGGTTTGGGGCAGTACAGGGAATAACAGGCAGGGTAGTTTGGGGCAGTACAGGGAGTAACAGGCAGGGTGGTTTGGGGCAGTACAGGGAGTAACAGGCAGGGTGATTTGGGACAGTACAGGGAGTAACAGGCAGGGTGGTTTGGGGCAGTACAGAGAGTAACAGGCAGGGTAGTTTGGGGCAGTACAGGGAGTAACAGGCAGGGTGGTTTGGGGCAGTACAGGGAGTAACAGGTAGGGCGGCTTGGGCTGTACAGGGAGTAACAGGCACGGCAGTTTGGGGCGGTACAGGGAGAAACAGGCAGGGCAGTTTTGGGCGGTACAGGGTTTAGTTATCCATGTACCTGATTGGTCAGATGAAGTGTTAAGTCATCACTGGTTGGATCATAAGAGTCACATGACAGGCGTAGGTAACCGGAGTGATAGAATACGATGTATGGCGTAGTGCATGCTATCAGCATGTATGCACGCACGTCAAACTTCTTCCCGTCCAAGAGAAGTGGGTTAGGTACATATCTGATGGAAAATTAATTTTAAATTAATAAAATAAATTTCTTGTTATCCTAAGACACTTCTTTCAAAGGCTAATACATAGCTAAATATTTCATGACATACTCTGACTGTGTGCCAAATGTAATCAAACATTTTTATCATCAAATGAACAATCTAATCACCAATCTGCTGTACAGGGTGAGTAAAAAAAGTGGAACCCAAACCCCCAAATTATATTTCATATTTAAAGAAATATATGTAGCACCAAATATACTAATCAATGGAAAGCCAATTTCATAAGCTACTTTTAGATGAAAAAAATGACTGCAATTGCTCAATCCGTTCAAAAAATATCACCATTTAATCACAATGACCCTAAAACCTCTTTCGTCCAAAAATGCGATTTCAAGAATCGTCGTCACAAATGTCTTCAAACATCAGCAGCGATAAAACCTCAGTTTAAAAGTTAAAAACATTCAACGAAGTCCTTTTGAAGGCCCGTCTTTTCAAAAAAGGGGATTTTATGACTCATATTGTTTGCCTAACCTGGGTTGTTAATAAAAATATTGTGTACTACAGTTGTTGACAGTTGATGAAGTAAACTACTCTGTGTCATTTACTTTGTTGTTCGAAACAAAGAGATTACACAATACATTTCTTTTTTGGACGAAACAGGTTTTAGGGTCACTGCGTTTAAATGGTGATATTCTCTGAACTGATTGAGCAAGTTTAGTATTTTTTCATCTAAAAGTAGCTAATGAATTGGCTTTCCAGTCATGATTATTTTTGGTGCTACATATTTTTTTAAATATGAAATATAATTTTTGGGGTTTGGGTTCTGCTTTTTTGACTAGCCCTGTATTTTAATTCCTATGAATTTCTTTGTATAGCCTCACCCAGAAGGCCCCCCCCCCCCCCCGTGACCACAAAGTGGATTAACCTTTATTGCATATAATTATACACTACATGGGATTAAGAGCCTCTTAAGCTGATTACAGCCTCATTCTCAACTGTGGATTAGAGCCCTCCTTCTCCACCATGGCAGGATCTCTATTGTTTATAGTTACTGACATACTTTCTCAAGTGGGTTACTCTTTGTTATTAACCCTAACTCCCTAGCATGATTTACTAGGAACCATACCCATCCTGGCAAATTCCAACACCATATGGGAAACTGCACACACATATTTCTGACTTTGATTCTGGAGGTGTGCCAACCTAATGTAAAAGATTGTCAGTTTAGGGGTACCCATCCAGACAGATTCCATACATGCTGTTGGGGTTTGATGGGTTGAGTTCTGTTAGGGTTAAGGATTTCCTTTGTGTTAGCTCCTGCACTATAAAAACTTCTAGGTGCCTTCGTCCTGTTTGGACTTTGATACTGGGCGTCGGCCTTGTATGTTGTTGTGTAATTTTGTGTAATAATAATCGTAGTGCTTATGTAGCGCTTTCCATCGTATCAACAATCTCAAAGCGCTTTACAATTATTACCCCGTTCATCAGGCCATGGGACCACGCGGCAGCCGATATCAGCGCTCAATCGGTCCTCAACCCTCACAGGTACCCATTTATACTCCTGGGTGGAGAGAGGCAGTTACCCAAGGGCACAAACACCATGTTCCTGGCAGGATTCGAACCCATGCACCATCGTGAGTGAGTCAAACACCGTAACCACTGGACCATGGCGTTCTATGCGCTGAGTGCCAGTAGGCCTGCACTGCTATGGCTGGGTCACAAAACGTAAGTTTCTGTAGTATCATTTACTCCCCTCCAACTGCTTTTATTTTTTGTCATCAATAAATTCAGGCCTTGCAAAATTTAAAAAATGTAGTTGCCCTTCGGGCAGGGGTGTTTGAAATCTGGTTGCCTGAATTTCATTTTCAGTTGCCCGATAAAAATGGCCGATTAATTACACTTGCATGGTATATATTATCGCCCGCGGCAAACTGGAATGAAAAAATTTGTAGCTACCCTGCCGCTTAACTCCCGAAGAAGTAACGCACTTACGGAGTTGGGTTATCAGGGAATCAAACAACGTGCAACTGCGTCGTGTCATGTGGACACCATTTTTTTTTCTTGGTTTGAATTTTTTATATTTTTATTGGTAAGTGTCACCATTGGATATTAAATAAAACAAAGGCAAAAACTCAGAAAAAAAAAGAAAGAAAATGGGGAGGTGGATTATAGAGTCCGTCACAGTTCCAAAGCACAACGTAGCGCCAGTTATAAAGCACTAGTGTGATGTTGGTAATATACGCATGAAGCAATAACGGGTACCAGCCAAAATGGAACAGTGGTCAATCTCAATCAATTACGTGCGCGAAACGTCGCTGCATGATGTAGCCGGACCGTACGTCCGGCTACATCATGCAGTGACGTTTCGCGTACGTAATGCGTGTCTCCAATAATATTATGATCGGACCACTGTACACCATGTACCATGTGTGCAGAGCGCAGGTGCCATACACAAGTACACAGCTACGGCCGGCCATGCATGATTGCAAAACGGTGACAGCGCAGCAGGGAGTACAAAATGTCGATATTATCATGATTATTGTTCGACGCTGTGCACATGTATGGATTCTGGAACTTTCGAAAATCCCATGGACTAAAATAAAGTCTAAAAAATTGTGAGTATTGGTGAAAAAAAGTGGTTACCCGTCGGGCAGGCAACCTGGAACTTTTACTTGTCCGACAAAATATTTTGGTTGTCCTGGGATGTCGACAACTGATTTTGCGAGCCCTGAAATTATTGGGAAAACTATTTTGTTTTCTAGGTTCACTTTCTTTGGTTGTCCAAAATGGGACGCCGTTACAATATATGGAGAGTTTGGACTCCGTTGAATAGATGACGTGCAGACTAGTGTTATCCCCCATCCCCTTAACTGACCCCTAGTTGACCTTTGACCCCTAGTTGACCTTTGACCCCTAGTTGATCTTTGACCTCATACCTTTGGATCATTCTGGACTGGTTCCCTTTACGTGGTATCATATTCGCGCCACTTTCTTCCATGAGCTGGTACTTGCGTTGGATGTCAGTGATATCCTTCACCAGGTAGATGCCTTTTCCTTGGTTCATGCTGTTGGGTTTACTGATCCAAATGTCTCCATCTTAGTAACGAGAAGAAAAACGAAAAACCATTTCAAATTGTAATAAATTGTTTACTTCATTATATTAACCATTCGCGCCGGGATTATTTTGACAAGAACAGAACGAGGTGCGGGATTTATTTTCACTTGACCTCAAGCCAGGCGGGTTGAAGCCATCACCCTCGGGCAGCACACTCATTTTTCCGGCCTCGCTCGCTGCGAGCGGGTTATTGACAGATATTTCCGGCCTCGCTCCCTGCGTGTTTATCCATTTTGGCGCTTGAAATGACGTCATTGTTCCGACCAAAAATCGGTTCACTTACGTTTCAAGATTGCGGAAAGGTAACAAGTTTTAGCAGACGAAGTTACTTTGTTACCACAAGGGATTTTAACAGTGGGTTTGTACAGTCGGTTGGGTATTAGGTGATATAACAATTATTACTTTGTCTAGGGAGAAATCGCCCAAATTTGCTTGTAAATCGGGTAAAACTGACTAAAGAATTTGTATTCCCATGGTAGTGATAATGGTCTGCTCACCGACATGTTTGTTTATAAAGTGACGTCACGGAAAATGTTTTGGTCAGGCATTTTCGCAGATGTTTCACGTCATGCCTGTGACGTTGGAAACATGTTCCAGGCCAAGGGCCGCCAAAACGCGGCCTTGCGGTTTAACTTTAGAACAACAATTGAAACTAAAGTGAATAAAAATGAAATTAACAAATTAACTGTCATAATAAAAGTCAGCGGAGAACCAGCTGCAAGCAAACTACATCTAATGAAAAGTTAGCTGGTAACCTGCAAACATTTCCTCACCTTGATGCACCTGATAGAAAGCTTCCCTATCTGCCTTGTTGTCAAGGTTATAAGACTCCGGGTAGAAATCCTCCATCTTGAGTAACCGACTACTCCTCCCTCGCTGCATCCTCTGGTTGATGCGCTCATACTCACGCAGTGTCTCCAGGAGACCCACCTTGGTTGCTAGGTAACCGGTGTTTGGGATGCGGTTAACTAGCTGCTCTCCTGGGAAAGGGCAAATCAAGTGGGATTCATACAAAGCAATTTTGTACAAATGTTTATGTTCAAACTGAAGTATTTTTCTTTCTTTTTTTAACTTGCTGATCAGTGTTGAAAGCAAGGATACAATTTTGCTCACGCAAACGTTAGTGTTAAAGTTAGCTGGGCCCCTGTGAATGTGCCAACTCCAAGCGCAACGAAAATGCCATCGAAACCTTTTTGTCTAAATGGCAGCACCCTGTGTTACAAGTGTGACTGAGTGAAAATCTTCAAAAGTTTATTGCCACTAAAAGTGAAACTTCACCGATGATATTTTCAGTTATTAGAGATTTGTGATGCAGAAAATGGCAAATTTGAGCTCAGACAGCTCATTGTGTGTGAGACGGCCATCTTGGAAACATAGTGAATAACTTGTGAAAGGTAGTGGTACTTTCCTCGCCTTCCACCACTGTGACCGGGGTTCGAATCCCGTCTGGGCCAATATGTGGATTGGGTTTTCAGTCCCTGCCTGATTCCGTGGGTTTTCCCCAGAATGTTCTTCTAGGCTTTTCCTCCCGCCTCTAAAACTGTAATTTCTTCTCAATGTCTTCTCTCCACAGGTTTCTTCAGGGCGCTTTTGAGGAATCCTTGGTTTCATTACCAGAAATGATTAATAATAAAAATAATAATTTCACCTTTGTTGTTAATGTTCGCCAAATGCTAAAAAACATTAGCATTGTTTGCATAAGTGGAAACACCCCATATTTAACAATCTTGAAATCACTGATAACTTATTAACCAACGTTTGTTTTAATTTAAGGTTCAACAAAGAAATTGACTGGAGCGGGGTTTGAACCTGCAACCTCCGGATTGCCGTTCTGGTGCTCTTCCAACTGAGCCAGGATATTGAAAAATTGGGGAACCGCCAACATAGGGCTGGATAGCTCAGTTGGTGGAGCACCGGAACGGCAATCCGGAGGTCACAGGTTCAAACCCCGCCCCAGTCAATTTCTTTGTTCAACGTTAAAATAATTATGATGCTGCTCATCAGTTTTCCTATGTGGTTTCTTTGAAAACAATTTGTTTTGTAAGAACTTTCTGTTCTCTGTATTAGTCAATTTTTTTACCAACCTGCTTTGAACGAATGGTAGTTTATGTGTGATTTCAGCTCAACCCATTTCAGTTTGTAGTTTTCACTTGTCCTGTCGTGAATTCGCCGCCAGCCTTTAGCCAGAAGTGGCCCCTCAACTCTGCACAATTATAAATTAAAAATTTAAAAAAAAATGATAGGATTAATTTACTTTTTGCAACTGCTTTATTTTAATAATAATAATGTAATATTATTGTAGTGCTTATATGGTACTTTATTCCAAAGTTCTCAAGCGCTTCACAATTATTACAACAGCTCGAGATCAGCGCAATCTGGTCTCTACCTTCACAGGTACCCAGTTATACTCCTGGGTGGAGAGAGGCAATTGTAGTAAAGTGCCTTACCCAAGCAATTCCATGGAAATATAAACCTCAATGCCAAAACTTCAAAAAATCCAAATGCCACAAATGAAACATGTATATCATATTGAAGCTTATTATCTGTATTTTATTGAAATACACTTTATTTCTAGTTAACTTTTTTAGCACTGTTCAACAGTTCAAATGTTACTTTTTAACAGAAAAATTAATTAGTAAGTAAACAAACAAAAATCTACTTTTCTGAGTACGTCCGACACCATGGTGTTTCAAGTCGATTTCTAATACAACAAGAAATTGAAATTATTGCAGTAACTAACTGATACGTTTTACCAGAATTAAAATCCACTTTATAATTCCAACATTTATTATGCATACTGCTGAATTGTCAAAATGAAGTCAGATACCGTGAAACTGCCCCAATCCATACTTACAGTGCTACCCCATTTGCTCCTCCTATGTAGAATGCCGGTCCTATCTCCCTCGCCACACCACTCCTTGGTGACGTTACGCTCTTAGGTCCTTGGTCCGGTAAACCATCACCATCTCTTCCCTTACCTCCGCTGCTCTTCTGTGATGAGGATTGGTCCGTGGACGACTTGGGGTTCTTACGTGTCACATCTTGGAAAATAAGGACATACAGGGTGAGTAAAAAAAAAGAAAAAAAGTCAAGACCATTGTTTTAGTGAAGATCTGCATGTAGCACTTTGAAAATCTAGGATATGAAAGCTCAATTCATAAGCTTTCTTTTACTACAAGAATCATTCAAATCACTCACGAAATATTAAACTTACCGAACACGGATAGTGTTCTTTCAACAAAACCAAAACAAATCACATTTTCATTTTGCTGAAAGAACGCACACCTCTTATGTCATCCGTGGACTTAACTTTAAAACAGTGGTTGTGTTTAAAATTTCGTAACTTGAAAAGTACATTATGAGTGATTTGAATGAATCTTGTATTAAACGAAAGCTTATGAATTAGGCTTTCATACTTTAGATTTTGAAAGTGTTACATGCAGAACTTCGCTAAAACACTAGTCCCAACATTTGGGTTTCTTATTTTTTGACTCACCCTGTAGATTGGGTACGCAAATTATTTTTAGGTCCATTACAAATTTTGTTAAAATTTTCTTTGCTAATTTCTCTAACCCTAAACTCTCTTTTCATCTGTTTTTACCTTTTTCTGTTGATCTATTCGACGAACTTGTCTTCTTCCCATCATCCCCATCCTGGGGCTCCTCAGTGTCGTCACGGCAACATGCGCCATCTTGGCAACTATCCAAGCATGCCGATGAGTCACACAGGGAGCAAGGCGCTACAATCTGTGAGAGATCCTCTGCATACTCCATTTCATGATCAATGTCTCGTGGCTCGATAATTTCTTCATTGAGTTCATCTGATTCAGTGTCGTTGCCAGCTCCAGAGTTCTGCTGATGTGTCATCTGCTCTGTAATATTTGGAAGCGTTTGAGTTTCTTTGGTGTTAGCATTAACATCCATCTTAGCATCTTCGAATCCAGTTTCTCTAGGATCGTCTCCCTTGTGTTGCCTGTTCTCATCTCCTTGCTCTACAATCTTGCTCTTCTCCGACTGATCGTCATCATCACAGCTCTCATCTCCGCTGTCTTCAGCAGCTTGGCCTTCCTCGGAGTCACCTTGAAGAGCAAAGACTGACTTCTTTCCTGGCTGGTAGGATGTCACCACCCACGGGTGCTCTGGACAGTGGCTGTGGGTTACAGAGAGTTTACAAACAGGGATGTAGCAGACCCTATCACAAGTCCATTCACAAGTCCATTCGCAAGTCCAGTCGAAAGTCCAGTCGCAAGTCCAGTCGCAAGTCCAGTCGCAAGTCCAGTCGCAAGTCCAGTCACAAGTCCAGTCACAAGTCCAGTCACAAGTCCATTCACAAGTCCATTCACAAGTCCGGTCGCAAGTCCGATCGCGAGTCCGGTTGCGAGTCTGGTCGCGAGTCCGGTCGCGAGTCCGTAACAAACAAAAATCAACAAAAAGTTGTCCGGTCGCAAGTTCGGTCACAAGTCCAGTCACAAGTCCAGTCACAAGTCATCACAAGTCATCACAAGAAACAATGGATGAACAATAACAAAGGAATGTCTTTGTCAAGCTCATTTGAATAGCTTGTGAGTTGAATTTGAACTGAAGGACTTGTGATGGACTTATAGGGGCTTGTGATGGACTCGACTACGTCACTGTTTACAAAGACTGAATCTTAAGATTGATTATACTCCAACTGAAGAGAAAAAAAATGCTCTATTTTCATTCTTCCTCTGAAGACGGATTCTTTGGACTGATCATACTTCAACTTGGTAATGGATGATAACTGTCTATGATAAAGAAATCTGACGTAGTGACACTTCCATAACAAAAACTTGTCTCAAATCTTAGCTATTTCAGAAAATTCAATATTTGTGTTATAATTTTTTGGCAAAGGATTCTTGGAATTTTGTCAGTAAACAATACTGAGATTAATAAGAGTTGTGCCATTATATGAAAATGCTCTTATAATTGGTGGAAGTGGGTCCAAGTGCATTGTCGACAACACCCAGCACTCCGAATTTGCTTTGAATTTGCTCCGAATGCTCCGTGACGTCAAATTGGCTTCGCATTAAGTGTGAACTAACCTTTATGTCTATTACTTTTCTTCAAAATGTACATTTAGTTTCTGCAGTAAAATGGTGGCACCTGGATTTCTGTCCTCGTCCCGTTGAGAATTTCTAAATCCTTTTCTCGTCTATCTAGAGAGCGAACATACCTTATGCACAACCCTTGCAGCCACGTATCGATGGATTTGAAGTGGTACACCATGCTGTGGTAACTCTTGGCTTCAAACTTGTAAGAATCAAAGAGTTGGACGTGACCGCGTTGCCATCGTGCTCCTATGGATTTACAACCCTCGCCGGCCCAGATCTCAACATGGACGATGTTGTGCTTTTGCTTCTTACCTGCAAGGACATGAATCAACTAAATGACGTTAGTATTTAACCAGGATCCCTCCAAAAGCACCCAAGCACTGTGGCTTGCAACCCTAAAAAGGAGCCAATATGGCCCACCCGGACGCCGTTTATCTCCGGTTTAAGTAGCATGAAACAACTGAGAATATTTCTACTCCCCCTGGATGGGATGCCAGTCCATCGCAGGTTACTCCCCAGCTAATGCTGGTACCCATTTATACTCCTGGGTGGAGAGAGGCAAGTGGAGGTGAAATGGCTTGCCCAAGGACACAACAAATGACCAGCAGCTGGATTCGAACCCCTGACCTTCTGATCAGTCCAATTTCTTAAGTGTCAAGTGACGAAACTTCCTGTACTCTTGGGGTTGACACAGGGTTGACGTGAGGTTGACAACATGCTGCATTTCATCAACCCCGAGATTGATTTCGACCCGGGCTGAACTCAAGACCAGGGTTGAGATTTTCAATCCGTGTTGAAACTCTGGCAAGAGGGCACAAAATGACAGTAACCGAGCGAAAGCTCGATTTGCGTCAAACAAGTGTGAAACAAGGCGGTGTTGAACACGGGTTGAAAAATCAAGAACTCAACCCAGGGCGGCACTGGGTTTGCCCAGGGTTGAGTTCAACCTGGATTGAGAGGCTCCAGTGTGAAAAGGCTTTAGGGGGTTCAACAGGTTCAGGTAAAGCCAACAGAATAAGAAACGTAGTCAGAGCTTGGGTTTTTTGGGTCAAGACTTTTAAGTCCATTTTACTAATTTAACCTACTCTTGGTGTTGTGGTAGATCGCTGTTATGAAGACCAGATCTCCAGGTTTCATGTCTTCTTCTCTCTCGATTGTAATCGGTAATGTGTCGTACTGATAGGCCTGGTTCCAAAGTCCGACCTTGAAACCAAAGTCTTCCTTGAGGTCTAGCAGGACACGACGGACGAGACCACAGCAGTCCAGGAAGAGCGGGGCATTGTAGTCCGGACCTGCAAAGGAAGCCGTACTGTAGTGAACTTGTGATGGACTTGTGATGGACTTGTGATGTACTTGTGATAGACTTGTGATGGACTTGTGGGGACTTGTGATGACTTGTAATGGACTTGTGGTGGACTTGTGATGGACTTGTGATGGACATGTGATGGACTTGTGATAGACTTGTGATGGACTTGTGATGGACTTGTGGTGGACTTGTGATGGACTTGTGATAGACTTGTGATGGACTTGTGATGGACTTGTGATGGACTTGTGATGGACTTGTGATGGACTTGTGATGGACTTGTGATGGACTTGTGATGGACTTTTGAATGACTTTTGATGGACTTGTGATGGACCTGTGATGGGCTTGTGATGGGCTTGTGATGGACTTGTGATGGACTTGTGATGAACTTGTTATAACACACAAATACCACAACGACAACATTGAATTGATTCATCTGAACAAATCATTACAATTTTCATACTGACAAATACTCCTTCTAACCTCAGCAACTCAAAAATTTTTGTCTTTGAACGTTACCACACGCCTCTTTTACCTGAAAAAAATCCTAAGAAAATGTAACACTCTTCTTTGAACAGAAGACAGAAGTGGTATTCTGTCAAATTCTGTCCCCTACCCCCTGGGCTATTAAGTTCCAAGACACCAGCCTCTGGGTTGAGAATCCAGGGAAACTGATTTCAAAACATACTTACTGTCTGGACCATGGTATCTCTTGGCATACGGTACACCATAGTAATGCTTGGCCCTCTCAAGGAACCTCATTCTTAATTCCCACATATGATTGGGATCCTTCATCTGAGACAGGCTCTTTTCTTTCATTTCTTTGATGAGCCGCATGTCCGCCTGAAATCAAAACAAGAAAAAGTTCCAACTCAATACACTTAATCACACAATATCCCTTAACTTGGTTTTGTCCTCTAATCCGGTTTGTGGCTTTAACTAGGGTCAAACTGGAGTATGGGGCTTTACTTTGGTCAAGACCAAGTTTGAAATCTCAACCTGGTTAAAAAATAACCAGACCAGGCAAGGCTAGTAAAATTAGTCTTAAATCAATCTTTTTTCAAATACTCCCCCCAATTTACCAAATTTAGTTAGGTCCACATTTTGTTTGCAATCGGTTACACATCCGTGAATGGGTGCAAGCCAGCTAGTCTGGTTCCCTGACCTGGCAATTACCCGACATCTACAAATTGCTCTGTTTCATCTGAAGTAGGGCCAGGGAACCAACTACAAGAATGAGCTTTTTTTTTCTTGGTTTTCCATCATCTACATGTATGAATTAACACAAAACTTGAAAAATGTCAATGTAACAATATTTGCTATAAAATGCTAACCCTCAAATTCATCCATTCCTAAAACTTACAGCAAAAAAAACCAAATGTTGTATAATACCTTCAAACTACTGCTTCAAATGACAGTTAAATTGAGATATTGTATCTGCTTTTCATCTAGAGAGGGCGCACTTCCAAGTTGATGTATTGGCTCACCGTGTACAACAATTGTTGCTACAGTGACGGTTCTGAGGGGTGGGCGGAGTCAGGAGAATGCAAAGGAGGAAGCAAATATTGCAGGTACTCTCCACAATGATTTGATTGGTTAATAAATTAATCACTAACAGTTTTAATTAACTGAAAATTCATTGTTTGCATGAGAAACAAACGAAAACAGTACAACTTCTTGTTTCATCAAATGTTAATTGCATTTAAAAACGTATTGCACTTACACATATTTGCTTATTTAATTTATAGATAACTTATTTGTTGATGGACTTTAACTACTTATAGTGACAGCACAAACCAACAGGTATGCCGTAGATAGAGGGCAGGTTTAATTTTTTGAGGGAAATTTTGGGGTGAAGTGACGATGAAGACGACAAAACGCAACGCGAAATTAAAGACGGCGATGACTGCGGCGCACAGTGAACACGCAAAACCACATTGATTCGCGTGGCACCAACTGTAAAACGCGTAAGAAAATCACATTTTCTACCTCACAAAACTGCGACCATCTTTAATATATGTAAATGCAAGCGCGTAGCATATGACACGTACCCTCAAAATGCACAATATGTACTTTTCTGTATATATCACAAAGTGCCACCAACTACAGCGGACCATTTCCCGATTGAAGTTTGAAAACCAAAGGTCAAAAAAAGGTCCACAAGCCTTCAATATTCAGCACCCACTAAAATTAATATCATGTTCCCACTGACAAGACGGATGATAAAGTGATTGTCGGGACAATACAGCATTGTTCACGACTTATTTTTGCAGATTTAATCGGAACAAACGGTTTGACAGGAAAATGGGGACAAGCACGTACACACTAGGCTTGCTCAGACAATGCTTACGGACTTGAATGGGTAGCGAGTACGATTTTGACATAGAAATGTAGGATTCCTTTGATAAATGATCTCTATAGCTAGACCAAAAATGGCGACTGGCATTTATGAAAGGTTCTTACATGTACAGGTGTATTAATCATGTTTTAATTTTGTGGTGAGCTTTTTTCCCTTATACTTCATTGGCGTAACTGGGGGGGGGGGGGGGGGGGGGGGGGGGGGGAGGGGGGCAGACCCGGATTATGCAATTACCCAATAGGCACAGTAGAAACTGTGCATGCCTAGGGCCTACGAAAAATTTAGGGGTCTACGAAAAATATGAGGGCCTACGAAAATATCAGTGTGCCATAAAACACACGCACCATAATTGTTCCGTAGTTGTGGGGACTACACAGGAGTTGTCCTTTGGTACTATGAGGACCGAAGACGCTGTGGGGACAGCAGAAAGTCCCCATAACTCGGTCCAAATTTGTCTTAACAATGAAAAACTTCCCCATAACGTGTCGACGGCCTGCCAACTAACACCCACGCACACACAAGAAAAGTTTTTGAAGTTTTACGGTCATTTCTTAATTTTCAATTTCAAAACATCGCTAAGATAACTAGGAGCATTGCCTGTTAAACACTTAAAAACCATGGTGTTAATGTGAATGTCTCTTCTTTCAAGTAGAGTTTTCCAACCTAGTTCACTCAAACAGCTGATGCTGATGTTCTAGATGGGACCTTAAGAATTGTTCTTGTGAAAACCTCCTTGAAATTTGGGTCATGGTCCTGCATATTGAGCAGAGGGGATATTGGGATAGGTGTGTACATTTATCAACCCACAGTTGTGCAACGATAGGCGAGGTCAATTAAATAACCACTCCCCCCTCTCCCTCCTCGAAAAAAGGGGGAAAAGAGAGAAAGGGAAGAAGCCCAATACCAGTATAGGCTTACTTTTAGTCATTTTAACAGTCAAAATTGCCTGAAAAGGACCTATTATTCACCATGTAATGTGTATTATGGTAAGGGCCCCAAGCATTGAATGTTGCCAAGTTCCCCACCCCTTAAATTTTCCACAGCTGGCCAGAAAGTTTCAGGTAAAAGTTTTTAGTGAAGCCATACCCACCTCCCATGAAAATTTCTCGCTTGCCCCCCTCCCCTAAAAAATCTTGCAAATCCCAGATGTAGCATGGACCCTCGTACGCTGTGTAACTCTATAGGCAAGAGATATCTCACACAAAACTTTTTTGGGTTGTTTGGATGTATCTGTAAAGTGGGGACGTGGTTGTTTGATTCCAAATACGGCTGAAGCAAGGGATGTCAGAAACTGGAAACAAGTTGTAAATCCAATTACAAACTGATGAATTTTCTGAATTTGTTTCCGAGAAGCATCCAACTTGATTTTATTCAAACAAGACAGAAGGCTCTTTTGAGAAAAAAAATCATGGTGTGCGAATGTAAGTAGATAATGATGAAATTGCTTCGTCATGTTTGTGCACAACATGACGCGGGGTTTTGATTGTTGTTTAGAAGCAGTGATATGTGAAGGTGTTGAAAAAGGTACAATGGAAGTCCAAGGTTGTTTAAAGACTGGTTGGCAGTCACGTTCAACAGATGTAGATTATTGTTGTGTTTGAATGAATACGGAAGGTTTCGTAAGGACATAGCACAAAAGAAGAATGGCCTTTAGTTGTCTGCATCCGGAAAGAAATATTGTATAACATCCTATACTTGTACACATCTGCCAAGTACAGAAATGGTTACAGTTTCATAAGGAAATAAAAAAAATAAGGGTGTTTTAAGTAGTAGTACTCAGAAATGTATTTATTTGTTTTCCTAGATAACTTGTTACCTAATTATGGAGTTATATTCGTGAACACTTAGATGCATTGACTATGTATTGACAGTTTTATTTGGATGTCAGATTTGGCCTTATACAGAATGTCCCCCGAAGAATAAACCCTTGAATTGCCCTCTTTTTCACAGCATTTTAAAAAAAACATTGCAAATATTGATACATATTTGGAGAGTGTACTTCATTAGCTTTTCAATAATGAAATAATCTTTCCAATCAGATAAATATGTATTGAGTTATGGCCAATTAAAAAAGTGCTGATTTTTCATTTTGTCCACGGTCTTGTAATTTACATTTTTGAAAACTTTCCTTTTCTATATTTGGTTCTTATTTCTTTTTCATTTTTTTGCAACATTGGTCATTTTTTCTTGTAAAAGAAATGGGAGTCCTGATAATGACTGCTTGGTTAACTTTTTAGACGTTAACTGTTCTGCTCTGCCCTCTACTTGGTGGCCTCTTTCACGGACGCCGGTTTCTTGTTGTGGCAGTCAAATATCAATATTTGATCAATATTCACTCAATTGGAAAGATTTTTTCGTCATTCTTAAAGCTAATGAACTGTACTCACCAACTATGTATCGATATTTGCGATAAATTGTTTAAAAGCTGTGAAAACGAGGGCGCTCTGAAGGTTCGGTTTGTTTGGGGAAAAACCTGTAGCATTCCCTTTTATCTCCAACGCAGGACAAGTTTTTATTAATTTTCAGAGCTTTCTGAAAAAAAAATCTGACCTCCTACGATTTTCCTGAACTTTATTCTGAAATGATAATACAACCGACTACTATCTTTCAAAACCCAAATTGTTAAATTGGTTTATGGGTAGAGTAAAAGTATCATTTGATGTTTAGACTCAAACTCATGTGATTAACGCAACTTAAAACCCTCGGACTGAAAGACCAACAATATCACCGTTAATATGGGCAGAAAAAAAATCTACAATGATTCACCCATTTATTTGAAGTGGGAATGATATGCATGTGTGTACATTCTAATAGTGTTGTCCATCCGTCATTAATGATTTATTAGTTGCTAGGCGACTGTTGATGACAACGTAATGAAGGCAGTTGCACTTTTCCCCCATTAGATCTAAGTACTCAACAGAATCTAGTGGGTCAGCTGAACTTTTAGTTTGCATATATCAGACGCTAAAGTGGTACAGCTTTCGGTATGAATTGATTAAAATTTAGACTGAAGTTGATGAGTTTTGAAGTTTGAAATGAAGGACCCATGATCCGAAAGACTAATACTGACGTGGTTGATGTTATGATATAAACTCTTGAAAAAATCGAATAACAAAAATCTGCTGCCAAATGCTTTCTGATTAGACTAATCGGAAATATATGGCATAAAAGTTAGCAGGCATACACCTGGGACGTAACCCTCCCCCCGCCCCGCTTCCCCCCCCCCCAAAAAAAAAGGGGGGAAAAAGAGGAAATTGCAAGCCTTACAAGTCTTTCTAGTGTTTGTCAATTTTTAATGGCATAAGAATGAAGTGAAAAACAAGAAAATCAGCTGATTCGAGGAAAACTTGCACGCCTGAGATAGAGGCCTCATGTTTTGATCCTTTCAAGATTTTTCTCAGAAAACAAACAGCAAGGGACAAGAATCTAAAATATTCATTCACAAAGTTTGTTTTTATTCTTAAAATACCAAAGGGATTAAACT